CATCAAAATATTTTGGGGGCCCCCCCCCCCCCCCCCCCCCCCTCGACCAGTTCCCCAAAAAGATGCACCGCCCTCCCCCCACTATTTGTAAAACGGATTGCCGCCCCTTAGTGTGCACACTAAAAATCAGTTATGTTATTGAAAGAAATATATAAAATTCTTTCAATAGGCGATGACAATCATGACTGAGTTATTGCATTGTTAAAGTATTGATATTAGCTAAAACTATTTTCCTCTTGTTTATTTTACCTTACCCTTAAATTGTAATGAGAGCAAAATGTGTATGGTGTGCAAAAATATAGGCCTTAGAGTGCAAGGTGTGGAGCATCGTCTGTTCAACGCGTCTGAAATTATTATAAGCCTACATATTGCCATCCATTTTTACATTTAAAGAAGCGTGCTTTACACTATGATGATCTTTGGGTTACTACAAGTGCAATCAGTTTCGCCTATATATGCGAAATTCTATATGTGGTAAAATATATTTCAATATACATTTTTATGTACCAGTAGACTTATGTGTGTTATGAAGGACAGAGTTAAATGCCACAAAACAGACTTTGCGTCAAACTACATTCGGATCACAGAAAAACTTCATTATGACCAGCTCAATACCCTGTTATATTAATTTTTAGCAACCATTGGTTTGGGTTTTGAAGTATATTCGGTGTGACAGCATACAAGACTAGGCTACTTAAATCTGCAAGAAAGCGGGCTCGACAAAATGGTCGAACCCCACAAGTGTCTTTCTATAGATTTTAAATATTGCACGAGGGAATTGGTGTGGTGATATCACGAGTGTGCATATAGCCCACGAATGTCGAGTGATATCAGTTCGGTATAAGCCCAGAGTGACAGTGACAGCATACAAGACTATTAGCTAACATCTGCGAGAAATTTGAAAAGGAGATTTATATACGTTCTACACTTTTATCTGGATTATACGGTGGCTCACCTACGATATATTTCACTTTTAATTTTGAATTAAAATCTTTGATTACCACCTATAGGTGATAAATATTTACACCTGTGTACGGTGGCTCACATACGACATTTTCTACTTTTTATTTTGAATTAAAAACTTTACCTGAGTGAAAATTAGGTGATAATTCCTGTAATTTTGGATTAAAATTAATTTACACCTAGGTGAAAAATATTTACAATTACGTACGGTGGCTCACATACGTCACCTAGGTGAAAATTAAGGTTTTTAATTCAAAATTAAAAGAGAAATATGTCGTATGTGAGCCACCGTACCTATGTGATAATACAGTGATTATTCCTGTAATTTTAATCAAAAAATTTTCACCGAGGTTAAAATAATTTCCACCTAGGTGATTATTCAACGAATTTTTAATTAAAACTATTTAAGTCCGTATGACCAGCCTGCATCTTGTAAAGAACATTGAAAAAAAGTTTTTAATCAAAAATTATTGAATTATCACCTTGGTGAAAATTAAAATTTTTAATTTCAAAACTACACGAATTATCACCTAATTTTCACCTAGGTTAAAATAATTGTCACTTAAGGTGAAAAATTAAAGTTTTAAATTATGGGAATTATCCCCTAGTTTTTAATTCAAAATATAAAGTGAAATTTGTTATAGGATTGGACTCGTATGGTGGCTCACATACGCCATATTTCACATATATCACCAAGGTGAAAATTGAAGAATTTTTTTTAATTAAAACCTTTTTTCGCCGCTAGAGGCTGGTCATGTGGACTTATAAAGCTTTTACTTGAAAATTCGTTGATTAAAACTAAGATGAAAATTGATGTTTTTAATTCAAAATTACAAGAATTATCACTTAATTTCACCTAGGCGAAAAAAAAAGTTTTTAATTCAAAATTACAGGAATTATCACCTAAAGCTTTTAATTCAAAATTCTACACTAGCCTCGATACCCCCCAAATCCAGTATGAAAAATATCCATTACTAAAAACTAAAATTATAATTTATAAATTAACAGTCGACCCAAGCTACCTAACTGAAAAAAGCGCACTTGCCGCATGTTGCCACAAGTTGTTCATGAATACATTTAAGATCAGGGACAACTGAATGTCATAATCTGTTTCACTTGTAGACATGATAGCGTGCTGGTGTAACAGTAGATACAAGGGGGTACCATTTTCTTATGTGTAAGGCTTAGTAGTGAAGACAGTTAAGTGGTTGAAGGGAGGTAACTCTGTTTAGTAAAAGTTACAAGTGCCTGAGTTTCAAAAGGTGACTAATGCCTGTGTGCAAGGGCAAGTCACTCTTATGACAGGAAGTTCTCTTCCATGTGCTCCTCAATGTTGATAAAGCCTATGAAATACCTAAGTTTTGTTTCTCTCCTCCCACAGGTATTATTTTGCTATAAAAGGCCAATTATGTTGCTGTCAATCTATAAGACACAGGTTTACTACACTATGTCAGTGTTTTAGGCCTTTGCCTCTGAAAATCTTGTATTTTCTATTAGTATCACACACGTTGGATGGCCCGGTGCGGTAGGCCACTCCACGTGGTAATGGGCAACCCTTATTCATTGCGCCTTTGCATTGTTCTCTCATGTAATATAAGTTTACACAAGTTGATGTTCGTAAGACATGTTGTATATTAGTTTGTAGACTCTTATGACAGGAAGTTCTCTTCCATGTGCTCCTCAATGTTGATAAAGCCTATGAAATACCTAAGTTTTGTTTCTCTCCTCCCACAGATGATCCTGTAGAAGGTAGTACGACATTGTTTGTCTGTTGTTAACAGAGCTGTAGAAAGGGGTGTTGGTTCCAGTTGCACCATGTTATAGTGCCAGTATATGAACCCTTTCCTTGTGCTCTCCAGAAGTGTCTACCAGGCTTAGTTGTGCTGCATCGTATAATCCTGAGGTCTACCGTTGTACCGTCTTTAAAGCTGAACTTTAGGCTTAACTGAGTTACCCAGTGTTGTCATTATTTCTCATTCTCTGTGTGTCAGTCATCGCGTTGGCTAATCTGGTTGTTTTACTACTCACACTTCTCTGTTTTCACCTTCTTGGTGCAGAGAGGTGTAACACTGGTAGTGTTGAAAATTATTTACAATACAAAAATTCTTTTGAATTAGTCTTTCGATCTATTTTATCCACCTATTCCTAATTTAGGTCTTTTTGCCACATGATCCTAACAGGTTCAACTATATAAAGCGACCTATTCCGATCTTTTCCCATTATAACTTGAACATGAAATAGGAAGATATCAATCAATGTTTATGATTGATAACTAATAAGGTATTGTTTTAAAGTGGCATTTTACAAATCTTTCTTAATCATCACACCTTTACAAACTGACTATCATGCAGTGAATTTAACTGCAGGGGGTAGACGTCTAAACGTGATAATAAGTATATCGGGAAGAAGAGATGCGGATGTCTTTACTCGACCTTGTCATTATGTAATAGTCATTTCTACCTGAAATCACCGTTAATTATGACAAGCCTATTGACAATATAGGTATTTTAGATATAAGTGGCCTCAAGACACGGCCATTAGTCTTTCTACTAGTTTTCTACCCATACCTATCGTCACTGGAGCATGTCTTTAGCCACCACACGACCACAGATCGTTTAAAGGACAAATCATATTGATATTGTGCTGAATAAGGATTATCAATATAATGGAGATATCTTTAACATTTTTGCTTTGCTTTGCAATCGCCATTGCATCAGGTAAAATTTTTGAGCCTTTATTAATATGGAACACAATCAACTGAGGTGTTTCTATCTATAATCATTTTAGTACCAGTACTAAATTGTCATGGGATAGTGGCAAAATCGGTAGGCTACATTGTCAAGGAACAATAGCACTTGATTGTCATGTAACAGTTGTTAGACATTTTGATTGTCATGGAACAGTGGTAGTGTTTGATTTTCATGGAACAGTGGTGGACATTGGTAAAATCATTTGTCATGGAACAGTGGTAGCCCAGGTAGTATTTTGAGCAATCTAGGACAATTTAGTAGTGTATGATTGTCATGGAACAGTGGTATATTTGATTGTCGTGAAACATCATGCTATTTGATTGTGGTAGAACTTGATTGTCATTTGAACAATGGAAGTATATGATTGTCATGAAACAGTGGTAGTAATTGATTGTCATTGAACAGTAGTAGCTCTTGATTGTCATGGATCGGTGGTAGCACTTGATTTTCGTGGGTTAGTGGTAGCACAATGACATGGTTGTCATTGAACTGAGGTAGCACTTGATTGTCAGGGATTAGTTGTAGCATTAGATTGTCTTGGAACAGTGATAGCATTGGTTGTGCTAGATTTTCAGTAAACAATTGTCGTACAAGAATGCCACGATACAGTTGAAATACTGATTGTTTTAAAATGGAACAGTGGTAGTCCAAGATCGTAATGGAACAGTGGTACTGGGCTTACCAGATTGTCATGGTCAAGTTGAAATACAAATGAACATAGGTGGTGCTAGATGGTCTTGGAACAGCGGTACTAGATTATCACGGAACAGTACATGGAACACTTATTTGGTGGTTGTGCTGTTTCAGATGTTAAATTTATTAGGGGTGGCTTGTTATAATATTTGAAGATCGTATTGGAGTTTTTGTTTGTTGTTTACTCTTTACTGAATAGTTTATAAGCTATAACCAATGTATTGCCAAACTGTTAATTTGGATTTCGATTTTCGTTTGCGGTAGGATCGTAAGTATTTTTAGGATTTTTTTTATTACAAAATTGGAAGAGAATAAAGTGTACACACACAGGCAGCTGCATCTAAAGTCTCTGCATATGTTTATATCGGACCTTTTCTGTAGACCGAATAACTTGTATATCTATACATAGTTCCAAGGTCAAATGTTGTTAAAGTGGTATGAAACTGTCCTAGAGATTTTCCTTGTAACATATTTGTTCAAAAATGACTGTTTTGTTGGATACCACAAAGAATTTGATTGACATTTGTTTTTCAATAAAACTGTCAAATCTCTATAATCTATATATTTTTATATGTTGACTCTATTTTCGTGATGTATCTATGTCATATTAATGACCACAATTTCCGTATTCAACATTTATGGAAATATTAACTGTATTAAAATTATCTTACATCTTTGTACACACAACCTTGGCAACTTTCGTCAATCGTTGGGCTGAACTGAGCCCGTACAGTTTGCTTTTTTGTATCTTTTCAGAATTTTTGTTTGTTTGTTTACAATCGAGGTCTTGTTTATCTGACTAAAATGCGACAAACTTCCCTTATTTTATATTCCATCTAAACTATTAATGACCCCTTTAACATAATCACTTGTCTTGTTTTATGTAAAATTTATGTCAAGGACATATACTGTGTAATAATGAGCCATCAATATGCAAAGTAAAAATAGTGGATTTATAATCTGATGAATTGTTTTTTTGCAGTCTCTACCTGTACTGTCTGGTAATTTTTCTTGAATTAAAGGAATTCATTAGGACTTAATGATAAGTATTCGATACACATATAAACTTTATAAAGTCTAGAAAACCCCCGTTTGAATACCCTCAGAGTTCTTGGTCCCTTTCCCTTATATTTTGGACCTATATGAACTTGCTTTATTTCTTTTCAGAGACTAGAGAGCCAAAACTTCAAATAGTTGAAGATGAAACACTCAAAGATGATGATTGGATTATGGTACTACATTGTAAATTATATAATCAACCATCTGATGATACAGGTCATTGTTCTGATATCACATGGACGTATGAATCCGAGGACAAAGTTGCTGTTGCAGTGATGAATGATACAGATTATTATCATGTTCAAAACGACATGGAGAACATGACGTCGACATTGGAGTTGTTGACATCAGATTCTACTGAAGAGTTGTATACTTGTGTTGTCCAATGTGAAACAAGAACATTCCAAATAAACTGCTGGATTGGTGAACTACAAAATATAGGTACATGTGAATTTTTTGATCTTTTCAAAGCTGTTACAATTGGCTTAACTAAATGAGTGAGGAAAATAGGACTTTTTTCGATGCAATATTTTGGGGGCCCTCTGAACGAACTTTCTCATTTGCTTACGTTCAGGTATTTTTTCTCTTTTCAGAGAGACGTAGTGTGTGTTCTGAGAGAATATTCAATAATGTTATTTCCGCAACACAAATCACACCAAATGATGAAGAAGTCGAAGAGAAAAGTGAAGATCTAAAAATCGGTGTGTCAGTTATTTGCATGCTGGTTGTAGGAATGGCTCTGACAGTAATCATACGATGTCGATTGAAAAGACAAGACGCGCTCAAACATGCCAGAGCTGTTATTGAGAACGCTAACCAGTGCCTGATAGAGGCGAGAAATCGGCCACCATGTGAATACCCAAATAACAGTCAGAGATCATCAGTGTCTTTGATGATTGATACACCTATCTATAGACCAGTGTCTCAACGCAGTGACAGACCTTCCTTGAGATCCCACAGGAACCTAGAGAGACTCTATCGTGAAAATTCTGCTTCAAGGGCTAGTAGAAATCGTTTAATTCTTCAGGAAATGGCAGATGGATCTCAAATTATCTTTGTACCGGGATCCAAACTCCCATCGTATGAAGATTCCCAAAGTTCAAATCACAGGCTTTCAATGGAAACATTTCAACAACCAGCATTACGTAGAAATAATTCAGGAAGAAATCCTTTTGGTTTCCTCACATCAAACAATCGTGACCAAAACTCAGAGAATGGACATTTAAGTTCCCCACCTAGTTACACAAGCATGGCGACAAACGAACCAGAAGATGAAAATTCATCTGGAGATCTTTGTTCTACGTCTGAATCGTTCACAGATGAACTGTGTATGGACACTACAGAGTTGAATTCCGAAGTCAACTCTAGCTTATTACAAACTGACTCAAGATACCAGCCAACACCTTTGGTATCTTGTATGTCGCAAATTACCACAGGGAACAATTCTAATACTGCTGCAAGAAATGTACAATCACCTCCACTTTATGACACTCCTAACATTGCAAAATAGGCAGTTTGGTAAATATTACATATAAATATCTATAAATAATTTGCCAAGCCTCGCACATAATGGATGAAACCCCATTGTGCGCTCTAAATTCGATCCTACCCGAGGAACGGGACCAATTTAAATATTTTTTCTCTAGTCATTTGTATAAACAGATGTAAAGATTTTCTTATATTTGTGGTTTTTATACATGCAAACATGCCATCTGAAAACCATTTGGTAATACACAGCTATACTTAAACAATTTCCAGAACAATAAAAGTTGTTAGATAATACATACCTACTAAACTAACAATCTTCCCAAGTCAAGCTATTACAAGCTATACCTTGAATATATCATGGAAGTTTGCAAATGAAACAGTTCGATGGAATTGTGCGCCAGCGAATACAGTAAATCAGAGAAAGTTTGCGAACACAAGCCAAGTCTTTCAGTCAATGGATCTGATTGGCTGTATTCGCTTATGTTGCAGTCAAGGTATAAGTACGAAGCTCGTAAAAGCTTGACTTCCAACAACTACATAGTTTGCGATATCAGCATCCTCTGGAAGCGAACGTTAACTTTTCATCTACCAACCTATCTTGACTTTGGGACGATTGTTAGTTTAGTAGGTCTGTATTATCTTACAACTTTTATCGTTCTGGATTTTTTTTAGTAAAAGCTTGATATTGTGAAGCTGTAAACTAGCTTGAAACCGTTGACTGTAACAGCCACCTGGATTTATTGCTCCTACATAACAGTAAAACTGTGTTATCTTTGTTTCATCCGACCTACATATTTTGGTGGCCTGTGTCGAGTTGGGTCTCTTAGTCAACAAAGGTAGATCGCGTCGATGTTTAAGTAGGCACGTGTTAAAGGTTGTTTTGCACACAGATTTATTTCTTTATTGAAAAATGGTATTAACAGTGGTTTTTCTATGAATAATTAGATGGGGGCCACAGAATTGTGGAGTGGAGAGGGTGTCTCATAGGCAATTCTTTTGTTATAAAAAAAGGTGATGTTGAAAAGCAAGAAACTATCATCAAATTTATTTCCTTTATTCAAATAACAAAAGACTCAAAATTAATGACAGTGTGTACATGAACTTCGAATATAATAAATAACAAACAATGTGATGATATGATATGCTTGTTGATACAATTCAACTATACCTAAAACATTAGTTATTTGTCAGCAATATGACGTAAAATCCGAGATATATATATACTAGTTAAAACCTGAATAATTCACAAATTAGCATGCACATTCTGCAGAATTCAATTAACATTTAAATACAAATAAATATATATTCTTACGGAATACAAACCATTCTGATAATAAATTTTTTACCAAGGCTATAAAGACAAGTCAAATGTATGTACTCGTAAAGAGAGATGGAGGGCGGGGGAGGGGGGTGGTAAATATAAATAGTTAAAAAGAAGAGAGTTTAATTACGACTCTATTACCTCGAGTGTGTTGACACATCAGTAGAGGAGTTTCATTACGATTCTGAAAACAGGTCTAGTGTATTGACATATAAGGGAGAGCAGTGTCATAACGATTCAAAAGACAGATCCAATTTATTGCCACATAAGAGGTTTAAACCAAAATATTTAAAGGGAAGAAAGGGTGACGAGTTTCATTACGATTCTAAAAACAGGTCGAGTGTATCGACACATGGAGAAGAGTTTCATTACGATTCTGAAAACAGGTCGAAGGTGTTAGGGAGAGGGGTTTCATCATGATTCTAAAAACAAGTCAAGTGTGTTCACACATAAGGGAGAGGAGTTTCATCAGGGAGAGGTGTTTCATTAAGAAACAGGTCAAGTGTGTTGACACATAAGGGGGGTTTAAACCAATATATTCAAAGAGAAGAAAGGGTGGAGAATTTACGATTCTACAGTACAGAGGATTCTATATACAGGAGTTAACTTCTATAGATATTCATGAAGTGAGAATGATGCATAGTGAATACAAATATTCCCATATTACACTTATATTAATGCATGTACAAAATACATTATTTTCTAATATTAGGATAAAAGAGGAAAAACAAACAATGGAAGAATGAGGGGTATTTAAACCAAAAGAGAGCAAAAGGTGAACCCATTGTGCTGTCCAAAAATAGGAATGACAAGGACTTGCTCAAGCAATTCTAGGATTCTATATACAGGAGTTAAATTCTATAGATATTCATGAAGTGAGAATGAAGCTTGGTGAATATAAAATACATTTATATTAATTCATTATCATTATTTTTCAAAAATAAGGGGAATTTAACCTTAAAGGGTGGTTGCCCAAAAAATAAAAAAGACAATGTCTTGTTCAACCAATTCCGTATAAAGGATTCTCGAGTAGTTAACTTCTATAGACATGCATGCAATGAGAATGGTGCTTTGGTGAATACAAAATATACCAATATTTACATGTATACTATTTCACTATCAATATTTTTTTTAATGGAATGCAAAAAAGAAGATTCAGAATAGAAGAGAGTAATAAAGTGGAAATGTGGTCCGATTGGTTGTCTCAAAAGCAGGAATGGAATATTCTGATGTCTAAATTAATACAAAGATTTTTTAGGTAATGGCCATTTTATGTTTCATACTAACAAATTTCAAATACTGACTAACACAAAATTAATATAGAGGAATTTGCCTTGAATTCTAAAGACAGATCAAATGTTTTTACACATAGAGGAATAGGGATACGGTGGAACAGTTGGGCTTTTGCCCAAAAATGACCCATCACAAATCAAAATATTGCATTGTACTGTATATTTACTGTAGGCCTACTTTGGAATATTTACCATGGCACAGATTATGCGAGATATTTTCATTTGAAGAAAGAGTAATGAAAAATGTTTCTATTTTATCATTATTCTAAAATGATTTTTTTACATCATTGTTTTTATGCCCATTTTCTCAGTTTTCATTTGCCTATTCGATAAGGAATATGGGACTTAGAGCAATTGAGACAGCCATTTAAATTGCCACTGATTATTAATACTTTTCCTAAACAATTTCATAAATAAAGCCAATTTAACAACTTTAGATAAAATAAATAACAAGTAATTAACAAATGCAAAAATCGCATAATACTTAAAATAACAAGCTAAGAGAATATACAAGCTAAAAAGCCTGGTTAGCAAATTAAGAAGTAATGATATGTTTGGAAATTCACAACTCGACAGTGTTACCATTAGCAACAGTTTCGTTCCTAAAACATATTTATAACAAATTTCTATATGTGGGATTGACATCCAGTTTACATGTTGGACATGGGAATTCTTTGGTTAAGAATGGCTCATACCTGAAAAAGATAATAGAGTCAAATGTATAAAGCTAGGTAGATATTTATTTTTCTCAGCTGATAGACTCAATTTCAGCCACGAAAAATATTTTGTAAATGGAAATGCAATGTTGTAAGCCTAATCTAAAAGAAAAGCATTAAAAATAACAATCTATTGAATGGCTGGATATCATTTGACAGCCTATTATACACATACTTTTAATATAAATTATATCCAAATTTGCCATATATAAATAACCAAATGCTTTTATTACTTGTTCATCTCAGGAGTCAAAACATTTTCTAAGAACATGTTGCAAATTCATTTGAAAAGTGCTCCAAGTTTACATTGTAAAGTGTAGTGAAGTAGTCTGTGAGCCTTGCAGCTCCGAATATAGCATGGTTTAGAATTACTACTTACCAAAAATTAACAGCAAGATTTCTGCCTTCTGTGGGACTAGGATATGATTGAACTTCATGCCACCAAAAAGCTGGCATAAATAAAACATCACCTTCATTTATTGTGCAGTTTAATGGATAGGTTTCAGCAAATTTTGGAAATTTCTGAAACAAAGTGAATAAGCTCAGTTACATACTTGTAGAACATTCATTTAGCAGAAAATTACATTATTCAACAAGATAACATTCAAATTTGGTGTATGCAATGTTTTATAATTGTAATTATTGTCACTACTTCAGTGTACCTAAATCTTTGCACAGTTGTAAACATCTTCACCGATCATTTCTGATTACTTGCATATTATATCATCTTTGCAATTAAAAAATACTTTTATGAAGCACATAAAACAGATCACCTGAAAATTTGGTTTTAGAATATCAATTGGAGACATAACCAATGATGTGCTATCAGATAAATGTCTCCTCGAAAATGTCATCTCAGTTTTATTAAATGATAAAATCGCTTCTGGTATATGAGCTTCATATAGTCTACTATTATCATGTGGCTCAAATAATATCACTTCTTTTTTACCACTGATCTGAAATTTAACAATATAATATAAGAAAACATGAAAGTCTGATTCCTTAAAAAAGAAGATACTAGATAGAAAATGTTATACATATCCTTCCCTCTAATATATTATATAATCTATCTTCCTTATTAGATCAAAATGAATTTGAAAAAGTATCTATAACAGTGGTACCAAGATGCTTGACAATGAACGCATTTAATTCTGCCAACCTGTGGGGAAAATCTAGTCCAAAGTTCTCTTGTACTCTTATAGGCATATGGACATCACAAGCTACTTGTGTAATGCGTTTCTCTTACCTGACATAAGAAATTATCAAAAGGATCAAAGTGAGTTTTTCCTAACGTATTGCCATCACTTAACCAAATATTTAAATGTTTTAAATGCAGTATTCCTTTAATAAATTCCATTTCTTCTATATCACTTTCCAACTCAGGAAAATACTCCCTGATAGAGGAATATTCCAAATAGGCAGACACATTTTTATAATTTGAATTTGATATGGATTGTATCAAGTCTAAAAATTTTGAAAACTTCATATTGAGAGTTGCTGGACGAACTACTACTAAATCTGGAAATGGTAATTTAGCTTTCACTTCTCTTGGGATTTTTTTTAAAAACTTTTCATGATTGTCCCATAAAGTAACTGGTTCAACACCCTCGTATTCCCCAGTTGATGTCATTTTAATATGAACGTCATTATCACCATATTTTTCTTGAAAATATTTCATGCTCCATTTGTTTGATTTCCATTTCTTCATGGCACCTTCAATGATGACTGGTTTTGACATCTTTAAATATTTGTTGAAGAAATCTTTTGTATTTTCAGCATTAACTCGCTCACATTGAGGTATATTTGACTTGTGATAGATATTTTGAGGTTCTTGTAGACAATTTTCAAAACTGTCTGAGGTACAAGTTGAGGAGTCTTCATGCATGAATATATTTCTAATATTCTTATTAGATATATTAGACACATGAAATAATGATTTCAAAATTTCTTCCCTGTGCAAGCCTTCAATAGACAAAGCCCCATTCTTTGATTTGTATGTAAAACAATACTGATTCACAAAGTCTATAATATTTTCCTTATTGACCATTCCAGTAAATGGAACTATAGTTGGTTTAGGAATAGGCACTTTCATCAGGCAGGATCTATCTTTGATAATTTTTTGAAATATAAACAGTTCAGTGTTCGGCAAGTTTGGTTGTGACTTGTCAGGGTATAAAAATCCATCAACATTAATAGTACCTATAAATAATTGATCTTGTTCTCTAAATACATTACTTTCTAACTCAATCAACATTTCAACAATTTCTTTACCCCTGTTGATAGGATTTAGTAGCAAGCACTTGTTATTTGCTATCTGTATAACTTCAGCTGGTGATAGCATTTCATAGCTGCTTACTTCACATACATGAATAATATATGCTAATACTGACAATATGGTCAACATCATTACAATTGTCTGTTTGGTTAAACACTTACTTCATTGAATACAGACTAAGTTCATAAGAGATAATAGTCCAACCGACGCCGGAAGTTTATAACTTTACAAAGCTGACGTGTCTGAATGAGAGAAAGGCACTTCAAATCATGTCCCAGTGAAATATATTTGTATAAATAAATGCTCTGATCTTTCAAGAGTTCCAGAGTCTGGTATTTAGGCATGTCAAAGAATACACAATGTGTCATACATTATTTTTTTGATGATATTGAAGTGCAGCTACCTAACTGAAGTGAATGCAGCCATGATGGGAAGGGAGTTAACTCTGACCAAAAATTTGCAACAATAAATTACAATCTCTAGACGGCCTTTTTGCTGGATCACTACATACATACATACATCTCAATTCTTGTTTGAAACTTCTGTAGGCGACTTAGCTTACAGTGTCTATTTATAAACCATTTTTTCTGCTAGGCTACAGTAGCCGTCTTTTTGCATGCATCCTCAATCTTGTATTTCTTTATCTGATCTATTATTGACAGTTTTATTTACAAAACAAAATAACAAAGGCAGAATAAGATATTGGAGTACCTAACTACAAATTGAAGATAAGATTTATTTCTAAAATTTCTGAGTTAATAACAATAAAATTAAATGTGTATCAAAAGTATTAGAAAATTATAATTATAATTTTATCAGTAGGCATATAATCATAGGACTCAATGAGGGATACTAATAACATCTATTTATTCTATGTACACATGTATCTATAATTATCCTAGATACAAATACAAAGACTAGAAAGCATAGTCAATGCTAATTTTGGTAAGAGGACTTACAAACAAAATCAGATAATAATTTTAAAAGTTTTGCAATGAAATACTATGGAAAAGTAACAACATAATAATACTTTGCTGAAAAATAACTGGCCTAAATTTGAACAATAACTATGATTATAAACATCACAGATCTGATATAAATTCTCCAAATTTTCCTAAACAATCTGCATAAAAGTCTGGTGAGTCATCGGAACCTTCAAAAGATTCTGCTTTTAACCCATTATGAGGTAGGTCATCAATACCACACACTCCAGTAAATACTAATAATGATTTTAAATTGCATCTTCTAGCCATCTTAATATCCGTATTCATTCTGAAAGGTAAGTTTTTAAACTTCTTGAAATAAACTATAATATTATCATCTTGTTGTTGTACATTGAAGGTTTCAAAGTGATCTGCATAAGTATTTGCTTAATTAGTCACATTCTTTAATAAGTCGCATTTGTATATTGGACATGACATAATGGAGTAATGAAGCGAAAACATTAAACCTATACAATCACCTTAATATAATCCTAAATCCTAGTATCAATTGATATTAACCAATTTGCTCTTCATGTCCATGATGATTTGCTGTTCTCCAAAATGGTGCTTAATTGGACCCAGATAATTAAACATATATAGACAAAATTAACCTACCTATCTCCTACCATCATACACCTTGATGGTTGTAAATCATTAGCCTTAGCTAAAACATCAAACATAGTTGTTTCTGGTTTACCAATCACCAATGGTTTCTTTCTAGCTGCATGACTAACAGATAGTACCATAGTACCAGTACCTTCAAATAAATAAGCTTTCAAACTATACCTGATGCCAAACTGTATCTGCATTAATAGTCTCTTTGTCCTTTGAAAGTATATAAAGTAGCTTAAATAATACTTATAGTAGGTTACTTATATAGTAGCTTATAGAGTTACTTTCAGTTCCTCTTAGGTTTAAAGGTTTAAATATCTAATTTTCCAGCTCACAGTGATCAAGTACAATTTTCATCTACAGGGTTGGTTTATTTCTACTTTCGCTGCATTTTTGTAGAATATAATGTATGATAAAAGACAATATACCTGGTATTACTATATCACTACCCTGAGTAGGTAAATGGGTATCCTCATTTGTTGCTAAAAATAAACAATTGTCTCTCTGTATATAACTGGCTGCCTTTAATATTTTATGATAACTTATAAATGGATCAAAACCAACTAAAACACAATTCACCTGAAATATAGTTGATTTTTCTACACTATGTTCATAATAATAAATAAATATACTGTTGTAGTGCAATTTAATAATGAAGTTTGGTTATGAATATGTAGAAATTACACTACTTCGGTGAAATAATACCTGACAATATTCTTTCCAACTCCAATATTGATCTACTATGGGTTTATTTTTTCCCATTTTTGCCAAAAATGTACACACAGAACCGATACCATTATATATTCATAGCAAACTAATAAAAAAAAACACATTCATTTTCATAAATGTTTAATAAATATTTGCTTTCCAATCAGTTTACTGTCCAATCAGACATCTGCATCATTTTTGAAAATTAAAGAAAACAGCAGAAGAGATGGCAGTCTCAAGTTTCTCAGCTAGGTAAGCAAAAATATTGTACATTTTATATATGTTTAAGTTTTTTTAATGATGATCATTACTGAACACCAAGAAGTAGTGTTAAATTTGATTATAAAGAAAATAAATAGATTTACCTGAGGATCTAGCTGTGTGTTTAACCATGATTTTACTCTATCAGAATATTTGACACTATTATCTTGTTCGACTTCATCAGGCTAAAAAAATAATTATCACTATATATTGATTTAAAGATACAGTTATCCAGTTTGATTATCATGGTTATTCTACATTAAATTTTCACTGACATTAATCATACACTTGAATTGACTTTAGTGAGACCATATTATGGTTACTACATAAAAGGATACAAAAGATGTTTCTAGCATGTGCATTTGTTGGTGTATTAGGGACAAATAACAATCTCCTTGTGCTTCATGTAATACCAGAAAAACCTGAACTGCTAATGATGACATTATCAAGGATATAAACTCACAGGTCTCTGTAGTACATGTGAGATTATCTGATACATACATAACCAAAAAATCTTAAGTGTAGGGATGGGTGATATACCAATATCACAATCTTTAGATAAATACTGGTATAGGAATCTTTAGTAATATTGCCTCATTAAAAAATACTGAAATTGGGAATGTGTATTATTACACAATAGAGAGTGAGATTATTACACAATATACTTACACCAATACCAATATGACTGATATTAAAATTATCAAGTTCTTTTCCCATACCTGGATTACCTACAACATATACTTTTCCTTTAAAATTACTTGTATGAAGATATAACGCTGATGCAAATGCTGTGCCAACAATATCACTCTGTAATACAAAAAAAGCCAATTAATCACTTAGATTTCATGAAACTAGCCTTGCATTCATTTTGTAAATCATTAGACTTTACGCTGGCCACCCGATCCATTCTCTAGTTTTGATAATCTTGAATTAAGTAATTTTCTTTCTTTGTGAATAATTGTAAATTATATTCAGTTTTTTTAAACCCTGTCTTTTTAACTATGAAATTTTTCTATCTGTTTTGGGCATGTATTCATATTAACAAACATAAAAATGGACACATGCAAGCAATTTGATATCATGCATATTTATCATTTTAGTCCCTTAAAAAAGTAAACACTATAGGCACAATGAAACATAAAATTGTGAATATACCATATCTGCATCAAAGCCATATTTCTGACATTTCAGTTGGTACTCATCTCTTGAACTGGAACTATTATTTGTAACATAATACACTTTTTTACCCTACAAAATAAGCATTATCATTAAAACAGGCCAATAGAATAGTAAAGCATTTAACTGAAGAAGGATACAGCGGGAGTAAGATCAGAATTAGTGTCGTTAGTAGATTAGTGCTATTATTATTTGAAATGGTCATCAGTAATATTATGACATCAATGGTTATATGCCTACAAGATTTTTTACTAACAACCTGGCAATGGAGAATGTCATTATCACTTTTGTTGGTTAATTCAAGTAATCTGTACAGAAAGAAATGGGAAACATAATATCAATTTCTACACAGTTTCAACACTTCATAAGAGGCCTTCAAGGCATTTTAAATTATTTGACATACCAGCCTCTTCAAATTTGATATGGTATCAACACTTCCAGGAATTGTCCCATTTCCATCCCAGAGTACACCTGAAAAATTAATTGCTATCAGTTTAAAGCATCTCCATTGATTAAGTTAAACAATGAAATACAAGAAAGAGTTACTTCTTACGCAAACTTTGTAACATAAATTAATCCAATCATGGCGACCAATGACGGACCTTCTGCGACGGACGATGGGTCATCTGCTACAGGTTGACGGGTCTTGCAGAACTACCTCAATTATTCAATAGATATGCCTTTCTAGTCACAATAAGGCCTACATACTCTGCAATATTTTCTAAAAATAGAAAACTATATTTTCTTTAATATTGGGGTTGGATTCAGCCACCATCGTTTAAACCATACCCCCGAATGAAAAGATGTTAAATTATTAAGCCTACAAGTACAACCTGAAATTTAAATGAAGTTGATGATAAAATAATGGCACAGGATAGGCCTAGAGTTACAGCAGCCGAAATAAATTTCTATTGTTACGGTAGTTTACCCATATCTTTTGTTTTATTCAGTACATAAGTACTCAACATCGATTCACAGTATTTTTGAAGGGAAAAAATCTCAAAATTTATTTCACTGTGCGCACTCCTTCTGTAAGGGGACCATTTTTGGTAAAAAAAAAAACTGTGCATTATATTCTGAAATATACGGTAAATCCTAAAACTAACCCAAAAGGTTATCTTTTAATAAAAATTAAAATGCAAGTCATGACCATCCCTTCCTTAACCTAAGACAGTCATCCTGTCATTGTGCCATAACTTGAAATACTTAGTTTATCTTTACGGCAAGCTAGACATATCTGCTGTTTTATATAGCAGAGTGCTGTAACAATAGTCAGTTCCTAAATTAAATCGGTCTTGGATAATCTGACAAAGATCTTCTCTAAAATCAGACTTTTGGACTATTTTATACATTCGTCTTGTCTTGTTGGGTTACCGGTGTTTAATAAAATATCATAATTACCATCACAATCAAATAGAAAGTGATCGGTTTCCGACATGACTTTCTTAGCATGTTCCTTGGTTAGCCTTTCACACGACATTTGTAAAGAAAAGTTCTTTTTTGACATAAAACTTCCGACAAATCTCGATGACGTCAAAAGGGAGGCAACTTGATTTATCACCGCCATAGTCTCAATCTGCCAGTACAACTTGATTAAGCCGAAAGAGAAGGTCTAATCATAGAACTGTATCAAGTTCTATTATCCAACGGGGTATGTAGGTTTTATGGTGGTGCTTCCAACTTTTAAGGAATAATTTAATAACTGTGCTTATATTTATTTATTTCCTTGATTCATTGCTTGTTTTTCTATGAATTGAAATACTAATTTCAACATTTGCTGAACATCTCAGATTGTCTTTGGATCACAGCTCTAATGAATTAAATTGGAGAAATTGATTTCAAGCCGCTTTTGAACCGGAAGTCTTATTATGAGGAAGGTTTATTTCAAATAGAGTTATCAAACTTTATCATGTTTCTATGAACCTGAAGACAATTAATATAGATGATCAATGAATTATTCTTCAATTTGTTGGTCAGGCCCTGTATTCTCTAAAATATCTTAATGCTAGGGTATCCTAAAAACAGTGTGAAAAATTGACTAGGACGTCCTATCACTAAGGTTGTTTCGGTTGTGGCCAGGGGTTTCAAAGAAAGGATACTCTTCCAGGCACAGTTTCTGAATTCAAACAAATTTACAGGTTCCATAATATATTGATTAATACAAGGACAAAATGCTTGAGTGTGGGAGGGTGTGTATCAAGGTTTTAGAGAAACTCTACAGTGCAGGTATCATAAAAGGGAAGTAATTTAGAACTAATTCTGAATTTCTTTTTTTTTCAAGAAAGGAATCAAGTTTGTTGACAATATTTAATTGCATCAGACAATTAAAAATATATTTAAATGAAAATACAAGACTTAGAGCATAAGCCTAAATCTGAGATTTCTGTACATAGTTCACACAAAGCGCCAAACATCAATATAGCTTAATATAATACTTCCAAATGTTAGGGCAAGCAATTGTTTTTTTTTAGTAAAATCTGTCCTTTCAAAATAACTTAAATTTAAATTTTAACACAAAATACACCAAAAATGAATTATCGAAGCAAGTATTGATAACATTGAAATCAGTATTAAGAAAACAAATATCTTTTTACAAACACAAAGTAACAAAAACAAGCTTAAAATATGCCAATATAATATTTGTGTTTATACAATTATATTAACATACATTACATTGAGCTACATGCATCTTCGACAGTCGCATATAACTTATATTTTACTGGCACTAAAGTATTAAATGCTTAGTTTTATTGAGATTAGTTTACTCTACAATTATTTATGTTTCTCAAGACTGCTTTACAAATATATGATCTTGATAAACCAGAATCTGATCAAGAATGGATAATTTCAACTAATCAGACTTATTGTTCAATCCTATTTTGAACAAAAATTTCATAAGAGAATTAACATGATGTATTAAAAGCTAATTATGCAAAATGAGCAACTGAGTGTAACTGTCAAATATATCCACAGTGATAATATTCAAAATTTAATTTGAATGTCTAACACTGGTAACAGACAATGGACAACCACTTCTCTTGATTTCTATAATCATTGTCAACCTTTTAGGATTTCTAGGATTTTATTTTGAAAAAAATAAAGAATTGATGTATTCAAGGACACAATTACTATAAACAATTTAAAATATTACATTTAATACCATAAGCCCAGTTTGAGATTTCTGTCTTTGCCATGCTTTTGTAAATATTTTTCAGATAAGCACTAACCATGTCAGCAAATTTTATTTGATCTTCAAGTTGGCATATGATGGCTATTTATTCCTAAAACGCAGAGTCTACTAAAAATAGGACAACAATAATATCTAACACTGTCAAAGAATGTGCAATATAGGTTGAAACACAAGAGACAATAGACTAAAACTTAAAATGGAGGGCTTAGAATAAACGCTAAGGTTGTTAAATTCTCATCATCAGATATAGTTTTAAGCACTGATAAAACGATGCACCATAAGTTGGACATGGTTGTTTTAAAACAAATTGATAAATTCTACACACTATAATCTTTATTGCTGCTTACATTCTGGTGGCTTTTCTCCCTGAAAATATAAATGGAATTTTAATCAAGAAATTTAAATCAGGTGAACACAAGTTGCCTACTTTTTCTCCAAGGTTGTGTCAAGGTTAAAGACTAGAAATCATTTCCCTTCAAAGAATTATAGCTTATAAAAATTTTCAAACTATCATCATTATACATTCACTAACAAGGTAATATACAAGACAAGTCACCTTTTATAACTACAAATACAGAGTGGTCTGATTGTCAGCAATTACTTTATTTTTCAACAATTACGACAAAGAAAATTTCACTGTTAGACATGAAAAACAGCCAGATAGTGCAAAGGAAGTAAGAGTAAACAGCAAGGAAAGAACAGGTGGCATGCATGGCATGAAATGATGTCACTGCCATTAGATTTAACATTTTTATGAAACTTCTATACATGCATGAAGTTGAAATTTTATTAAACAAATTGATGGTTGGAATATGAGCTATTGTATATTATCAATGAATAGCGAGGCTCAACAAAGGGCAGGCATACTAAAGGTACATGTATCTAACAGACATCATGCGTAGCTTTATCAACTCTGAGACACTGCACAAAAGTAATACATCTAATTTTGTTTTGTTTTTTATAACTGACAAACTGTAAGCCTCCTAATATACTACTTGTTTTTAGTCACTAACCTTTACTAAGTGAAAACAGAGGCAGCAGACAAGGAAAGAAGAAAAAAAGATAATGTGAAAAAATTGAGTGAAAGGGTTTTAATACTCAGTACAGATTAACAGAACCATAGAAAGATCACTCTATTTTTAGCCCACAATAAATCTTATAACATGGTGTCACCAGTAAAGGCAGATTTCAAAAGTTCTGTACAAGAAATCTTTTCTGAAAGCAATTTGCCTTTTTCGTTGTTCAATATTGTGAATATCTAGTGTTGGGCAAAGTAAGTTTAAAAGCAGAAAATGGTAATAAAGTTAATAACGAGATATTATTAAACTATTCTAGCTACCTCTGGAGGTTTGTAATCACCATCATTATCTTCATCATAATCTTCTTCTTCACCCTAAAATTACGAAAGAAAAACTTTACAATCATACAACAAAAAAACAAAACTGACGTTTTCCATAAAAACATAAGAAATATCTTGTTGAAAAAATTTGAAAATCAGTAATACAATAAATTTAGTAAAAGTAGTAAGTGTTTTGTTTTTGACTGATGTGACTGAAAATTCTTTGTTTGAAACTAAGTATTTCTAACTTACATCATCTTCATTATCATCATCATCATACTAAAAAAAAAAATAACAAAAAAAAATGATTTTGACTTGTTCATTATTGAGCTCAATTGGTGAATCCAGTCCACAAAACAACTTCATCTAAATGTGTCAAGATGTATTTATCATATCTCACATGGCATTAAAGTTCTTAAATCAAATACTTACATCATCTTGTTCTAATGCTTCACCAGTAAAATATAAAGCAGCTCTAGGTACAATTCTATCTCGTATAAAATGACCAATTTCAAAATCAGCAGCTAATAATGCTTCTAATTCATCATCCTGCAGGAAAGTAATATAGATAAATTTTTAAACTTTTTTTTGACTAGAACATATATTCTTATTAATGCCTATATTCAGATATCTACAACACTGTTATTTTACAGCTATCAAAATAATGAATATCAACACACTACATAAAGGAAAAGACTTTGCAAGTTGCAATTTAAGTTTGAGAAGGAAACTTACCATTTCTGCATCATCTTCTGGAACTGAAAGGAAAAGAAATTACTTTTAGACAAAAGAAATAAAAGGTTAATTTACATATGGTAAATATGAAATATCATTTCTTTGACTCACAAACAAGCCCACAGCTTGTGATAAAAGAGAAGTTTCTATGAGTTATTGGCCATTGAATCTAAAGATTACATTTTTTTCACATTAGTTCAGATTAGTATAGATACATACCTTCAGGTGGATTGAAGAAATTAAAGAAGGAATCATTGGTAACTGTTTTAGTGACTGTTCTGGTAGTTCCTCTTCCTTTGTGTTTCTGTTTCTTTTTAATTGTTTTCACTGTGACATTTTTACCTTTCACCCAATTGATAGGACACCTGAAGATTTAAATTAAATTACAATATAGGCAATTACCCTAGATGCCATTTGAAACTTTTTGGCACCCAATAAATGTTGACTTTGAGAAATATGACATTTACAGAAGTTATCATTGTGTTTCAAACCGAATATACAAATTTCTGACAAAAATACACATCTTTCTCAAAACAAATTATCCTTATTTCAAGACTTTTGTTGGATGCAGAAACATAACCTACCCTTGACATTTGACTATTTCTGGACCTTCATAAGAGAAAGAATCTTCAGGATCAGGTTCAAATCGTAATGTGTAATGTTTTGTTAATAATGTGTCTGTAAAATATTCATTACTACCAAAGTGAAATTCTAATGTAAAACCCTGAAACACAACATTAAAGCATTTAGCTGATTGTCAATAAGCAATTAATTTGTAGACCTAATCTATACATCAATGGACAAATCTTTATAGAAATGGTAATATTACATCTCAATATAACTCAATTGTGTCAGAAATAAGACATTGTTTGCAGTGACATATGTAACTATACTAACCTTAGGTTCTGTTTCTGTGAAAATTACTTTAATATCTTGTAAATGTTCTAAAATAGGTTCATCATGTTCCTAAAAAAATTGAAATAAATTTTCAATATCTATTAGCTTACTTCAGAGGAATATTCATGGTCTCTTCAATGCTTGAACCACATATTTCTACCCTGTTTCACTGTGGCAGACATACTTCATAATTGGGATTATCAACTCTCATTTCACATGATTTTTTAAATGGCCAATCAACACCCTTCTATGTACAGTTTATGAAGAAGAGGGGCATATCAATATTGTGTCAACCTCATCTCCATGTGCATGATATTGACCTGATTAAAGTAGAGATGGAACTGAGTAAATACTAACCTGTACCATTTCTGATAACATTTCTACATTTTTAAATATTGTTAACCAGAAATGAGGTATACCCTTCGTATCACCTATAAATATATCAAATAAGATTTAAATATATACCACTGAAACATAATAATCAACTATCTTTGTTTTGAGTATAGCTGCAACGATTCACCGTTGAATCGCGCTTCGTTCCTTCTTATTGATGCATTGCGGAAGAAAAAATAATCGCGATACATCGGCCCGATTCTCATAAATATAATTAACTCCCTTTAATGACTAATACTCCCTTTACTGAATTCTCGCGTATTTCAGAAATTTTGTCATGTTCAAAAGTTAAAAAATTGCTTTTCTCGTATTAATTTGTCTTCAGCATTTTTAATATCTGTTATAAACGATGAAAAGAGAACATATTAATATGCCAAGTGGAAGATAAACGCATGGTATCTCATGTAAACTTTTTCTTTTTCCAACATAATATGTGTTTGCATAGTCATAAAATCATTCCCTAAGCTGTATTCGATCGGTTTGGTATTTTATTTATTTTTTTTGAAGAAAATTTCTTAGTCCTTGTGTGTAACAAATGATGAAAAGTGACTTGTTTACTTCTAAGCTTTCCAAAATAATATAAACTGTGTTAAAATGTTATTAATTATCAGTTTTCTATTTCTTTCCCTTTTAATAAAAAAGATCGTGATTTATTATCGCAATAAATCGTATCGTTCAGTGTATCGGATCGCCACTTCAGGAATCGACGCAGCCCTATTTTTTAACATGACTAAGCAAGAAAACAAAAGATATAGGGGAAGAAAATCAGATCACCTAACACAAATCAACCTAAAAAGACATCTCTAAATTAAAGGTTGTCATAATTAGCATATATCACTATATTAAGTAGTTTAAGATGAGGGGATATCATTTTAACAATATCAATTTCTATGCCGATTTATATCAAGATTCTGGTATATTGCCCAGTCCTATTCCATGTTTCAAAAATTTCTGACCAATATCAATATGACAGCAACCATCCCAATGGAATCACTGAGGTAAAATATATACTTACTACCATCATCTTCATCTTTCTTTTCTTCTGCAGCTTTATCATCTACTTTCACTTTGTTTTTTAAGTCTTCCTTCAGATAAAAAGAAACAACAGAAGAGAGTCTCAAGTTGAGTTACAAAATTAATTGTGAAGAATAGCATCTTGAAATAATTTCACTATGACTATTGACGGAAGTCAAGCCAAGACATTTAGTAGGAATTCCAACTCACAGCCAAGTTTAAGACATTAAATTCAAAACCAATTCTTGTTGACATTATTTTGGCTGCCAGAAAGTACTGCAGTATGATAGTTGGCTCTAGACATTATGACAAGTCTACAAACCACTGTTTTGAATTCATTGTTTTGGAGGGATTTTGCAAACTAATTTCTGTTTAATCATTAGCAGATATATCAAACTAGAGACTTACTGAGATTTTGTTTTCGTCGTCTTTCTCATCATCACTAGGCCAATCACATTCAGTATCTGTTGGTTCAACATTACCAGTTAAAATTTCACGTCTTTTATCGAACATAGAAACATATTTACTAGCATATTTACATTCTAAATCATGTACTTCTTTATAGAATTCAGATTCTAATTTTATCACATCAAATTGCAATTTTTTTAATGCTTTTAATCTGCGTTTCACAACTTTAGGTAAACTGAAAAAGAGGTTATAATTGATCATTAATCTCATGTACCAGTATGTATTAGAAATAATTTGATTCATCTTTTATCAACATGATAGCTATCATTATTGATGATTAAGCAATTGGGTTCTTGATATGCCAGCACAGCAGTTATATTACCAAGAAATTTTTTAAGATATTTTAGAAGAACAATTATAAATTAATCGAACAAACACGACTTGACCAAGAACAATACAAGTGACCCTTAATTTCAATGCATTACCTCTGTATATATCCTGAATGAGCACCAACCATACTGACTAATTTTTCTTGTAGAGCAGCTAATACTTGAGGATTTTTCATCACTTGTGAGGCAATATCACCGGCTGATGCTTTATCGGATGCATCTGCAAGAGGAAAGGGTGAAAACTATAAATTAAGACTCTTAACACAGTAAAATCATCTTCAAACTTGTTACTAGTTGACTTCCTTGTTCAGCTTTGGTGATAACTTTGAGCATGTTCATGGTTTGAAATAACATCTAGTCAACTACTGCTACATCATCATTGAATCAACCATTCCATTATATAAGCTGTTTACTTCTACTTGGAGACCATTCCATCCACATGAATTATTATTTAAGCAGAACAGCTTAAAGACATACCTTCAACTTCTTCTACATCTTCAACTTCGTCTTCGACGGCAGCTGTTTTACTACAGAAAATAAATAAGTTACCGAATGGTAATAATCAATAAATCAAATTAACAGTATAATAACTCAATCTAATTTGCAATTTCAAAATGAACTGTACCAATAGTTCTCAAAACTTGTATTGAAATACACACTATTTACTTCTCTATAAACTCTATAGCAACCAGTTCTTGTTACATTTCAGATCAAAATTTCTAGCTGGCACCAATCCATAGAAATCTTAAATAATAGCTCAAGTGGGCTGGCTTATAAATAACATAGGTCTATATCGGATATTCAATAATATTTGAATCCAAGTTAAGTATAACCTACCTCTCTGGTTCTGCCATTTTTATTTATTCAGGCTACCCGGTGATCAATCTAAAAAAATAATAAAAGCAGAGAAATAATAAACCCATCCCTGTATTTTTAGATCTAGTAATTTTTGGAATCAAAAAGGTCAATATTAGCTTAAATGAAGGATAAAGATTTCATGCTTTACAGAACATTATCCAATGCAGTTTGGGGATTCAAACAATCCTGATAAATAACCATTTTTTACGGGGTTTGTTTGGGTGCGATGTTTCATTTTATATTTAGCAAGTAAAAAGTAACCATCAACAACTTAGAACCTGAGTTTGTCAAAGCAATTAGCCTTAATGAAACTAACTAACAGAAAGACAAGAAATTGTTCTAAAATATGAACAAAAAATACAAAGGATTAATAACACATTATTAATAAATATTGAAAAAATGTCTTCAGACATTACCAACATGCGATCACAGTACCACGAGGGAAAATGGTGGTATTTTGGGGCGAAAAATTTGTTAACCACGATTTGATTGGTCAATAGGCGGACATTATGGTCTTTTGACCAATCAACTTCTTTGTAAAGATGAAATACCACTTATTGGCGGGTAATGTCTCGGCTATTCACACTACAAACCTGTGCTGAAAATGATAAAGATTGGAATATGCATAGAATATATTTTATAATGCAGGCCTACAAAGCTAATGATTTCTAGTTTAAGACTTCCTGACTCTTGTTGTGTTGTAAACCTTTAAATTGATGGATAGTTTTTTGTTATCGTTACCGGTTGATGAATGCACCTCGAGACGATGCATTTACTCACAGGGCACTAGTAGCCCTAAGTCACAATAAAGAGTAACAATGTGGCTTTCTATTGAAGGACCTGCTGAACGTATTATTGAACAAACACATCTTATTCTGCCCTATATTTATATAACAGATTAATGTTTATTCGGATAATGATTATGAATTAACCAGCTATTCAGTCGGGAGTTTAGTACTGATAGTCCAAGCATGTAAGAATGTAGTCAATTACTGTAGTCTGATTCTTTAAAACATGAAAAATTGTCTCCCTTTACCAATCACATGACCGACAAAATGTAAACACAAATCTAAGATAAAGAGAGTAAGATGTATTATCTCATGTTCAAACACTTGTTACGAACTTAACGTTCAAGATGATTGTCTTATTAGTTATTTGTCTTTCATTGTCATGCATTGAATCTAAAGGTTAGTCAACCTCGTCGGATAGTGATAATAGTTCCACAGATTATTCTTCTTCCAAGATCTATTAATTTCTATAAGATAACTATTCGAAGACATTGATTGGATCTAAACCTGTGATTAAACACTGATAAAGAGAGTGTCCTACATACTACTCAGTATCAGTAGCCTTGCAACCTCCTTTACTGTAATGCAATAAAAAGTTGAAATATATCATGATAAAATGATTATGAAATCCAATGATATGCCAAGAAGGCTAGGGAACTTTTCAATAGAGTAAATAAGCATTAGCATTCCCATGTATGTACTTTCGTCTACTCTTGAATAGATAATTCAACCTTCTGTCATTACATATTTTGTCAATTTGGTTCAGTTTTTTTTTTTTTATCTGAACGATTAGAATGAATTTTCTTATTTCAGAGATTCTGTTAAAAGAAGGACAAATAACAGATGTAAGCCTGTATGATGATGTGACTACTGTTGTCCACATATTAGATAACTCTGTGAAAGACATTAACTATATAGTATTAGAGATACATTCTCAAGTTTATAACGTAACTGTGTCAATGGTACCTGATTTTAAACTGTATGATGAGACTGTCAGTGGTAGAGATATTGGTATTATAACAAAGTACCCCAAAGCTCCTGCTGTCCACTGGTTTGTTAATACATCTAGTATTCAAGTTGTACAATCTTTAATGTTAATTACTTATATCAAACAGAATGGTAAGTTTTTATGTGAATGCATGGTTTTGAAATGTTCTCTACCATTGTTACGACACACGAAGACATCGTAAAATGAACATGTTGAATTGTATCCCAAGCTATCGTGCTATCCATCCCCTCACATTAACTTAAGCAAGGTCACAAGCCGATTGGCGTCATAAAAAAAATTGAATTTTTTCTCAGTCTATAGTCAGCCTACATTCACTTGCAAATAATTCAATTTTTCATATTATCTACCAGGTATAATAAGAACACCCTTTTACCCTGTCCTACAAGAAACAGAGAACATACACCAAAAAGTTATGTCATTTAGGAACTGAACTTGGGATGGTGCCTAGTTTCCTACACAAACGATGCTGGCCCCACCGTAAAATATTCTTGAGTACAGTTTAAAACACCAAGCTGATAAATATATGAAATATATAATCTTGCATAAGCAATCACTCAATCAATGTATCAACAATTTGAATTCAGAAATGCAGCCAATGGTTTTCCTAAGATTTGCCTTGATGTTGTCATATTTTTGGACATTTTCAAAACTCTACGCTATGACAAAATACCCTGTGCACCCAAAATCATGTTGTCGTGTTGTACATGCAGTCACACTACACGACATTGTGTCTTAGTGTGAGTTTGTACGCAGCATTGTGTAGTGCAATCGTACAATGTGAGGCCTGCTTAAGACTGCTGTTTATACAGAACAAACCAATACCCTGGATGGCTTCAGGATTTATCCAAGCAGAGAATTTGATAGAATTGGTGCACATCTATATGTATTTGAATGAGGGGCGTTCATCTGCATGATTTCAGGGTCAGATATTCTATTGCAGATATTACTGATATAACACAGGCTAAATTTAGATGACACATTTCATTGAACTGCAGGAGAACTAAACACCAGATTTATTTCCTGAAACGTTCACAGTGTAAATATAGAACCATAAAATTGGGTTCATAGAAAGCAATTCCTTAGAAAAACATCTATTTGATTGCTTTTAGCATTTCGACTGATTTGTTTGGTCAGACATGAATTGATCTGGTTGTATTTTGAACATTGTAGTAGTGGCAAAGCAGGGCATGCTTTCTCTTTTTGAAACACCTAATGGTACTTATCTTTGGAAGAGTCCATTACTATACAACTATTACTCTCGATTTTGTCATGCTTTGGACTTTTGATTTTGGATTAATGGAATTATCTTGCTTGAATGTATTTTTATTGTATTATAATTGTTTATGTTGTAGAACCTATACCAGGAGGATGCAATCAAATAATGAACTTAGAAAATGATGCTAATCTTCTACTGTCTTATACTAAATATTGGACTGCAGTACATTACCAATGGTCAAATACAGCTATTGAAAATGATTGTGAAAGCTCTGAGACACAGAAACTTCTAGAATATGATGTTTATGTGTATTTTTTAAAAGAAGCCAGTTTAGGGGGAGAATATTACAAGAAAGGCATAAAAAACATGATGGGCAAAGAAAATATTATGAAAAATGGTAGAAAGGTAATGATTTCCAAAATCAATAATTCTTTTTAATTTTATAAATGCAATAGATGGTTTTGTGATTTTAACTATGAATTTGGTTATTTGATCTATTTAGTTTTATAAATCACATCGTTTGATTATTTGGACTATTCTTATTATATAAATCATTCAGTTTGGTTATTTAGACTATTTCATTTATATAAATCTCATAGTTTGCTTTTTGGATTATAATAAATCACATAGTTTGGTTATTTGGACTATTTCAGTTGTTTAAATAACTAAGTTTGGTTATTTGGAATAATCCAGAGGTATAAATAACCTAGTTAGGTTATTTTTGAGAATATTTCAGTTATATAAAAATTAAATAATTTGGTTATTTGGACTAATTTGTGTCTACAAATCACATAGTTTGGTATCATTTATTTCAGTTATTAACTATGACCAATGATATGAGGACAGTATCTAATTTTTCAATGTCCAGTATCAATGGACAAGGTGTAATATATAGTATAATAGTAAGGCAGACTAATTTTGGTACCTCATCAAGTTATATTAGTATGGTTTCTTATGGCTGTGATTTACTTAAACAAACCTGTGATATTAAAAGTAAGTTATATTTTGATATTTTATTATTTTGTTAAGACCTTGTATAATATGTTAAAGTAATCCTCCCATACACATTAAAAAAAAAACTGACCAAATAAATGTTGATTTTGCTTTAAGTCAAACAAGCAAATCTTTGAGGGCATATTCCTGAGTAATAGTAAGTATGTTTAGCAATTTTCAATGAAATCTGTGAGATGGTGCTTTTTCTTTTTGGACATCGCTTTTTAACAGATCTAACTATTTTTATTGTTTATTTTAGTTGATAAATCTGAATATGTTATCGGGGCATTAAGTGCTATTATTGGTTTAGGTTTATGTTTCTGTGGACATCGCTTTTTCAAAACAGGTAAATAATATATTGTGTTATTCATAAAAATGTTTACGTTTTTCTGCATTTATATGAATTATTTCTTACTAGAAGTGTTTTTGTCTGGAAAAATTTCAATTTAGAATTCAAATATTAATGGTTTAAATTTTATTTCAGAATTGTTTATATTTGGATTCCTGACATTTAGTATTATATTTTTTCTCATATTTTCAATATACACAAATTATATTAATACTGGTAAGTATTTATTACATTATGTTCTATCAGATTATTCTAAGTAAAATATGTCCCACAATTTTGTCATTGTTATCAAGAAACTGACCCAATATGACATGCTTTGATTAGTTAAAAATAAGGTCAAGACAGGACAGTGATAGAAAACTTGTTGGATTATAGTGGAGAAGAAAAATGTAAGTTAAAGAAAAAAGCAATTCCTTACTTAATTTTAACAATATTGCTATGGGCGGAGCCTGTAATGTCTGTAAATCATGGAAACAGAATTTTTTTTTCATATACATGTATTTTGACATTGCAGATGTGTTAATACCACTAGGATGTTCATGTGGTATTATAGGAGGGTTACTAGCTGTATTGTTTTGGTGGTATTTTGGTATACCAGTATTATCTGTATTATTTGTTGGACTAGTTGGTGGCTATCTATTCTCAGCTATCATATTTTTTACTCCCTTTGGTAAGTTAAAACTCTTTTTCTAACAGAAAATGGTCAAAGTTTAGTACTTTATCAATTTGAGAAACTTATTCACACATACCGGTATGCTATATTGGTGCAGATAGACATAAAATTTAAGGAATCTTAAGTCCTCAATCGTGGGTTATTTTACTTCAAGGCTATTAAATATCACAGCATCAGCGCATTATATACATTTATGAGTTGTTATTCTTTTATAGGGAATTTGAGTTATTGGCATACCGAATTTAACTATTGGATGACATTTGTTTGTGGCTTATTATTGTATACATTGGTACTTCTGTGTTTTACTAAAACGGTAAGCTCTCTGACTATTGATCTCATACTAGTATTTTTAATTTAAACAATAAACTGTAGTGTTATAAATGTAGGAAAGATGGCTAAGTGAGCTTGCTTGCTACCTAAAGTTTTCAACCTGTTTCTCTCCCCTCCCCACAGATGAACAGATGGAAATCATATGAGAGAAGGTTTAAGTCCTGGAAAAATTACCATTATAACACATTATTAAAGAAAGAAACTCAGGATAGAATAGTAGAGATTTATAGGAAAGGAAGGTAAAAAAGGAGTAATAGGGAGAAAGGGTTCAAAACCCTTGAGATAGACTGTTCTTACTTTCAATAGCAGAGTTTTCCTTAATAGTAGATTAACAAGACTTCAAATTTTAGAGTAGTGTGTCTATAGAAGAATTTGACCTCTATCTGCTCAAAAAGTGAATTGTGAGATATTGATTTATTTCAGTTAAATATTGTAACCTGTGCTTTTGTTGGATCTTACTTGTTATGTTTATTTCTGGACATATTACTTAAGACAACACTGAAGTTAATATTGTTAAATAATTTTAATAAAGCTATAATCAAAGATTATTTAATGGTTCATATTGTAACACCATTTCAGCTCAATGGTAAGCTTTTATCTCTAATACTTGAAACAACTCCTTTCCATTACTGTAACTCTTTCAGTGTATTCACAAACGATCCTTCTACCAGCTAGTCATTGGCCAGACCACTTGCCATTGATCTCTTCCAGATGGTCAACTGGAATTATGGGTGAAGGTGTTTCATTTCACCTGACTTTCACATGCAGACAGAGATTAGATATGATAACATGATGTAATAAAAGAACCAACGTTCTAACAGACTGTGCTACAGAACCTAATGAACAAGAACACATTCACAACAATTTTTTTATATCATGGGTGATCAGCAGAAAAAACTGAAAAGAAAAGTTCATCTAGATCTACCATTTAATAAGATTTGTATCTCTCAATTTGAAAGTCAATATTTTCAGTCAATTTGTAAATGTAATAATTTTTACATTCATTCCAGATATTATACTAGTGTCAACTTGGTTAATATTGATGATAGTTGGTATAACTGTTCAGTTCAAACAATCTAAAGGTTATCCCCCCTTTCCACCATGTCCTAGAATATTAAGGAGAAGAAGATTAGAACAGGAAGTTAATAGATTGAGAACTATGGAGCAATATAATAATGAACGAACACCATTAATATCTGGTAATGATCAACCACCCTCTTATACACAAATAGCTAGTGCACCACAAAGACAAGAGCTATACCAACCAACATAATCCACAACTGTAGAAGTATTAGCCACATAATGGTGAAAAGGTAAAAATAAGGTATACATGAAAATTTGCTCTATTTTTCTCTAATTTTTTTCCAAAAAAATCATTAATTTTTTCAGTCAAAATCAAAACTGCAACATTCCTATCTTTTTTGTATATTTTATATGTATTACACTACTTAATAGTCTGAAATTAAAAATTATGTATTAAATAATTATGGTTTGCTTCAGATAGGAACAATAATTCTCAAATCAGCAAAATACTGAATCTTTTTTTTATCAAGTCAATGACTAATAATAAATATTTGATATGCTTCATAATGCCAGATTGTTTTTACTGGCATCATTTCAATATTAGTTTGATTGTGCAGGTTTAATTTGATATTGTTCATATCTTTTTATAGCTGACTTCTTTTTCAATACTGTGTTTACTCTACCATTACTGAATTATTTGTTGTTATATATTTTGATATTTAATCCTATTGTCAAAAGCATAATATGCTGTCATTTGTGTAATTTAATCTATATCTTTTGTTTGTTTTCTTGCATTGTTTGAATTGTTTCTTGTATAGCATTGCCATTTGTATATTTGCAGTATTTCTCTTAGCTTCTTTTCCTTGGATATCAACTTGTTGAAATATTGACGGTACTCAATTGAACTATCACTGGTAACTCATATTTTTAAACTCTGTAGTTGGAACTTTTCTCAAAATATTTATTTGTATCATTCTAATGTACACATGAAATAATGTTTTCTAAAATGCCCGTTGCTGTTACTAACGTCAAAATATGTTGTTAAACTCAATAGTGCTATATTTTGTATATTTTGTTACATATTATAAGCAGAATTAAATATTTTTTTGATTAAAATTTTTTGCCATTGTCATTAAATTCCTCATGTTTGCTGTGTCAAAATACAAATACAATTAGGTAAGAGTTTCATGGACATAGCTTAAAGGTCAAAACTATGATACTACATGCTACTAGGAGATGCATGTAAATAAATCATGAAAATGTAAGAAAAATCTTTTTCCATATAAATAATTATATTACAAAACATGTTTTACAAACAAACAAATATATTTGGATAAAAAAAAATCACTAAGGTACTGTATTGAATGTTTCCAAAACATACACAAAAAAAAACATGTACATAACATTTTAAACATCTAATTTCACATCCATTTCTACAGTTCAAGATGAGCTCTCATCAATCTTAAAAAATTTAGAATTGAAAAACTAATAGTTCACAAGAATATTTGACCACCTGTACCATATGAAATATATATCAACTGAATTTTGTTAGAGAAAATGTGGTGTAGATTCAGTTACTGCTTGAAGATTAACATACAGTCAGCAATATCACTGCATCTTTGACTTGCTGTAGCATCTGATACAATGATGTAAAGTTAATATACATGTAGTTATTAGTATATTATTCCAGATTAAAATGCTTGATTGTTAAGTACCTATATGCAAAAATGACCATCAGTATATATTAAGATGGTGCAGGAGAGGCTGGTGGTGTTTTATCTAAATCTTCAGTTTGACAAGATTTTTCTTCTAAATCTTCCACTGTTATTATTCTATCTTTAGATGTGCTACAAATTTCTAATATTTCACGTAATGTCTTATTTTCTGTTTTCAATTTGGTCAATTCTTCATTTTCTTTAGATGACATTTCTTCATCTACTATTACAGCTTTCTGCATCACTGCTGCCATCTCGTGTATTTTACCCAAAAGGTTAGTTACTTCCTCCTAAAAAACAAAACATTGAATTGTTTTACCTTTTGTACATCTAGGGTTTTTTCCAAATATATCACATACATTTTTAACTGGCTTGATTTTTAACTGATCAACATACATCAAGAATAACTTTTTTCAAATATTCCATTTGAAGAATCTTTGTAAGTGCAATAAGAAATGTTTTATCCAGTAAAGATACAATGACAGGAATAAAGGGCCAGCTAGCTCAGAAGTTAGTTCCTTAAACTAATGGTAAGATTGAGGTCAAATGATATATTCTGTATCGTTCTCTAGGTGTTTTGGAATTTTTCTGGACTCATGTGGTTGTATGGCTAAATATTTATTATCAGGTATTTCTTTGGAATAATAACACCCACATAACTTACTTTGGAACTTTCTTGTCTATTAGCAAGAATGGCTTCTACTCTATTACTCTGTATTAACTGAGCAACTTGCTCTCTATATTTCTGCATTATCAACTCTAAAGCTGATTGATGATCTTCCAATGACATTTGTAATTCTTGATTTTCTTGTTGCAGTTCTCGAATCTGACGATTTTCTTGGGCAATTCCTAACACTAATGTGGATCTTGGTCTGTGTTTAGCAATTTCATTTAACTCTGTAATATCATCTTGGTACTGAAATTACAAATAATTGATGAAAAGTTACAGTTTCTTACCCCAGGTTGAATTACTCGAAATTTTATCAAAAAAATAATGTTTAAATTGACAGAATCATACATTTTTTTGCTTCATTTCTGATTTTCCCAATATGATCATTTGTAATATTTGCCAAAGATCTACAATCTTGCATTCTAAACATCAATATTGTGATCAAAAGACAGATGAGTAACACATCAATATTCTTTTTGGGACCTCAAGGTGTTCATCATCAACACACTATCATGCTTCATAGTCTTAATAATAACATTAAATCTTTACATCTACACAGATATACTAACCTGTTTCATACCATCAACTCTAGTATGTAAAACTTGAGTATTTGCAATTAGAACATCTGCTGTTGAGTCATGGTCCTTCAATCTTGTTATTAATAAATGGGCATCTTCTAATAATCTATCTATTGTTAATGCCATTTTATCAAAAAACTGTGTCCACTCTACTGAAAATGAAAAAAAATAATGGTAATTAGTGAATACATAAACTCTATCCCTTGGGTTCAACTATGGTTACTCACAAAATGTTATCATTAGCAAATTCAACACAGTGAATAATAACTTTGCTAAATAGAACAAACGTTACGGTACTTATATAGGCTAAATGGGAAACGAAAGTACAGACAATATGTTTATCTTACTTAGGCCTAGCAATTAGGCAAATAATATAAGTAAATAAATAAGAAATATTAATAAAAATATGTTTATTTCTATACCGGAAGTTAATGTCTGACTTAGCGTCGTACAGAAGCACCTGTTTGATCTCAACAAGAAACGAAAAATGACAAAAAATGATCACTAGGATTTACACCTTAATCCACTCACAAGACACTTGTGCAAATTTAGTATGTATGAATTGAGTCGAAGATTGAACTAAATAAAGAAAATTGAGGTTGAAATAAAGGATAATCACACATAATATTCTTAATCTAAGTGTGAGAGAGTTATTTCCCTTTAATAATAGGAGAAGAACTCTCTTTAGCTTAGGTTACTTACGAAGTATAATATTTTTGGTGTTTATTTCATATTTCCAAACATGACAGCTATATCAGCTTTATCCTCTTTAAATATGATTATTTAAAGGTTTTGCTTACACTCTCGAGTTTACTGAAATATTGTGTAAAACTTTAAAAGTAATCATGGCAATCAGAAACATGATGACATCATGTTCAAAGTGGTTGTTTGGCAAACAGTCATTTAAAACTCTAGTGAACCCTACTAATCAGAGACCACAAACTAACACGATCTCACATAAACATAATGAACAGTTAATGTCTTATGGTTGTGGTGCTAAAAAACTGTTCACAAATGATCCTAAAATGGTGCTCAATTCATTTAAATCTCATCAATTTCCTTCCAATGCTAACTACCATTTTCCAACAATTGAATCAAGGTTCCTGTATTCTTCCTCAAGTATCAACCAGTCAAAAAAACACAGTGATAAATCTTCAAAAAATAAACAGGCAGACAATCTGAAACACCAAAGTAAAATTTTAACCCAGAAAATTCCATCCAGAATTAAGACAGTTGTACATGAACAAGTAAGTGTAGTTTGGGAACCATGTCTGCATGGTAAGGTCAGGTAGCCAGTGGATCAGTTTGTTCTCATTAACCACTTTTTTTGAATGTCTGATTTGTGTACTAAAATTAGAGATGCAGATATTGATGGTTAGATAGATATTGGCAAAAGAAATAGTCTACATGTTTAATTACATTTATTAGATTACCTCCAATCCATTTAACATTCAACATATGAATTACAGGAAACAAAGAATTTAACAACCATATTTTACAGGGATAACAACTTAAAATCATTCTCGAAACGATCTTAGCACTAGGATTGTCCTATGTTCTTATCTTCTAACATTGATTCTAGGACATCCTAGCGCTAAGATCGTTTTCAGAATACGGGGCAAGGGTCCTTCTTCCAGCTGGTTCTTTACTAAACCTTGCATTGAACTTTCCCCAATTAATCGTTCCCCTTTACAGCTGGGTTGATATTTATGAGTGAAGATGACTCACTGACCGAAATTAGAACCTATGATCACCATTTGGTTGACATAACCAAACAAATGATGTCATGAAGAGAACCAACACTCTAACCATCTGTGCTACAAAACCCCTTAATATTACAAAAATTTGCTTGACTTTTTTTTTCATTAATGATTAACTTTATTTACAGGTGGATAAGATTGTAGCAGCCTATTCAATAGCAGAAGAAATAAGCCTAGAAAGATTACAAGATAGTTTTCAAAGAAAGGGTCTATATAATTTGGTTCCATTACCAGCAGGTATAGGTTTTACTTGATTCTTTTCTAGTCAATGAAACCCTCTAATAGATAATGCTATGGGTATCAATAGTTGGATTTAAAAATTAAATTTGGTACTTCTAATAGCACAGTTTTTTATTGATAAATAATCAGAAAGGTTTTGTTATTATTTGTTTGTAGATGCTGAAGCCCTGATGTTCCGAGCTATATATCCTGTAGATGAAAATGAAAGAGAAATATTTATATTTAGATCAGGTTCAGCAGTCTTCTGGAATTTCTCTGAAACTGAGGTAGGTCTGAAACTTATCATATGTAGCTTGAGATATTTTATGAAAGAAAGTAAATGATATTGATTCAGATAGTGTGTGTGCCTTGAATGAAAATATATGTTATTTTTTTGTAAACAATGTTTTATTTATATAGTAATGAAAAGGATTGGGGAACAGGCTTTCGCCTATATTACCCCTCTCCTGAAAATATATGTTATGAATATTATTATCTGTGTAAGCTAATTTTCAATGAAAATGCCAATTTCAACAGAAGCATCATGTATTCAAAAAGAAAGAGTGTGTTATATCTTCCTAATGATACCTACCATATTAGGTTTAGATCTGAAATTTGAAGAAAGGTGGTAAAGAATTTCAAGGAATTGCAATGCACTTAATTTTACCCAAATGTTGCAAAATAATGCAAAGGCTGATAAAATGTTTTTGATGTATTCTATTGCTTTTGACTACATTTCAAATTATAGCATTGATTCAAGCTTTAAAATATTTTGTTTTTCAGACAGATGAAGTTATAAAACATATAGAAATTTTCTGTGAAAACTTACAACCTGTTGTTGAAAAGGAATTTTTAGATTATAGATTTACTCAGTAAGTAGACCTAGTAGAACTAGTACATTGAAACTTTGATTAGACTTTAACATTTTGGATCTATCTTTGATTTGTCATATTTCTTGTTAGCTTGATATCGTTATTATTTATTATTATATTATTTATAATTATTTATTATTTCTATATGGTCAGCCTAGGTTTTATGTTTGATTCGGGCATGAGTTGAGATGGTAGGTCCAACTGTGCCTCTTGAGTAGGCCTACCATCAAATTTCTCAACCCTTTTCCCAGTTTGATAGGATTAAATAAGCATTAATTGTACCTTGGCCTTGCGCAGTCATACATTTAGCTACCCTGACAGATTGAATTTGAAAATGGTAGACATAGTTTGGGCAAAATTTCGCTCATTGCGCACAACCATCCTCATTTGATGGAGAAAGATAGAACAGTACATTTGAATGACAATTTCAGGACACCTTCTAAGCTGATTGGTGAAAGAATTGAGTTAAATGATAAAACTGAACATTTAGAACTAGAGAAATATGCTTGTTCTGATGCTTTATCACAATCAGGTAGTCTACACATTTTTACCATAGCTTTAAGAATGCAGTGGACAATATAGTAAATTGTGCGTGCTCAGATATATATGCGACTCAATATGAGTTTATAATTACATGTTTTAGGATTTCAGTACAAATTAGCAATATCAATTCAAAATGGAAATATTGTTGAAAATTGTCATATTATTACAGAGCCCCTAAGGCGCAATTGTAAACATATTTATTTATTATTTCATTTAAATGAAATAGATGAAAAAATTAATTCGTTTAAACGAAATAAACATAGGGTATTTCGTTTAAACGAAATAATAAATAAATACGTTTACAATTGCGCCTTAGGGGCTCCGTATATTATGGCCGTTGTTTGGCAAAATATATTTTTCATAGTTCATATGGGTAATAAATAAGATTTCATATTTAATATATAGTTATTATATTTTAGTATTATTGAAAGCTATTGAAGATTCTGTTCAAGATTTCTCGGTTTCTATGGAAGAAATAGCACAGGTAATCTTTATGTTGTTTTAATCTAAAAGATTATTTACAATTTTTAATTGGGCAACTGCAAAAGAAAAAAATTGAATGAGTGGTTGAAGTAACTGAAAGAGTAAAAATAAATTTATGATTAATGTTGCATTTAATTTACTCATTTCCGGTCCAATTACAGAATCTAAAAGAAGGTATAAAGATAAAGTTAACACAAAGAGAAGTTTTACAAAAAACAGGAGTAATATTTGTATTTAGGTGAGGTTTTATTCATTAAAATTTAAAGTATGATTTTAGCATTCTTTTATATGATTTATATATTTTTTAAAAATTTGTTTTGAATTTAATTTTTTCTTGCATTATATGCATTGTTTCTCCGAATTAAAACATAACATGTTCTTTCATTTGTGGAAAACTAACTAATTAATTAAGTAATGGTGATTACTACCACTCTTTATACTTGCAAGGAAGTTTGTTGTAGTATGTAATGTTTATTATATTAAAAGTATGTTAAGTCCTCAAAAATGCATTTTGACCAAAATTTAACAAATAGCAGATCAATTTTAATTATCATTTCAGATGCAAGATCAATCTAAGCGCTGATTTTTTGGATACTCCTGATTTTTATTGGGAAAGAGATAATTTAGAATCAATTTATCAGAGTATATATAGTCATTTATTAATTGGTAAACGAACTAGGGTAAGTATTTTTATAGATATAATTCAGTTGTCACCTTTAGTGACAATTTTTATACATCCAGTTGATGGAAAAGCCATACAGTTAACGTTAAAAACACTGCAATGGCCTGTCGCTGCCTATAGCCAAGTCTTTATATGTGGTCTTCATGCTTAAATGTTTTCTTAGTTTCAAATATTTAATTTTTTTCAGATATTAAATGAACGAATAGAATTATGTAGTGATTTAACACATTTAATACATAATAAATTAACAGATAAAACTCATATTAAATTAGAGAAATATATTATAGCCTTAATTTTAATAGAGGTAATGTACACTTTTTTATTTCTTGAATTTTTTATGATGGAAAATTAAATCTGGGATTGATTCTATTTAGAAATTCTGTTTAATATTTCAAAAACTCATCTGATGCCATTGACATATGGTTGGAAAACTTGATGCATGCTAAGAACAACTTTATAAGGAATACACCTCACTGAATCATGAATTCACAGCAAAAGACATAATTTTTTGATCTGTTATTTTCATTGTAGGTTGTGTTTGAAATAGTTCATGCTGCAATCAGGTGGTCTTCCTGAGATAGAATAGTCTACTGTATAGATTTATTAACTAGCAACGATATTAACATCTATCTAGTCTTTAAATGTTTGAATGATTTTAATTTGAATGATCATTATATAGTGACTCATGTTTCTCGTGTGATTGAGGGTAATAGATTGTGTTCCAGCTCCAAAACAAACCCCAGAAACTGTGACTATATCTACTCTCATAGTATCAACAATATATGGGTTTTGGTTGATATCAGTAATACTTCATTTGTTTATAAATCCTTTATTTAAAAAAATCCTTTATAAAATTGGCACATACTGTCACTAATCAATTCCAATATCAACTTAAAATCATTAGAAATCGAACCACAGTAGCAAAAGACATTGTAATCCAGTGTTTCAACATTTCTTTACATGTATTTGTCCTCATCTGTTGCATAAAATGAGGAATATGATGTAAGATAGTGGTTTTATCTCAAAATGTTCTCATAATGGTGGACCAATGAACAGAGTGAAACTTCATTCTCTGTAATGAGAGCATTTGACAAATATGAATGACTGGCCCATTAAAAAGATTTCAAACAGCATTTCACTTGATATTCCATATTTTGATATTGTCAAAAATGAATTTTGTTATTAGAACACAGGTCAATCCCAAGGCACTTTCAGATAATTTCTGGCCAACAGACTTGGCTCAGAGTCAGCTCATACATAAGAAAAAAGGTTTAATCTTCATTATACATTGTGTTTATTTATATTCACTTTAATAACAACATAAACAAATAAAGCAATAATAATAATAATAATAATCAGCACTTGTTGGCTTTTATATTATAAATTTAATTTTTTAATCTGTACACTCCAGTGTAAATATAACTATTACTAAAAATCATAAACATAAATATTGTCAAATCATGAACATAAATATTGTCAAAATCACTCATAAATTATTAATAATACATAACACTTTTGGTGTATCAGTAACACTGATAACAGATGAATTCAGAACATAAACACAAACAGTCTGTTTTAATTTTTGGTAAAATCGTGTCCATTTCTGTTTAATCTACCTAAAATTATAGTAGACTGCTTGTGTTTATGATGTGAATCAGAACTGGATGTGAACAAATATTCAAGGTTACAATTGAGTACCTTGCTTCAAGATCAAGTACTATACATAAAGAACAACTTTGCAACAGCTTTGTATCTGTAAACTAAAAGAGGATTAAATTACTAATTATGTTCACTAACTTCAGAGCATAACTCTGATTTGTGTTTTTCACATAAATTATCTTAACAAAACAATATTTTCATGTAGCAAACTATTCTCTGGCAATATTTAGACTCACCAATGCCAACCTGTGCCAGTTTAAATGCCAAAATTCATTTCACTAAAAACTTTTACCCTTTCAATTACCAAAATTACATTCAAGGAGTAGAAACTTTTTACTCCTTACTATCATACTAAAATAAGAAAAGACTTGACATATCAATTGGCCAATGGAAAATGTATTTAAATGCACAGTAAGGTCAGATTCAAAACAGAAAGAGCCCAGTTTGTCTCTGGTTATTTAAAGTACTAATGAACACAATATAAGTCTGCTTGTATAATTTCAAATGCTATACATTTCTTACTTCAAAATAAAGTAAACTGTTTCTGTTATTGACTTAAAGCATATACAGAATTCACTGATATCTTTGTCTGCTTTTCCTCATATATTTTAGCATTCTATTACACAAATAAATATAACATTATGTGTTTTCATATACAGCTGAACTATATTATCAATAGTGAAAACAGTGAATTGTTTTAAATATATATATTATTATCACGGACAATATTAAAAGCAACAAATATCACAAGTTTATTTATTAGTCTTTCTTATGGAATTCAATAGAATCATTAATCTCTCTAGAATCTAGATCCATATTACACATTACCCACTTAATGGATCTTCTCTACAATTGATAGCATAGCGTAATCGTTCAGCCATGATCTCCTGACTGCTGTATTGGGGTAATTTAATCATAAACATACAAGTTTCAACTCGTATATACCTTTTATCTGCTGGACCTGTAACAGAGAAAGTTCATGTGTTTACAATTCTTTCCCAGTCTCCTCTAAGTTAAAGAATTAAGCTTCACTTGTACAAATACTGTAGTAGATGTTTTTTTTGTAGCAGGGTAACTATCTCTCCTTCTGTGACATCTTTTGACACTTTTCTTGTGAATGATTTCATTGCATTATGGAAAATACAGTCAATCAGAGTCCTCAAATAAAAGCATAGCAATATTGTTTACAATATTTCTATCAAGATCTTTGATTGGCTGTGTTTGCTAGCTTTCCATCCAACAATACGCTGCATTGACAAATTCTAACTGTGCAAAGAAAGACAGTATTAGACAAAATTTGTAATAGCTGGAAATTGTGAACAAATAAATTCCTAATTTATTTATCTCTATTCTCTATATATCAAAATTATCAAAGCAATGATTCATTTTTTATAACCAAAACCTAATAGATAATAAATAAGGAAAGACTGTAAAAACCAACCCCTACCTGATCCATCTGGTGGAGCTATTTTCATAGGATATGGTGGTACATGAGCAGACTCAGATCCACCATCTTGACAAGGACAAGTCTGAGGTATTCTCTCCTGATTACAAGCAAATTTAATAAACTTGGCTAATTCTTCTTCAGTAAAATTTTCTAGAGTTTCCCAGAAGTATTCTATATGAGAATCAGTTTCTGTCAGTCCTATCTGATACATGGTGTGCATCTATAAAGGAAGAAAACAAATTTAAGATTAGCACGAAAAAGAAAATTAAAAAACTACATTGTTCTGTGGGCATTTTAAGTTGTAAACTTGTCTAGACATCCATTACAACATTAAAGGCATTTATGAGTTCTGTTTGTTCAGGGTTTCATGGAATCAACTAGAAATTCAATAAAACAAATTAGAACAGTTTCATGAATGAAAAGCCGGTCTAAACAGAATTCAAATTTGTATTTTTGAATATAACATATCTGATTCTGTACCATTCTATTGACGCTAGAATTTAAACAACAGAAACCTCAGAACTCAGCAATCAAGTGCCACCAAAGAGTCATTATTTAAGAACTTTCGATGAAAACCACTATGCTTTATGAATTTGATATGAAATTACCTTCAAAAACTGAAGATTGACACTAGGTAATCCACACATTCTAATTTCTAAATCAGCTGATGTATAGAGATTTAATAGTTGTATAGGTATAATAGAGGCTAGACCAATTTTTACACATTCCATTCTATTCATATTGAATAATTCTCTTAATCTTAATTTACATATAGCTTCTATATAGCTCTGTCTATTATTCCAACTGAAATATACAATCATAGCAAACATTTTATACAACAATGAAAACACAATCTATACAAGGGTAAATAATATACAATGATTAAAACTAAATGTACAATGATTAAAAATCCTGATTGGGAAAGAAAGAACTACTTAAGCCATTGCTTTAAATGTTAAAGTTCTGACTTAAATTCAGATTATCAGGTGATCCAATTAGATATATATAACTGAAAAATAAACAGCCATATCAAACAATCTTACCTAACAGGTATATTATGACCATCAGGTATCAATTCAACATCTTCCCCTAATAATGATGAGTAGACAAATCTAGGATAGACATCACTACATAGAGCTTGTAATTCACCTTCAGTTTCAACCTACAATAACCCAATCATATTTATAAATAAGTATATTATTTACCTATTAGTATACTATCAACCTATTACATAGGTTGATAGTATAGGCAGATTACATTGATTTTTTTCAACTCAATTGTTAAAATTTTGTGGATACCGGTAGGATCGATTTAAATGATTCAAATTATCAGTCAAATAATAGTGATGGTGCCTTAGTGATGGTGGAATTGCAAAAACAACAGACATCTTACTAAAAGTTGGATTGTGGTATATCTAGGCTATCAGTGTCCCTGATACACATAAAAAGTTTAAAAGCTCTCTTCAATCCATTTAGGCAAAAAATTATTGAGCATTTCAAATAAGTAAGCACTTCAATGATAAAACATGTACATACCATTTCTATCTTTTTAATATAATTATATGTTAAAATATCAGCCTCTTGTATATCAGAGATAGGATCTATCATTGTTGATGTTAAACATTTCCAGAATGATGTTACAATATCTAATTCTAAAGGAATATCAGCTCTCATTGTTACTCCCAGAATCTGAAAAAATAATACCGGTATACCAAATTTCACAACAAACACGCACTATAGACTATAACTATGATATGCCCAACAAGAAGTAAAATTTTCAAATGAGAAATATTGGATATATAAATAATAATAGAAAATTTTAATCAATGTTAATGTTCAGTGTCTTAAAAGGTCACTTTACTTCAAAGACTAATAAGTGCAGATATCAAAAAAGAAGTTCGAAATACATAGTCAAAAACAAGTCTGTGGTTATGACATAAGCTTATGGACAATGACAACTTTTTGAAAACAGGTTTACCAAGACAGCACAGGAACTATTATTGCAGGACTCCACGATAAGTATTGAACAAAGTTTGATTTTTCATTTAGACATGACTTGAAAGCACAGTCAAATCCACAGTCCCCTACAGCAAAGGGCTGAATAAAAATATTTACTCACCTGACCAAAAAACTGGAGTAATTTTTCTTCGGAATATGTCATCTGACCAGGTTTCAGAAAGCACTTGCCTCTGTTAATACCAGATGATGAACTAGGACATGGTACCAGGAATGATAGGGATGAACTTTGTATTTCTTTTGCTATCTGACCCAAGAAATGTCTGAATGATCCACCTGTAACATATGGATGGAAACTTGCTTTAAACAATTGTTTCAAAATAGCAATCTAAAACAGATTTCTTAGACTTTCATCTGGAAAGTGAGCAAGGTGTCAACAGATAACATGTCTACAAAGCTAGATAACGCCTTGACAACTTATAAAAAACATGACTCATTTTGAACCAAGATTTTGTATTGTAAATGGAATTACCACCCTGGAAAATAATGGTATACTTACTATTACCATGTACCTCCTCTCCAGTAAGCCTAACATTAAAAGCGTATGTAGGATCTCCACCACTAGCCAATCTTACACATAGTCTACTAGAGGGTATATTTGATAACTGTCTATAGGCTTGACAATATACCGAGGAAAAACTTGTCTTCTTTTCTCCTGGATTAAAAAATTCAAATGATAATGTTAAAAGGAAAAATATATTGTCTGTCTACAATTAAAACTTCAATTTATGAGTATTCTCATAGATAACCTTTTTCCCATGACATTACCATCTCATTCTTGCTATAAAGTTCAGAGTCACTCAAAGATTTCTAAAAGAGAGTAATGACTTACCTCCAATGGTCTCTAAAGGATCTAAAGTGATTTCCGGAGCAGCTTGATCAGGTTTTCTCAATGCTGTAGCATTTAATATTCTATTTACTAGGTTATTTTTCATATCATAAAATATAAGATTCCGTATTTTGGAGATAGCTTTAGCTGTACTGCGACTAAATGTGATGTTAGAACGTAATTCTATGAGTGGTAAAAAGAATGTCTCTAATGATCTATTTAGATTCTGTAGTATGGCAAATCTTAATCGAATACTTTCTAATGGAATACCTGTAATAAAATAACATTTCCGTAAGCTGGTAAACCTCAAGTCAAACCTTAAAATTCAGCATCATTGCTAAATATCATTTTCTTGTTCAAGTCCCAAGCATGCTAAAATTTCTGGAACAAAAATGTGTCTCTGCAACTGGTTTTGAAACATGGATCCTTTTTGGTGTGTCCATGTTATTGGACAACCATATTCAACATCTCTGTGGAAAAGAAGAGGGCTGTAGTTTTTTTGGCTAGAGTGCCTGATGACTGGACCGAATTTGCTTCCATGCAAAATATAGATGTAAAATTCTTTATTTTAGATACAAACTCAAATACCTTGTAGTCTGACAAATTTATCACCAGCCAAATCAGCATCAGATAATATAATTTCATGTGGATGTAATCGTGATGAGCCGACAGCTAATTGTCTTGTTAATTGATTAACATAATTAACTAATGATGTATCCGTCTCTATCGACCACTGTTTAGAGAACTGTTGAGCTTGATTAATATCACTACAACAACATCTAGCAATAAAAATAAAATTATTATAGACAAAAGTAAGCTTAGAAATCATACAAGGTAATATAGTCTCAGCCAGTAATCATGATCTGTCTCTGCATTGATTCCGAAGTTCTTTTATCACCTCTGAATTAAGTAGGAGGCATCCCTAAATTCAGAAAGCTATTGTCATATTGATATAGAGGTAAAGCATCACTCTTGCACAAATTGCCCATGGAGAGCTCCATTCGAGCAAGGCCGGATGGGTCCTACAGCAAAGTTCCTCCTCCATTGTCCTTACTTAAGATACATAATATGATAAAACATCCACAGTATTTGTAGTTATTTGAAATTTTTGAAAAATCGTATGAAATGAATGACAATCCATGAAGTCATCCGATCAAATTGGAATCATAATATATCTGATAATGTGACTGCTACATTAACTCTTTAGATACTACTATCTATGAGATTCTAATAAAATGACTTAAAGATAATACCTGTTAAAAGAGAAGTCAAAACCAGAAGTTAACAATGCCCTCCATACACCACGGATATCTTGATGACCTGTCTCTATTATATATTGTAAAAATCCATCTAATGTTAATGATTTTCCTTCACCTTTACTACCAACCTGTCAATTTAAACTTAAATTTATAACAGACACATTTCAGATGCCAAGGAAATCAGAAGTAAAAGTTTTACTACTATGTATATTGAAATGACAGGACAGTGGCCTTCATTCTGCTATCTTTTTTCAATTTTGACCATCAAAGAATCTTACCAGACGATAGAACAAGCGTCCTTAGCTTTCTCTTGACAAATAAAAAGTATAAAGACTCTGTAAGGCAACCTATTGGATCTGGGTACAAACATGGAGCATAGAATATCCTTTCCCTCAACTAACAAGTTGACATCAAACCCTTGAACTCAAAGCTAATATATATTATTAATTAACTCTGAAGTTCATGCAATCAGTAAAACTATAGAATCTGTATAAGCATCATGAATTGAAAAATTAGGTTCAATTGAATCCTCTATTAATAAAAAATTTTACTCAGTAGTACTATTTGTATCTTTTCATGTTTGCTTAAAATTTAGTTTATTATCACAAAATGAAGTACTTACTGGCTTAGATAGCTTGGTTTCTTTAGAAGCTGATGGTAGATCTTTAGAAGAAGTGGATTCTTTAGATAAAGATTCTTTTGATGTAGCTGCTTCCTTAGTGGATTTCTCTGGTAAATCTTTTCCTTTTACTTTTAATTTAATTGGAGTTCTGAAATTCCAAAAAGACAAAAGCACAATGAATCAATTTCTCATTGTTCTTTCTTAACCATCTGGGCAAGCAATGCTTAGAACATAGGATACCATATACTACAGCCTAATAGATGATGATCAAACCACCCAGTGCTCCAATATCAAAACATTTGTTCTACTGATTTCTACATTTCTACTGAATGGCGTGCCATATCAATATGGTAATTACATTGGGACAAAATGTTCTTTTCCAAATGTGCTGTATAGAAGTTAGTATTACTGGAAAAATAACCAAACACAATTAACTTACTTTTCAAATCCTAGCACAACCTTTTCTTTTGATGCTCTGGGAGATTTCTTAGCTGGTCTTCCTTTTCCATTTTGAACTGTAGGTGATTGGCTAAAATCAAAGAATTTGACTGTGAATGATAATCAAACACAATAAGGTATATCCAGAAAGTCAATTCAAAATGTTATAATTAAAAGGCTGAACTAGTATGGATGTAAATACATTTTATTCTTAATTCCTTAACAACTGCAATAGCAGCACAGAACAGGGAGCAAAACTGTAATCCAGCTTATCAGATCCTCTAATAATCATCTATAAGGACAGGTATTTACAAAGATGTTCCTATCATCAATCAAACTGATTTTAAGCATGCAGATGTAAAAGGTTAAAATTTCATAACTGCTATGAGATTAAGTTGTCAAATAAATTGGCAAAATATTTTGAAATGGAGCTTAATAAAAATCTTTATTATGTTTAGATTTTCTGAGAAAGGAGGGATTGGTAAATAGAATTACCTTTCTTTATCAGGTGTTCTAACAGTACCATACTGTAATAATATATGTGTCACTAACTCAGCAAGAGGTTTCTTGGCTGGTCTTAAAGAGTTCAAAAATATATATAACATATTGTCATGTGTATTCTTTAATATGTGTTCTTTTTCCAAGGTGATAACTCCAGAACGGGAGTCAATAATTCCAGTTTGTTGGGCCACAAAATAACAACTGTGAAAAATATCAGTCAATGCTCTCACTGCACCTTCTTGGAGCTGAATTAAAGCATCACAGTAAAGTCTGGAGGAAAGATAGCTATCCAAAGCAACATTGCCACTTTCATTTTCAGCTAATAAAGTGGAATTGACAGTTGAAATGGATAAAACTTCATCTGGAATGTCAATCATTCCTTCATCATCACTATTTAGTCCAATCACAATTGGTTTACATTTATATAATGCCTTTTTAACAGCTTCTACTTTCGCTTTAGCCGGCAGAGACAGAACAGCAAATCCTTTCGAACAAGGAGGCGGTGGTTTGCTTGGACCCTCATCAGGTTTATCTGGAACTGGTGCATCAAATTTAGGGAGGAACAAACCATCTTTGTCAAGTCCTCCATGAACACTACAAACCTTATACACAGCTTGTTTGATTTTATCAATTGGAACATGATCTGGGATACCAGTTAAAATCAGCAGACGTGAAAAGGCTGATGGTATCATCAACATTTTATATGCTTCGGATACAGCCTCAGACCAAACACGATCATTATTTTCTTCACTAAATGCCAGTCCTCTTAACAAACTATTTATATTGTGTGCACGATCCAACCACGATGAGTCCTCACTTTTCAAGCTTGATACACTAGATAATTTACTAGATGGAGAAGTGGACAGACTATCTGTACTTGTAGAAGCAACAGAGAGACTACTTGAAGCTGCGTTTGATTCTGTTGCTGTTGATGAATCACTTTCACTGACTCTTGGACTAACAGAACTGGAACTTTTCCTTAAGGATGTTGATGATCTTTCTCTTTCTCTTTTGGTCTTTAATTTCTTCTTTTTAGCAATTGCACCACTACTTGGTGGACTGAGAGAAACCTCTGGTGCACTAGCTCCTTCTGATTTCTCACTATTGCTCACATTCACTTCAGCTATAGCAAGATTAACCTCCATTAATGCATGGAAATAGGTTGAAAAACGTCCAGCGTCTGCAACACCTATTCCTGTACCAAGACCACATAATGTAGGCTTGATTGGCCAGTCCTTTACTTCATCATCAAACAACTTTTTCAATTCAATAGGCAGATTTGTCAACAGGCCCTGTAGTGGACTGAATCTTCTATTTACATGATTCAAACCATTACCTTGACCACCAGCACTAAAGTCAAGAATCCTGAAAGCTTGAGCCAAAAGATGGAACACAAATTCTTTGATAAGTGAAGGTATATCTGTTCTCCAAATGTAACTACAGACCTGTTCAATAACCACACCAAATATGGCTGGAGTGATAGTGATATTGTCCAAACTCCACAAACTAGGTTGCTGTTCCATTTTCAACAAGTTCTTTTCTGGTGGGAATTCACCACGATGAAGCTCACAACCTTTCATGCCACAACCAAAATTCTCAGTTAACAGAGTTTCTAAGTAAGCAACAGCTGTCAGGAATTGTAGCGGAAGAGCATGAATGGTTAAAATGATTCCTGGAGGTGGAGCTACACCAGCACGAACATTAACTCGATCACCTGGTATAATGGCAGGACCATATTGATCATCCTGGTTACTAGAGGAAGTGACATCTGCAGGATAACTGACCGCTATCTGTCTTACTGGTTCTCCTGTCTTCTTCACTCTTCTACCAGTATAGGTACTGATTCTAGCCCAAGGTGATTTGTATGGTGATGAACTGCAATGTAAAATATAGAATAAAATAAGATTTTTTTTTTAGTATAATTAATTCAAATTGAGTGATTTAAGCTTTAACCTGTATCTTCTTCAAATCATGGTTTCTGTGAAATTGGCAGATGACTATAATCCTTTCAGAAAGTCTAAATAAAATCTGCAATCATAAGTAACAAAACACTACTTACTCTTTCTTTGCAGCTTTAGGATCAGTTTTACAAGAGACAACAAGGCAAGCTGCACCTGGAAATTCTACATCTCTGTTGACGGTAATATTTTTGACTGGAAATTCCATGCATGGAAACATCTCTGGAGCATTCTGAAATAGCATGATATCAACTTTAAGAACATCTCTATATGTCTTGACCTAACTTAAAAAATTTTGCACAAATCTTTGCTGATGTTTGAATTTTTGGTAATAAATTTACTTACCGGTAAACAAGAGCAAATCTGATTGGTCAACTCTAATAAGTAATCTTCCCCTTGATTGGCTGCTCGAGATATAGCTATAGCCAACTCCCTTTGCAGTCGTTTACCATTTGAAAATACCACATTGGCCAATGAACAAGACATGATCTCCATACTCTTGTCACTGACACCTGTCAATCCACAGGGTGTTTGAATGATACCAGTCGATGTAGGAGGGGCCAATAATTCACTAGCCAATAACTGAATGTTTTCTATGTCTAATTGTTGTAAGACTGCAGCACAAGATTCCTGTGGAGAGTTATCATCAGTGATCTCCATTCCTGGTGAATTACAATGGTCTATGAGATAGAGAAATGCTGTACGCAAGTAATGTTTCATCAGGTTGTTTTCGCGACTAATGAGTTCTCTGAAAAAATTAAAAACCTTATTGAGAATTCTATATTACTATTCTTTTAACTGTACAGTATATGATGAATGAGGTTTATACTCAACATTATTCATTGCAAAGAACACTGCATCAAAGGTTATTTCGTTAAGCAACCGTTTAGTGCTGAATCACTTAAAATTGGCCACTTAATGAAGGATTGAGATGTACAGTGATATTCTAAGGCATATCTAGTACTTGAGAGAAAAGTTTCCAATAGTCCAGATAATTACTTTATGATCATTATCAAGAAATAGATAACACCCTTTTCAAGATAATTTAGTTAAAATTCTTATGAAGAAACTATCATGAAATTACCAGTAAAGCACAAGGCTAAAATCTAAATCTTACCCATGAATATGTGTATTTGATGTATCTAATGTTTGTCCACCAGATATGGAGGCTTTACGTAGACTTTGAGGTGGTTTTTCTAAACTTTGTATTGGATACCAGAATCTAACTAATACACCTTCACTTCTTAAATATGTTTCTACTTGAACCAATTCATTTGGCTGAAAAAACAACAATAACCATTTACTTTTTATTTTTCTGTTTTTTTCTTTATGGCTAATAATGACTCAAATTCATGGTTTCCATGTCAGCCCATAATTCATATTCAATTTGCTTGTATCATGTTGTGGGACAAAAAAGGTTTTATTTATCTCTTATCTTTTATTATCTATTAGTGATCTCTTCAGACTTTAGCTGTATGGAAAAATTCTTTTTATGAATGGGCACAAAATATGCCATTGAATATCTGATACTTACAGCATCGATCTCTAGAACAGTTCCAGTGGCACCAAAAGTCTTCAACATAGATCTTACAGCAAATTTCGGTAGAGCTGTTGATAGTGAGAGATGTGGGCGTATAATAACTGTTGTTCCTTTCTTTACACGTTCTATAGTAAATTTAGCTAAATCTTCTTTAATATCATCTATAGTAGGAAGGTGAAGGTCACGTGGTATTCCACCATTTTCTTCATACAGAAACTCTACTGTCTGTCTTGCTATATCAGTCATTCCTACAAGTATTGAAGAATTGGTACATAAAATGCAAAATATCAAATTTTTATAATAAAATAAGCCTTAGAAAGTTTTTAATTGGGGGTCACTGTTTCCCATCCAGGCATTCTTGTCTATGCATGCCAACTTTGCTATTTTTTTTCTAATCACTTTCCAAAAACTTCAACTTACCTAATTGAAGAGCCCCTCTAATCTGTTCTAAACCATCTTTTCTTTCAGCCTCATTCCTGAATCGACGTCTAATGATTGGAAAAACTTTCTGTTCCCAAGCTTTTACTAATAATGCATAATGGTCTTCAACTGGCATATCCATAGGTTCTTCATCAGACTGGTCATCTTGGACAACCTGACTACTAGTCCCAATTGGTCCAGTATGTAATAAATTACTATAGCTATCAACTACTTTATATTGGAGGCATGTATCAGTGGAATAATCTACAACACAAAAAAGTTAAATTCTAATTCCTGGCAGAGTCATAAACATGCCATCAGACAAAAACTGTTGCAAAAAACAAAGTCCAGAGTCAATGTGTAATTCAAGAAAAAACAAACCATTAATTGGGGGAGGTATGGTAGCTGTTTTGACTGAAACACCTTCTTGTGTCAGTAGTTCTTCAGCATCTAAACTCACACCACTACTGGTATTGGTCATTCCTTCTTCTTCTGTATCAGAGTTAGGATGAAATGGTAAGTGACAGAAGGACTCCCTAATCTCACGAGTTAAATCACTAGCAGCTTCAGCAGCATCTCTATGTTCTTGACCTTCAGCATAGGCAAATGGCTGTGCCCCAAAGTTTGCCTGAACTCTACAATTCTGTGAAAAAAGAAAGCAATTAAAAAAAAATCAAAAGATTAATACATTTGTGCTAAAATTATTGGTGTAAGACAAAAATGCTGGTTATTCTAATTTATAAGGCCACAAATTGGCAAAAAGTGTAAGCTCTTTCTCATCTTTTCTAGTCTTAGTAGTTTCTCTCTGGTAATGTGTCATGTACTTACCTTTTTCTGTATATGAATAACTGGGAACATCCCACCAGAAACATCATCAATAGTGTTGGGTAATTTGTGACCATTAAAGGTAAAGAATACACGACCTTTAGGTGTGTCATTTAAGGACCCGGAGCGTTCCCATCCAATACCTGCTACATCTCCTACTCCTAGAGTAATATCCATACGGACACTTCTCCATTGTAATAAACTGGCTCCATTATAGTGTACTGCTTTGCCATTGCTGTAATAAATATCAAGCATGTTATAGGAGTGAATGAACTTTTGAAACGTATCTATTGATATAAATTGGCTTAGCCGTCTCGTTTTTGCTAGTTAAAATAAACTTTGAATTTGATTAATGATTGAGGCTTATGTGTTTTTTAAGTATTTTTTTTTTTCATTCACAAATTTTAGATAAACATTGGTGGTTAAAATGGTAACACTTACTTCAAGAGTAAACATGATCCAATAGGGTTGGTCCAAGCTCCATCTTTTTTCTCTGCTGCTGGTGCAAAACCAAACGACACCATGACACCACTATCATCTTGACTATCTCCTAATGACGAGATCTTAATTTCCCAATAGAATGAAGGAGCCTGAAAATATACAAGAAGTTTATGCAAAATTGTCATTAAGAGACAAGCTAGATTTGTTTGTACTGCTGCTTATGATAGACTGTAAACTGTCTAATGATCATTTTATCCCATTCAGAGAGCATGTATTTGGTTCGGATTAGATCATAGCAAACTATTGTGGGACTAGGACTGCCATAAATGAAGATTGACCATTCATCTAATGTGTGTTCTTACCTGTGTAGGCATGGGTTGGTTAGCATATATCATAGTACCTCTAGGTAAACCACTACTAGCACTAGGATCACCTAGAAATGTTACAGCTGTTAGACCAGAAGAGAATAGACAAGCTCTAGCTGGTGGAAAATTACAACTGGCATTCCATACCATTTCTTTAACCTGGGAGAAAAATTTCAAACATTGTCTTATAAAATATCAACACTTTGAACATTGGTAAATGCAATAAAATGACATATACCCTGAACTCAAACAATGACTAATAGGGTATGGCGTGAAGTTACTTGGTATCTTTGCAACATGCTTCATTGGCCACTGTTCTTAAAATTTTATCATGTGGCTGCGGGCAGATAGAGTAACCCCTAGTGTTGAAAGGATTAAATACAATCCTGCTTATAAAATCGACAGGGCATCTATTTCTTTTACCATCTGAAGGCATAATGTATTACTTACAGGTTTAGTGTTATTTTTACAGGGTGGTGGAGGAGGTTTAGCACAATCACTATATAACATCCTTAATCTTTCTACATGGGATTCAATCACTGGTTTACGACTTCCCTTGCTACATTCTTTAGCTATTGACTTCATGATATTAATAGAGGATCCACATCTTTCACTAAACTCTCTAGCAAAGTCTAGATTCTGTAGATATTGAGCTAACACCATACATGCTCTAGTTTTAATTTCTGCTATGACACGACAAGTTTGGTTGCTTAGACTGTTACCATCTCCTATGACTGGTAATGATGCTTGTAAATAAGACTGATCAGAATCTTGTGTATCTAGTAATGCTTGTACTGCTGAAAGTACTGTTTCACTCATTTCATGTTGATGCTTTAAAAATGTCTGCCAAGAAAAATTAGAATTTTAAATTAAATTATATGCATGGAAAAATCCATCATCAGGACAGCTTAGAGACACAGGTAAAAGTTTCTATATTTGGACTGTCAAGAGGTTTACTGAAGGGAACATTTGTACTTTTCACGGGAAAACTTAAGAACCATTTCTAACATGGCATTAGGTGTTCTTGAAGCGAAAGCATGTATTAACTGAATTTTTCTTGAAGATAACAGAACACAAACCTTATTTCTGAGAGGCTGTAGTCTGGAGACAGGAATTTCTATCAAATCACCAAATCTAGGAGCTGGATTATCAGATTTCTCATTATCAAGATGTACTATAGCTATATCAGTCTGATCAGATAGAGTTACCACATTACCAGTACTTCCTTCAATACCTTCTCCTATCACCTGCATTACAGATAAATTCAAAAATGAAAATCAGTTTTAGAATCAAGTTACTGTATTTATAAGGACCATGTGTTGACTGGCCTGTATTTATCATCTGCTATATTTACCTACAGTTTTTCCAAACAATTTTTCTATTTGAAAGAATAACAAATAACTTGAAAATCAAGATAAATTGAACTCTAGTGACTTTTACTGATAACAGCAATTTTGTTAATTTGCATACAATTTTTTTTAGTTCTATTCCCAAAATAAACAAGGGTAGCTGAAATCAAGTTCTTTTTCCTTTAAAAATATCAAATCTAACAGCATTACCTCTACTTGACAGCCTGGTTTTATCAGTTCTCTGAATCCACCCAAAGCACATAATGCTGCATTTGCTAACTTAGACATGGTCATTAACTGTCTGGTATGACAACGTGGTGATCCCAGTCCATCGATAGATGTCATTAATAAAGGTAAACATGATACAGAGTTCATCAAAACCTACAAATATGCCATTAAAATCATGTGAAATATGACAAAATCTATGCGTTGTGTGGTTTGTATGATAGATTGTTAGACAAGATAGCATACGCCCACAACAAAAATGTTTTCTTTTGCTTTTGATTGGTCATTTGATATAGCAAGAGATAAAACTCATGAATAATATAATACTTTTGACTTTCATATAAACAGGTTGTTTTAATTTCACCACTTTGGTGATCTATTGTATCATGTATTTATAGTTAACAAGGTCTGACTTAAATGATTGTGTGAACATGTAAACCACATTTCTGCAATTAAACTCTAAATATGCCAACAGCAATAACAAACAATTCAGAGAAATATTAATTTCAAAGCAATAGAGATTTCATCAATTTGCACATGCAAAATAAGAAAGGAATACAATTTTATATACCTGATTGGGAGAATTAATTAATGCCATGTATTGTGCAATTGCAAAGGAGAATTTTGACATGATAGCTGTGTTAGCCTTCTTTTTGATTTCCAACTGTCAAGGGATTTGTAATGTGCACAGCCTGTGGCACACAAGCTCAGTGTTTTTGTCCCATACAAGGAATAGACACTTTTTCTATGTCAGTGGATGACATCACTGACCGGGGGAAACCTGGTTTAAAAACACAAGAATACTCAACCTGTGCTTGGATTGACTTAAAGGTTAGAAATAATATGAAATGAATGGAGTTTTATAAAGATTATAGACTAAGCATCTAACTCACAGATCGAGCCACTATGGCTCCAAATTGCACATGCAATGATCAGATTTCTAGATGTGGGTATATATCAATATACATACTATTAATCAAGATGGAAAATGATGTGTTTTACCAAGTCAAAACCTATTTCATTAATTTTGAATATGGCCAAGATCTCATTAGTATATTTATATGCAATGTATAGCAAGTTTAATCAAAATTTGACCAAAAAACGGTAGACTTGGTTCATAAGACTATTTTCCAGGTCAAGGGCAACTAAATTTCATTTATCAAAATATTGTCATTTTAAATTTGATTGAGATCTTATCCACTTGCATACCAATTTTCAGGGCAACAACAGTACATGGCTGTATTATAACTACATCAAATGCAGTAGTTAAATATTGATTTTCACTACAGAAAGTTTGTGTCCTAAAAACATATCATAAATAATTTTTTATGCACGTTGGTTTGATTTATCAACTTCATAGTCTTAGATCTACTTACAAATATTGAGTTTCAACAGCAAAACTTTGAGACAGATCAGACTTCAGAACTTGTCAATCATATTGAAGTAGCATAAAAGTTAATTTTTTTCGAATCAATATTGAGTCAATGCATTATGTGGATACATAGTTAACTGGTGATAAACTGAGGTAGTTTGACAGGGTTCTGATGAATGGTATGAACCCTTCATTGTTATGCTATATATTTTGCATGGAATTGGATCTGTCAGTTGCATGAGTTATTCTAAAGAAGTATCAAGATTTTATAGACAGAATTCCAACTTTTGGTGAATAAAAACAACACAGTTCATATCTTTTTAATTCTAAAATACACAGATATAATGTTCATGAATTGTGTTTTCATGAAGGAATCCAACTAGGTTTCAGCATTTAGTCTTTTTCTCTATACCTTCAACTCAGCCTATTTCATATCCAAATGTCTGAAAGTAGAAATTAAAGTCGGTTATTTCCTAGCATTATATTAAGAGATTTAACAGTGGTCACTTGCTAATGTGGGGTGAAATTATATGATAACAATGGAAAATTTCCTTAAAGTACTCTGTACAAACATAAAGAATAAAACTGAAGGAAGGTATAAAATCAGGAATGTCATTTGATTTTCTGAAGCTTTAATTTTGCGACCGTAGGACAACATGACCACACCTACTCAGAACCGCCCTGCAGTAATAGTGGCCCCCTTCATGTACCACATGCTTGCCTTCAGCTGTCATGCTTGTCGCCGTCGCCTATCCAGTTTAGTAAAATATGGTATCACCAACTTTATAGCCTTCTGTCCGATGGAGAATTCGAATATAATTCAGACTGAAATATGTCCAGTTAAAGCCAATTAATTGTTTTTGACAACTCCTCTTAACTAAAGAAGTTGTATCTAAAAACAAATCCCTTGTTGAACTTGAAAATAGACTCATATTTGAAGTTGACACCAAGTTTAAAATACTGTCCACCTTTATAAATCTGATGAGTTTTAAACATTCATTCTTACATCTTATATGATACACAGCTCATCAGCCACAGTGGAGGATAAAACTTGAATTGGAAAGAGAAAATTTGGCCAGACTTCCCCTATAACCTAAAGAAGTCATCTTTACTCTTCAAACAAAATAGGATTTTCAGATTGGCTTATGTATAAAAACCTTCACACATTTAATGAAAAGTTCAACAAGCAGCATAAATAAACCCAATAGATTCTCAGATTCAAGCATTCCATTCCCTATCAAGTGACACGCTTCATAGTGATCATGATTTTTCACTCCTAATAAAGTGTAACAACCAAACCATAGTACCTTATTCTATTAGAATTATATCATTTCTTCAGCTTCATTCAATTCTTATAGCATCAGAACATTACTATTACTATCATTCCTTGTTCTTATATCATAACATTATCATCCTTATCATTCCTTGAACAACATTAATATTATTATCATTTCTCTAACTGTTCATATATCATAGCATTATTAATTTTATCATTCCTTGAACTGTTCTTATATCATAGCATTATTAATTTTATCATTCCTTGAACTGTTCATATATCATAGCATTATTAATTTCATCATTTCTCTAACTGTTCATATATCATAGCATTATTAATTTTATCATTCCTTGAACTGTTCTTATATCATAGCATTATTAATTTCATCATTCCTTGAACTGTTCATATATCATAGCATTATTAATTTCATCATTCCTTGAACTGTTCTTATATCATAGCATTATTAATTTCATCATTCCTTGAACTGTTCTTATATCATAGCATTATTAATTTTATCATTCCTTGAACTGTTCATATATCATAGCATTATTAATTTCATCATTCCTTGAACTGTTCTTATATCATAGCATTATTAATTTCACCATTCCTTGAACTGTTCATATATCATAGCATTATTAATTTCATCATTCCTTGAACTGTTCATATATCATAGCATTATTATCATCATTCCTTGAACTGTTCTTATATCATAGCATTGTTAATTTCATCATTCCTTGAACTGTTCTTATATCATAGCATTGTTAATTTTATCATTCCTTGAACTGTTCTTATATCATAGCATTATTATTATCATCATTCCTTGTTCATATATCATTGCATTATTAATTTTATCATTCCTTTAACTATTCATATAAAAACTGTTCTCATATTCTAATCATTATCATATAACACTATTCCTGCCTGTCTATAGATTTTCTTGTATTCTCAAAAATATTTGTTAAATCAATTACAAGAGACCTATGTTGGTAGAAAATATATAATTGTGTGTAATTAACTATATTACATATAACTATGACCAAGATAAAATTAATTTTTACCTACCTCAGACATATCATATTTGAGATCTTATTAGTTCTTATTAGGTAGTATAAAGGTATCTTTATTTCAATTCCCAACTCTAACAAACCATCATATCAGTAAGACTACTCTCAATTATGACAAGTGCAAATAAAAGAATCCAATAATACATCAACGAAATTAAGATCTAGAATTAGATTTAGAATTCAATTCTCCAATAAAAATGTTAAAAATGTTTCAGATCATTGAAAACAATATTTTAAAATGAATATAAAGAAGTTTATTCAATAATAAAACCCTAAATAATGAAATAAAAACAAAATATTACCTGTAAAATTGTATTGTTATGCTGACATGACAAGAAGAAGAAGTAAAGCCTGGGATGTCTTCAGTCACAATGATCATACATGACAAGTATAGAGAGGTTTCTAGCTTATACTGATTTCTGCTCACCCCCAAACAATACAGGTAGAGAGGTCTCTACCATATATGATTTCAGCTCAAGTTTTGGATGTACCCTTTGTCAAAGTTTAAAAAGAAAATCTATTATATCCCTGAATAAAAATCACTATTAATATTTAAACCCCCTGAATAAAATTTATCCAATCATGGATTTGAAGATAACACAACGGCTAAGTTTTAATCATCTTTACTTTTTCTTTGTTCTACACAGTTTATTGTCACATGCTATATCTCAAATAGTTCTCAAAGTCTTGCCCAAAGTTGATCACTTTGCAAATATTCAGTAAAAAACAAACACACATGTACTATAGTCAATCTTTTCTTTATCATTCTTGTCACAAACATACATATGTATACTTAGTTTTAATTGTTCTATTTCAAATAATTATCATGGTTTTCCAATGGTGATCACTTTTCAAAAATAAAATTTAAGACCCAGGGACTTCATTTATTTCTTTTATTGATAAGATTCTGTCTGCTGCATTTTGCTTATATAAAAAGTTTCCCATCTGATCAAATCATGTTTAATATCATACTATTTTTGGAGTGTTTTGAAGGGGCCAGTTTGCAGGTTTATTTGGTATACATATATATCAAAGAAATAAATACATTTTAGCAGGATTTAAAATCTGTTTTGACCCAATGATAAATATTTCATTTCCAGATCATTCCTGTCTTAAATAATTAGAAATTTGGAAAACATTAATGCATGCCACACACTGAGGCCTACAAATTTGACTCAAAGCATTATTACTCAAAGTCAACTTTGGATTTTCAGCCTGGGATTAGCTCAATTTAATTAGACAGCTTGAAAGTTGCTATACCATTCAACTCAGAAAAAATCAAAACAGAAATATTTACAACTTTATTGATAGACAATATTACATGTATTTTACAAATAATGCCAACAAATCAACCACTCTCTAGTTTGAAATTGTAATTGTGGAAAATGACAAATAATTCTTACTTTCACTTTCAGTTTTCAAATTGTTTGCAAACGCAAGCAATATTTTGACACCTCAATAAAGATATATTGCACTGTAGACGAACAGACAGACATGGGTTACAAAGAAATATGTCCTTGGTTTTATTTAGCTATATAAAAATCTACTTACTTTCTGTACAGCCTCTGACCAAGTTTGAGCTGCCGATGTTAAAGGAGCTGTTAATAAGCTATGTAATAATGAGATGACTTCAGCTGCCATACTATTAGCTACATGACCACTGATAAATGCTCGTACTGGATCAGTTCTACAAAAATAATGGTCTTGTCAAATAAACTGAAAAAGTTTACTAAACATTTGATAACGTAACTATTGCAAAAGCTACTTATTATACTTAGAACCTTTCCAATAGTGGTGTCATAAAACATTTAGAGGAATAGCAATTTCTGTCTGAAAATAGGAATGGTGCAAATCAATTGCTATCAATGTCCATAATACAAATATACAGTTAAAAAAAACTCTTTATCATCCCTTTAAGATTCAACGTGACTACTTAAACTAAAATATCCTTACTTTGCCAAATCAACATTCTTCTCTTTACAGATGACATCTGATGCTGTTTTCTTTTTACCATCAGTAACATCAGTTTGACTGACATCAGTTGGTGGACTAGTTGACATCACTAAACCTATCTGTGCCCATTTATATGCTTTACGCAATGCAGTCATTGCTTCCTCTGTTATTACTTCAGTTTTACCACTCTGTTAATGTAAAGGGGGTATACATGTATACTACCTGTTTGGAATGCCATACAGTGTGCAATGATTTTCTTTTTGGATGTCCAACTGTTGAGGAATCTTTAATGAGCACAGCCTGTTGGTGTACCACATAATAATTGAATTCCTTTGTTTTTTGAGAACACACAATTTGATGATGTAGTGTGGAAAATGAAAGAATTGGAATGACATACCTTTGTTAATTCTCTATCCATTCTTGCCACTCTCTCCATACTAGCACCCAAACCTCCTCTAAATGATCGACTATCAGCACTGAAAACATTAAATTATATCATAACCATAAAATGTTATAATAAGAAAAATAGTTAATACTGACTACTAAGTCTTGCATTTGAACTAGTCATTAAAATCATGGTGTCATTTAAAGAGCATAACTCTGATGTTAAAGGTAATCTCACAATTGACCAATAAGAGTACATATTAATCAATTGACTTATTCTTATTGGCTATGTTTGAGGTAAATAACTTTATCATGATGGCCATTTGATATTACAAATATTATATTTAAGATACATAAACAAAACATGGTTATAGAAAGTAGAGTGTGGGCCAATAGAATAAATCCTACCTCAATAATAACTGTATAACTTCATGTGCTGTTTGGTCTTCTTTCTTATGTAAATATATAGTAATTCTTCCCCCTTGTACATCACTTTCTTCTTGTGTATCTTTATTATTAGAACTGGTATTATGACTATTACTGGATACATCTTGTGATGGACTTCTACTAGATAGTAATACTTGATCTCCTTTAAATATATAATTAATAAGCAATTATTAAGGAATAATGGAATTGCTAAAGTAATGACTGATTAAATTGTAATTGTGTGATCTATTACCTGGGACTAGAAAGTCTCCTAATTTAGCCAATAATAAACTGACAATTTTAGCTGGTGGATCATCTACTGGTTGAGAATTACTCCAATGACTAGTAGAGACATGTTGTCCCCAGGCTGGTAGTTCTACATTACCACAATCAGTAGGACTCATCATGGGTAAGGCTACACCACATAACTGTAGTATTATCAGCACTAATTTTGGAGATGGTCTGAAAACAAAAGAACAAAGATTCAAGAGTTAATCAATTTGAACAATGAATGAATAAATGTACTTTCTATATTTAGTTTATAAAGACAGACCTATAAGGATTTTGCTCCCCAAAAATGGTGATAATATGGACTTCAATTTTAGAGATCCTATCTTTGCAGTATAAAAGTTTATTTATCATGATGAAACAGTTCAGAAGAGGTGATAGGCCCTGGGTCGACTTTCAGAAGCACTGGCATCCAAAATGTTCAAACCTCGAGGAGGAATTGAACCCACAGCAGCATATAGCCTGACAGAGGACAATAATTCAACTCACTATGGACTTTGCTCTTTCATTACCACAAAAACAGTGTTCAGTAATAGAGCAAAGTATTGATGTTTACACAGTTTGTGGCCTGACACATAAAACAGATGTGTTAAAACAGAAATTTTACAGATATCTGTTTGTCATGAAAAAAAGAATTTACCTCTGATCCAAGAGTAATGACAATAGTTTACTGACACATGCTGGCTGTGTTAAAATAGCTTTACCCATACGACTTCTGCAATATAAAACAAATTGTTTATTTTAACCATCTCAGCTTCATGTTTGAAAGTTTTAGAAACTAAAAATAGTTCTTAAAATAGAATTTTAGCCTTCAAAAGACAAAATACAAAAAGATACAATTATGATGACCTACCTTGATAAACTGTTGAGTAGACCAAGAACTTCCTGTAGAGCCTCAGTACCAGCAGCTTCATTACCAGTGTTCTCAGTAACACGTGTTAAATAATGTGTTAATAACATGGACACTTGACAAGCTAGACCAGAATGATCTAAATCATCTTCTAGAACACCTGTAAAGGAAACAAATTGAAATTTTATGTCATATTTTCTGCTTTGGATTGAGGTATTGAAGATGCCATGTGGTGTGCAATACTACTCTTTTACGATTTTAAAACGTCAAGGGATCTGAAAAGTACACTCTCGTCTAAACACCTAGAAGGCTCTCCTCTCTGATCTGCATCCCTGATCAGAGGAAATTCTTGAAAAATCAGATGGTTTTATCCCAATATACTACATTATGAAATGAGCTTTGTTTGTATCCAACAGAAAATTCTGTCACAAGTCAAGTGATAAGTTGTAACATAGCACAGATTCATTCATCCATCCTTAAAAGTATATATTTCTGATTTGATCAGGATATCACAACATTGGAGCAGCCATTTATCATCATAGTTCAATTAAGAATTTTTAAAGATTTTTGTCTAATGCTTACCTTCTTCAGTCTCCCAAGTGACACACCTACTAGCCAGCACTCTAAAACCAGCCCAGGCTAATAATGAGACTTTTTGATGTATTGTCTGGTTATCTGCTGTTTGTATATCTGTATTTCTATTGGCTAATCCACATAATTTATCTAACAAATGTACTAGACCTGATCTTACCAGACACTTCTCTTCTGCTCTATAAAATGAGAAAACAACCAAATGATGTCATTTGTTCTGACTGTAGGATGAACTGTGATTCGCATGACAATGAAGGGCTTCTTCAGGTTCTATATTTTGACAATAGTTTCCTCCGAGCAATCTTTTGTCGGAAGAGGAACTCATAATTATGTCTGAAATTCTTCCAAATAGACACACGGATAATACATGCTAGCGTATTATATTCACAATTATAAAATAGCAAGACAATCAAACTACTCTTACTCTTTGACAAAAATTTAGAATAGAAAATTTGAAAAGAGTAGCCATATTTTGTCTTTGCTTTGCTTTGAAATAGATTTGAAGAAATAATAAATTGCAAATAAAATGACAATATCTGGTAAGATATTCTCATTGAGTATTCAAATTAATATTTCCCATTCCCTTAGATTAGAAGAATTTTCATATATCAAGATCTTCAATATATAAACATACCTTGTATATGGAACAGTACATAATAATACCACACTGTTACAACCAGCTATAGGATGTTTAGATGCTAGTTGTACAACAGATGTTACTGTTTCAGCATAGGCATCTTGTACAACATTTACTAATCCTCCACAAGTTAGTTCTTCTACCCTGAAAAATACAGGAACCATGACTTACGTGCCTTGTCAATTCTGAGAAAAAAACAATTGAAATCCAAAAAGTCTTGAACGACCACCAAGAAAATTTTTAATTTATTACTTAAGTATTTTAGCTTGCTTTAAGAACAAAGTTATCTAAGCATTAAAAACATTATGAACATTAAAAACTAAAATCTGACATCAGGTTCTGCCACAATTCATCCAAACATACCAGAGAAGTTTAAACTGTTGTTACTTCTAGGCTTTTCATCAATCAATCAATTGTTGAGGCAAATATTTCATCATCTTAATTTATGGCATTACAGGTTTAAAAATAAAATTAAAGGATTAAAATATGCAACTTACTTTGGTCCATGTCTTAAAACTGATGTAATATTGGATAATAGATAAGATGAACCAGGAACTCTGGAAGCTGATGTCAATAGTTCCTTCATCAGAATCAATGATTGTTTTCTGGATTGTCCTCTCTTCCATCTTACTTTAGCTGCTTTCAGGAAACTTTCACATGAGACCTGAAAATAATGGTCAAAATGATCCAAATAAAAAAGGTCACAATTTACAGATCTTTGGTTACATTTTTTTCTGTGGTTTGCCATCAATCATTTATTACAATTCTTCTTTATATTATGCTCTTTTGAGGACCTCATTGCAACAAACTCACAATTTATGCAAATCTATCAAAACACGATAATCTCTAAAGAAGCCTTGAAGCCTCAGACAAATTTGCCATAAGTCTAAATGTCCATTGAGATATTTAGGCATATATCAAACACAAGTTTTGAAGAAACATACAATGATATACAAATAAAGACTTACAGATGTTTCTGGAGCACTACCAATAAAGGAAAAGAGTTGATCTACAAGAGCTACATGAGGAGGCATGTCTCTACCATCTTCATCTACTAAATCTTGTAAAATAGATCCTACATCTCTCTTGTTCAACTGCCTTCTCCTAAAATTTTAGCACAAAGACATAGCATAGATAGTAATATCTCTCACTTTCATTAGTGAGGCAAAAATCAGGGAAAATCCCACAGAAGAATCTGTTTAAGAAATTGACAATTTTACGTGACATTAGGAGTATATTTTGAAAAAAGCGTGACTTTATTGCAAAGTGACTTAGATATCTAAAACTTTGGAGAATGATCATACACACTTAATTCAAGTAATATACTTGCTAGACCTTGAACAGTTAAATAAAGTTTTCTGCCTAATATCAATAAAAGAATAGTCACAAATGATACTCAAGAGTCTTTTCCAAAAACTTCCAATGTTTCAGTTTATTTGAAAAAAGCAAAAATACCTCTGTAATCTCATCACTTCAAGGAATGTATCATCTTCAACACCAGAGGGAGCTGACATACTTCTCCCTAATACTGAACCTGGTCGTAACATATCAGTATCAGATCGGGCCATTATACCTGTAACACAAACATAATATAATATATGACTCAATCTGGCAAGACTTGTTATACCTGTAACACAAACATAATATAATATATGACTCAATCTGGCAAGACTTGTTATACCTGTAACACAAACATAATATAATATATGACTCAATCTGGCAAGACTTGTCTATAGCTTAATTAGGATATTGAAGGCATGAATTAAAATTGAATACTCTTTTGATTTCCTGATGAAAATGAAAATTCAAAATCCAAAATCAATGCATAGACATCATTTTTCAAAAATGGAGTTTTACATCCTACTTATTCTGCTCCAAGCTCCTAGCAAAGTGCAAAGACGGTAATTTTGAAAAGAAAGCTTCATTTTACAAGCCAACTTTTTTTCCGATTTGCAACTGTTAAAATGGATAAAGCCTCACTTTATGGTATCGTACCAACATTCTAACAAGTACCCATCTACTAACCTTCTCTAGTATTATTGGTATAATTAGATACAGTTCTAGTTAAGGTGGTAGGGTTACTAATAAATGATATATTAACATGTAGTAATAGGTCCAATCTAGATAGTATACCATCTACTATCTGTTTAGTTTTATACATAGATTTTATATTCTCTTTTTCATTATATTCTACATCACTTGTAAACTTTTCTCTGTAATACAATAGATTAACATTAAACTAAGTCCATATGTTCATAAATAAAACAAAATCAAGCTAAAGAAGTATTTCATCTTTGGATGAAAACCGGATAATTCTTTCAGATTTTGCATAGGCTTAAATGTTATTTTGGTGATCAGGGTGATTCCATAACACAGGTAGATAACTGTGTAAGACTGTGTAAGACTTTATAACTTTTTTGGCAATTACTGAAAAATCTGATAAAAATGTACCTCAATGATTTGACAGCTCTTTCTGGTTCTTCTGTATCTAATACAACTTCTTTTAGAAAACATAACATAGTTAGTTCTTTATGCTTTAACTATAAAAACAATCAACAATCATTTATCATGGAACAATCCATTTAGGATAATGCCAAATAGATTACAAGAATGTTGTTAGCTTCTACTGTCACTCTCTTCAAACTTGTCATTGGCTTAAGCGGAGTAGACAAAATATCCTGTTCTTTTTCTAACAAATTATATCCCTTTGTTTAATTCTAAATTCCCTAGCACATCAAATGATGTACAAGCCCTATGAATAAGTTATGATTAATTATGTTACTATAAATATAAGGCCAATCATATACCAAGGGTAACAGGCCTATTAGATATGAAATTGACATATTTCATGGGATAAAGGAATCGGGTTTGTTTTAATGTTCACAAAATACATGATGTAAAATGTGAATCAGCATGAATATGATGCTTCATACCTCTTGTAAATGATAATCCTGGAAATAAGGAGTAAATGCTGGATTCTTTTCTTGTCTTTGTTCTTCAACTTCATTAAACCATCTTTGTTCTAAATCAGCCAAAGTCTACAAAAAAATGATACAAGCTATTATTTTGAGCATTAGTTAATGTCTGAATATTTAAAACTTTTTTTCAAAGGGTGGTCGTCTGGTCTTCTCAAAATATTGTAGATTAATGATTATAAATCAACGCTTTGATAGTGTCAAAAATGATGTTTAAATGATGTTTAGTCCTGCAAATTTTGAGAAACGGAGCCCTCGTTTTCTTGCTTTCACATGCTTAAAGTCTAATAAAAATTATGGCATTTTGTTGATTTTAAAGTTGCCAATCATGTCATGATATGATACTTATCACAATATTACCAACAGCTTGCAATTTCTTTTACATTTGGAAGTTATCAAGTTGTTTGTATACATGTTTGTATGGTACACCTAGTATCAATCATGGTAGTAACAATATACCACGATACAATACATGTATTGTCATGTTGTATTATTTACAATGTATTGATGCACAGATATATGGTACTCATACTAGCATAAACCAATTACAAGACGTGTTCAGGGCTAACAAAGTCATCTGACATTATCTTTAAGTTAGGATCTCTTTAGAATATCCATTCAATTTTCTACCTGCAGTTGTCTTATAAGTGCATCACATCTTCTAAAAACTTCATCAACAACAGATGATAACAACCAGAATTCTTCTGTTTCATGTTTTTGTATATCAGCTAATGATCTTAGTGCATCCATTAATGATAGATGTTTAACTACTGCTGACATAATCATTTCTTCTAATATTAATGGCTGGATTATCTCTCTAGAAAAAAAACAAAAATAATATCAAATCTGTATTAACATGTACACAGGCATTCCTTCTTGAATATCAGGGTACACAGTGTGGCTCCCTCTCACCATATCGCCAGCTATCATAGACTTTGTCCTTTGAATTTGCAAGTTTATATGGCAATGAGCCAATAAAGCCAATGGGATCTTGTTTGTGCCACTTTTGAGTGTTTTACTTAATATCTCTTCTTAGCCAAAATAAAATAGAAAAACTGAAATTTACTTGATGCTTGGTCTGACTCTGGGAATTTGTCTTTTGGATAATTTTCTTAAACCATCCATTAAATCAGTTGGTAATTTAATACGAGGTAATACAGGACTAAATGTAGTTTTACAACCAGGTTTCTTTTTACTCTTCTCTGTTGACTTAGTGATTTCTGCCTCCGACTGCCAAACACATCTGTAACATTAACAAAGATAGTCATTATTAATCCTTGTGGTCAAAAGCCATTAAATGTTGACTTGTTTTAGGGTGCGGTTGAGGTCTGTTTGAATGTGATTTTTCATGTTCAAAGGTTTCACACTAAAGTATTATACAAAAACCTCTTTAGTTTTTAACTCCAAATAAAATGGATAAATGATACAAATGAGATAAAGTATTTTCAGCAATGCCTATATATTCTTAAAACATTGTAGATTTCATTTAATTGAATTCCATTCCATAAGTGGTGTACTTTCACACCTATTATTATATTGAGCTGATTCATTTATGTTTTTCACTGATAACCCAAGTAATGGATAATAAAAGCCAGTTTTATTGGTTACAAACTGCTGTAAAGATCATACCTTTGAAGTATCTTGCTCTTAAATAAATGCTGACAACCAATTTCATCTGGTGTTTTTTCTGGCCCATCAAACATAATTTGTAACAACATACAAGATAAGACTGAGAGTCCTAGAGCTAGATCAGCCAGGAAGGGTAAACCACTTCCTACTTCTTCTACCAGTTCTTGAGCATGTACAGTAGCACTAAAACCCCACATAGCTTTATCTGGTGTATTATGTTCTCTACCACTTCTCATTTCAAATGAAAATGTTACTGTATCCCCTTCAACCTATGGATAATAAGGAAATTACTCAATTAACAATTTAACTATTCAAAAGTAACACAAGTAAGCCATATGAAAATTGGTATAAAATGTTTGAGATAAGAAAGTGTCATCAGTTCAGTGTTAAATATAGTTTTTGGACTTCAAGTATGGAATTTATCAAATAAGAGGTCTCTTAAGAGGTGAAAGGCCAATGCCTTGCTATACATGTGTAATAGATTATATCAGTGAGTGTTAGGAGCATATTAAACAATATGTTTTCTACCCTATATTTTACTCACCTTGACAAGATCTTTTGGCCATCCAGAACCTAGAACACTTCTGCTACCAAATCCAAAAGTATTACCACCATATTCAGCTATTTTCTTAGAATTTGTATTTGGACCAGCGTACAAAATCAGCTAATAAATACAATTACAGTTAATAAAGAAGCGTTTATATTCTTTAAAATTAAAAGTTGCTAAGCACAAGTTTTCACAAGTTTTGTTTGTAAATGAAAATTTGGTTATGAAAGCATGAAAAATATAATTACCTTATCATAGTCATATTGTGAAGAACATTTGGGATCAAATCTAATATATAAACATCTAGCACCAGGTATATGTATAGTTTCTTTCATTTTATAATTATCTCTAACAGGGTGGATAGTTTCTACTGATTTACCAGACGCCCAGGGTGCAGGGATTTTTAAATCAGCAAGAAAACATTCACCATCATCTTCTTTTTCACTTTCACCTCTAGAAAACATAGAGCCAATGTTTAATATTAAGCAAATATTTACACTGCCTCAATATGACAGACACTAACAACTAAATAGATCTTGGTGGTAACATATTCAGGAGGTTCTGTTATTAAAATTCCAGTACAAAGTGTCATCTCTGAAGTTGTGTCTGCTTTCAAATCCAGTAATAAACAACTTATGCTTTATAAGATGGTGTTCATGTAGGCTACTTGCAAGACCTGTGTCTGTCCAGGATCTAAGGCAAATTTCCAAAAAATCTTTTTAATCCAGAATCCCATGTGCATCAGTGTTCATGTTCATAGAATTTCTCCGATTATTAAAAGTATCCTAGCTAGTATCAACCAATAAAAACTTCCATAAGATTTAATACAAATAATGCCCCTTATATAAATCTTTACAAATATATGCTTACCTCTGTGTATGAACTGACTGACCTATAAGGTTTAACATATCTCTATCTGGATCTATATTATCATCTTCATTTAAAATACATTTCTTAGGACTTCTCATTAACATGGAGGCCTACAAAATAACATTTGTTCCAATTCAGGCCTCTATCGCAGGGTTTAGAAATATGTTATAAATTTTCCTTCTATTCCTTTCTCTGCCATTTTGAATTCTGTCTGCATCTACTATTTTTTCGGTCTACTTGGAAAGTGAAACTTATTTAATATACTTCAGAGAAAAACTTTCAGCAGTCTATGAATCATAGAAGTTAACAGTTTCAAGACATTACTAACATTCTCATATGCAGATATCAAAAATTTCTGCAAGAATATTCATAGCTGCCTAAAAATTACAATCATAATAATGACTTTTATAGTCATACCTGTGTAGAGAGTAGAACTAGTCGTGTAAGATGTGGCATTAAACTGTTAGCTAGAGACAGTTGTTGTAAACTAGAATGAGTTAATGTGGTCAATAAAACTGGTAATAAATGTCCTAATATAGTTCCTTTAGCTAATCTCTCCATAATCTGTAGTTTATTATCAATATCTTCTATAGCACTTGTCTCTATCACAGAATTACATACTTCTACAAATGTTTCTAAAACCTGAAAAATATAAATACCAGGTAGGTCTACTTTTAGTTTGCTTCCACAAGAATGACTTAACTCATGTTCATTAGACCACAGTTCAAGATTTGCAGTGTTTTTCTTCAAAAATCTTTTACTTTTCATCTAATAAAGTGAGTTGGTCCAGGGGAATAAATCAATGTACACAATAACACAACTAGCAAGTACTTTACCTCTGATAATCCACCAAATATTTTACTTGCTAAATTCACAACACCAGCTATCATATCCTGAAATCATATAATAACTTCATGATCTTAACTTAATTATTTCCAGCGCTTTGATCAACTTGTTTTAAGTAATGTACTAGTTTCTGTTATTGTAAGATTGTTGAAAATCAAAGTTCATGTCCATGCTAAGAACAAACCTATAATGTAGGTAACAAAAACATCTTTTAACTGTATAAAAGTGACAATAATGCAAAAACCTCAATTACATCAAAATAATCTCTATCAAAAAATGAGCATAATATTGATATATAGGTAATCAACTTAAAAAATAGCTAACCAGTTTCATTAACTTTACCTGTAAATTTATTTCTTGTTTGTTGTCTTTTTCTTCTTTTTTATCATAAAATACAGTTTGTCTTAACAAATAGGATTGTAAACACATTATATACATAACACAGGGACTGGCAACCTATAGATTCAAAAAAGGATACAATTAGATCAGTTTTCAAAGAGTCAATAGATGAGCACATAATTTTCACACTTTTTTTTCCTGAAATTGTTCTACAACCCAGTAAAATGAAGGAGATTTAGCTCCTACTATTATGGAACTTTTCGAACAAGGAATCGGGTAAATGCCAATATAATCTCTTGTCATTGTCTCAGTAATGTCAGTTTCAATAAATATCAGAATAAGTCTAATATGATAATACAATGGGTTAATTTATATCTCTATTTATCTACAACACAAAAAAAATGTTTAAAATATTCTTACCGGAACATCACTAACACTTTCTTCAATAGGTTGATTTAATTTAATAGGTCGCTTTAATATATCTAATGATTCTTTAACAGCACGTTTTAATATATAATGAACCAACTCATCAGCTAACCTATTAAATTATCGGTAATTAATTACACTTCATTAGGATAGTAATAAATAACCAATGAGACATCTACTGATTGAGAATCACAATAAATAATAGGTTGCAAACATGTGTCAATATCATTATATAAGCTCTTGTCTAAAGACACAAAGAAGAAGATCATTATTACCTCAAATGGTCTGTTTTCTGGCTTTCAAGATTCTGTGATTTCAACTGTCTAGCAAAGTTAGTAAGAATCAAATCTCGTAAGATAACTAAACCACAAGATTCACCACCTACAAAACACAAAAATACAATGATTTGATACTCTAAAATTTGTTGTGTTTTATGAAGAATCTACAAAATTTGAATTTCCATGCCATTCTCTCTGAACACTGCATTATCATATATACTACTGTTCTTCTTTAATGAGGATAATACTGTGCACCATTACTGAATGATTTTGTGGACATAAATAACTAGGTAAATCCGCATTATATATCAAGTCTGAAGTCCACTCAGAGTAGTTTGCCTTAGTCTCCAACATACCTTCAGTCATGAGTTGATACAATAACTTATGTCGTTCATTTTTATCAGAATATAAAGCCATCAAACCAATACTGATAGCTCTACAAGCTTCTAATCTTATACAGACGTCATTCATCTCTACAGATTTACTAGTAACTAACTTCCACAATAGAGACCTAGTCTTATTCATTAATTCTGCTTCACCTTCTCTCTCTAGCACAAATTTACTTGTTTTAAATATCAACTGAAAAATCACAAAACACAGATTTATAATGTAAATTATATGTTGCTGGGTTTATGTCCTTTTACCCTGGTATATTCAAAATATATCCTAATGGGCGTTATATTTCAATGTTACCAATTGAAATATTTATCTACAACTGATTGAGCTAATAAAGATTGGCAACTGCATGCAATGTACACCAAGGGATATTTTGCCAGAACGGCTGTTTTTAGATTTCCAACTGTCAATTGATCTACACAGTCTACGGTAAACAAGGTCTTGGATTATCATCCTGTATCGGCTTATCATCTTATCCCAACAACAGGGAAATTGTTAGTTGTATCTTACCTGTAAGACAACTAAAGAACTAATAATAATAGTAAGATGTCTGTCTTCCATGGCTCGTGTTAATATATCAGTGATACGTTTTAACTGAGCAATATCTACTGGTGTTGGTTGGATTAGAGAAGCTGTATAGGGATCACTGTTTAGTTTGTGAACACACATCCCTCCAGCATGCTGTAGTAATGTTTCTACAACTGTTTTTATTGGTATTACCTCTCCTGAAAAAGACAACGGTTCCAAAATCTAACATATGTTCTAAATTGAATTCTTAGGAACAGAAATAAGAAATTTGTTTTCAATCTCAAGAATTGACAGAAATCAGAGCAAGTCCGTTGTCTTTATGTATTTACAATAATATAAAACAAACACAAAAAAATGATCCTCAGGAACAAGATGATTCTGAGATTATTGAATGAATGAGCTTTTCATCAAATTATCTGCACCTAATTTGACTCAATAAAGCAAGCACCTTGACCTGTATAAATGGGAAAGTAGGTGATAAACTTTAAGAAATAAGTTGGAAACCTTGGAATTCAGAATAGAGCAAGTGTCTAACTTGTTGAAAAATAATCATATATTGCTATTAATTCAACTACTAAATAAAATTGACACTCACCTGATGCAGGTTGATGGTTAATAGGGATACACAGGCGTTGATTGATATGATGTGTAGCCTGATTACTAGGGTTATAAAACTGATCAATATAATCACTGCTACATACCCAGATACTGTTATTACACACATCAAAACAAGTTCCTACAATAATAATCAAAATCCTAGTCTTGGAGTAGAACATTAAAGAACTTTACTTTTGGAACATCTGGCTTGGACCTTGTGAAATAACTGTACACCAAACAACATGGACGGTTTTTTAATTCTATATTGCAAAATATAATTGCGTTGATATAACTGGATTAATGACATTCAGATAACAGAACACTGTTGGAACTAACAATCATCACCAAAGTATAGGAAAAAGGAGAAATTTACCTAAACTGTTAACAGCTGTACCTCTAGCTAGTGAACAACTAGGTGCATCCATTAGATCAACTCTAGTATTAAACTGTCCATCATCAATATTAAAACATAAATTAGAAGCTAATACTGAAATAATATCAAATTCATATCTAAAATATTCTGTATCTCCAAGGCCTAAGCTAACCCAAAAAAAATGGGAGATAACTCTTCCCCTTCCTACTTTTCAGACCACAATAACTCATGTGCTTGCGCGTTACCCAAAAAAATCTGATAATTGGGAAAACTTTTACACTTCCAAAAAAAATTGAAGAAACTACTCAAAAGCCTTAACCTAGTAGGCTAATCACGAGTACAAGGGATGCAACTCTTATTTTCAAGAATGTATTTTAAGGATTTTATACTCACATGAACATCTGAGACCAGATAAAGAACCACCTGCACCAAAGAATGGTCTAGAAGCTGAAGCATTAGGAGTACCTTGTATATTGAGTGATGTCAGGAAGACTATACTATTACCATCACAGAATACCGGAGTTTTTATCAATGTTTTTAATGGTATACCACAGGTAGTACTCAAAGTTGTTGTATTTGTCACTGTAAGAAGCAAATCAATATGACAACTTACAAGAAGAATTTGAAGCAGTCTTGTAGCTTACTAAGCCTAATGCTGATTTCTTGTCTACTTTTTGAAAGCTGGTAGCCAGGGCTGAATATAATTCAACATAAAACACCCCTAATACTTGAAATGAGCTTTTCTAAATATACATTTCCTGTATTCTATTGAAAGAAAATATACATTTGCCATTTGGAAAAAAACCCTAAAAACAAAAAAGCTCATGTTTCTTCTTTCAAAACATAAAATTCTTTCCTCTTATCAGAAAGAATGAAATTTACCTTCTTCTTTCCTTGTAGTAAGTAAATCACCACCTGTCAGTGCTACTAGGGTAGCAGTAGAGTTAGAGGTACGGAATGGTCGTGGACGTGAAAATATAGCTTCTGTTATAGATTTAGGATTCACTTCATCTTTTCTCTGTAATATTACTGCTGGTTTGATAACTGTAACATTTAAACTGTTATCCTGCAAAATAAAATAATACCTTAAATTCTGCATTCCAACAATGATCAGCATACAAGCATTTGAAAAAACTTCAGAAAATTTGCCACAGAACTAACTTTTAGGCTCAGGGCTTTTTTTTTCCCATTGTTAAGCAAGTCCGATCACAATACATTTAGCCCTCTTATAATCACCATAATACTGTTTCTTTTAAATGCTGAATAAATTAAACCAATCTGTGTCTTACCTTGACAGAATAAGTCTCTGTATAAACATTGATTCCTTTAGCTGATTTATCATTTATATTAACTTGACTCCATATTAAACAGAAATACATGCCATCACTAATAAATCCTATAGTAACACAAGGTTTTCCTATTGAACACTTCTCTGGCTTCATTACTGGCTTTATTTTCTTTAAATACACACAAAATAATGAATAGATGATGACAAAAGGTTCTCCATTCAATGAGCAATATATTTGTCTAAGAAAAGACATTTAAAGAATTTTCTATTACATCACTTTAAATAGTTTGATTCATACATGAATTTAAATCAAGTCAATGCCTTTACAACTGGGTTTAAAAAACCAGACTTTCAGCTCAACAACCTAAACAGACAAATTACATCATTCCCATGCTCTAAAAGTGACAAATAACTAGTTCCTATCTTGCGGATTCAAAGTTGGATATCTTATGTGACTAAGATCTCAATGTCTTTCAAAATCAATCTCAAAATGAATTATTCTATAAATTTCAGGAAAGCTTTAAACTATTGTTGAAATGATGGATGTGTATCCTACCTCTAGTGTAGTTGTATTGACATGTAATGCTAATATATCAGACTGGTCTTCATGATCAAATACAGCAGGTCTATACAGTAATTTACCATCACCATAAGCTAATCTTCCTGGTCCTATCTTTACATTCCGATGATAAACATATCCTCTACAATAATTATAAGAAATTTCTGCCATTCTATCTGCATGATATTTATTGGACATTAAACACGTCTACCTAATTTTTTCAATTCGGATAGATACTGGTATATATTTCTTTTGAAAAACCCTTAGGCCACAGCCATTTGATGTAAAACCTTGAAGCCACTTAATTCAACTACAAAATAACCATCCTGCTATACTTGCCAATCTATTAAGATGAATTATGTTTGAAAAGATACATCAAAGCTAAAATGATGTAAATGTTTCATTATTAACAGCATGACTATATAAAAGGCTAACTTACCTAAGAGTACCATGTAAACCAGTACCTATTTTAGCAATACCTTTACCAGCTGTATTACTTGTATATAAATATTTCCCATCAGTTGTAATACTTCTACCTATCTCACTCTCAGCTGCAACATAAATTGACAGTGTTATCAAATACAGAGTAACAATAAAGTTTTTAACTCAAGCTTATAACGCTATAAGGATAGACTTGATAAAAACATAACTTGTGATATGAATCTTTAACATGCACAAACTCTAACACAGGTTCTTGTTCTCATCTGCATAAATGGGCACTCAGCCTACCCCACCTATCTTTATCTAGTCTTATTCCACAATTGAATCCTTAATCTTCATCTTACAAAACAATAAACCCTCTGAACCAAGGCAGTCCCTGCATTGGTTTAAATCACAGACAGATGGATAGAATAACAAAAAAAAGAAAATTTACTTTTTTTTCACTAGTCTCTTAGTTTGAATCTTCACTGAAAACATTTTCAAATGAAACAATTTTCTAACTAACCTTTTTCCTTATCTTTTTCTTCTGTTTCAGCCGGTTTTTCACTGACAATATTCAACATATCTTCAAAACCCCAACTAACAGCATGTTTATTACCCAATAATGTGGCTGGTTGACCAGATGTGCCACCATTACCTCGTGTATCTAATAAACCATATAATATTCCTCCAACATTCAGTGATAATAAATCTGGTAGTTGTTGTAACAGGTCGGCAGCATGAACAAATGTATCAACATGACCTCTGAAATAATTAATAATAATAATAATTCAAATAGTGTAATATAATACATACAAATTTTTAGGAAACTTTGGCACGACGTATAAATGTATTTAATGAAAGCCAGGGGCAGTTGTCTGACTGAAAATTGGAATGTTAAATTAATGCTATCATTGTCCCCAATACACATAAAATTTTTTAAAAAACTCTTTTTACAATCCCTTTAATGCAGAATTAATTGACGGAATTATACTTCAAAGACTCCAATTCAGTTTTAGGGAAACTGCTGAATATTGGGAAATTGATGTTGGCATGCAAGCCTTGGTAAGATATACAATAGATTTAAGGTAGAAATAATAGTTATAGAAAAAATAATCATTACCTTGCACAAGCCAAAGCAACAAGTGCAGAAGCAGCCTTTTCTCTTTGTGTTTTTTCCTCTAAACTGATTTGATTTTCTTTGCTATCTTCTCCTAACCAATCACATAATAAACTTTCTAATCCTCTTAAACAATCTCCTGGCTCTTTCACAAGACTGAATGGTTTACATTCTTTTAGACAGCTTAATAACAACTCTGCTGTCACACCACACAACTTGGGGTCAATTCTACTTTGAGACTGAAGTAATGGTAGCAACAGTAGCAAACTGATTCTAGTGGAAAATGATGCTTGCTCTGTCTCCTTTTTAAACAAGCTCAGTGTCTCTTCTTGTAATGATAGCTGACTGAGTTCTCTACTTGGTGTTAAATCTTGGCAATTTTCTCTACAAGCTGTCCAAAATCCTCGTAAAGCATTCAATCTGTATTCTAACAGACGCTTATAAGCGCTGTTCTGGGTTCCACATACAGCTAAAAGTTTTTCAGGAACATCATGGGTGTCAGTTGTATCAAATCCACAAGATAGAATATCAGAATCAAGGTCACAATTGGAACTAACATTCTTTGGTGGTTCTACCAGATCAGTGACCCTCAACAAGCCATCATGTAGAAATAATGTTTCCTCTGTCACAGAGAACCATAAAGGCTGATTTTCATTACCTTGAGATGACATTGTTATACCTGAAAAAAAGTATAACATATAAATAAAAATAATAGCAAAAGCAATGTTAGGTCTATTTTTTTATAGCAGGAACCTATTTCACATGACTTGACTTAACTTAAGATAATGTAGTGTTCCATCCATCTCATTGGCTAATCACTAAAATCAATTTTAAATCTATTTTTATCAACCAATCTGACAAATGTAAGTCTTAAGATCTAGATTTGTAAAAAATCCTTGTGAACATTAAAAAGTTGAATCATAAATAATTGAATTATAACAACAGAAAATGAAAGCGAAGCAAAATGAATAATGATTGCCATAAATTTATACATATAGGCCTATGATTTCAGTTATAGGGCTACCAGACATAGTTAATTTGAAATAAATATGGGCTTTATAAAAGCATTAAGATGGTGAAGTCTCAAATATAACAAATTCAAAATATTTACACCATATCAAAACTTCCTTATCATCAAATTTCAGTTATTTTAATGAAGTTTAACCATTTGCAGCAAAAAAAAAAAATTGAAAATTCTTGGTAATCATGGATGTACTGATAGACATACTGATCATACTAACACTGAAGAAGACCCTTATGGCAGCTGGACTGTTTAGACATATTTCAACATATATGGCCATCCCAACCTTACCCAAAATCAAAATAAGTCACTAAATTGCATAGTTGATTAATTGAGTAATTGCAATTAGGCTTATGACTATGTTCTTGCATAACACTTGCGTTTCAATAATGATTACCAGTAAGTTGCATCAGTATTTCTAATTCAAGAAAATATTTAGCTCTACACTATATTAAATGGTATAGATCAAATAAAGTAAGTGACGCAGACACAAAATCAGTTTCAGTATACTTATTAACAACAATCTATAAATAGTAACACTAGCAAAACATTTTGACAGCCAAAAACGTAAACATGACCTTCAGAGAGGACGAAGAGCTTGGACAGTGCATGCAAAATGATAACAGTGTCTGATTTGATTCATTAACTCTTTTCTGATCATTTTACTTACAAATATGAGATATCTACAGCATGACAGACCAATCAGAAACTGCAAGATCACTGTCTGCAACAAAATCCATTTCTAACATCGCCATTTTGTATAATGGTTTCGTTCAATTGTTGCTCCAAATGAATGTAACAGTAAACGAAGATTTCTTCATGCAGTTCGATTTCCATGCATATTGATAGTTGTATCGATATCTATGTTTATATCCTGTTGACAAATCGATTTCTAAGAACTGACATGACATATTTAGATATATTTTTAGATATTGAGCTGAAATTAAATGAATGTTCCTCCAAGAAGGACAAGTTCAAGGGGGATAAATCCATTCATAGAGGACTTTTATTTTGTTGTATATAGCCAAATTAAATCAAAGCCTTTCTATAAATTTTATCTTTTCTTTTTAAAGTAAATCAGCTACATTGTTCTTTCATGTATTATTCCTCAATCAAGTCTTGGAAATAGGCTTATATTTTCAAACTGGATTGTCCCAGAACATTAAGAAATTGCAAACTGGATTGTCCCAGAACATTAAGAAATTGCAGTTTGCAGTGACTAGCTTGACTTTCAATATAGCTCTGATAATTTCCAGTTGCCTCAAAATCCAAAATTGGAATTATAAAATAAACCATGTCGGGGTTTGATAATATTTATTTTTTTAAGCTAAAAGCAACAAACATTCATTTTTATTCCTCGTTCAGATTTAGTTCAATCTCTCTCACATCTGTACATTATTAACAGTTAGCCAAGGCTACATAAAATATTCTTACAATAAAACATAAGCACCATTGATAACAATAAGTAGGATCACACAAAATATCTTCTTAGTTTCCCATTTCATATTACTGTAAAACATACATGAAAAATTGTTCTATTGACAGTAAAAAAGTCTAAGATGAAAATTACTGGCGTTAAATATTCATTACACCTACACAACTACACTTGAATTCTCTTTAGGGAGAAATCTTAATATTTGAGACATAATCATTGTCGATGCTCCTAGCTTTGGTCAACCAAATATATCTATGTTCATGATCTGGATACAATTCTAAACACAATCCAATTTATTTTACAATAGAATAAGTAGTTATGAAGTAGTCTTATACTACCTGAATCAAATCAAAATAGATTACTTGTGTTAAAGTTTTGAATCAAATCAAGATGTGCAAAAATATATTGGCTTGACTATAAGCAGAATAACAATAAAAAATATATGCTACTTGACTCAACTTGACCTGTGGAGAGTCCATAAAGCAGAAAGGTACTTTTGATTTTTATTTCTTATAATAACTTAAAAAATCATAAAATTGGAAACTAAAAAAATTTAATGTGATTATTTCTATGTATTTAATATATCTATCACCATTACCAAAATATATCTGGACAATATATATATATACATGGTTTTGGCAAATGTCTTAATTAAAATGATACATCAAATATCAATATTTTTAGGAAATACCTTACATGTTAAAAAATGGTTGTCTGAAAGTTTACAGTTTTAAAGTTAGATAATATTAATATATTACAAGTTTGAAAATAAGCCAAACTTATTTGGAAATAAGATAATCGTCAAAGAGACATTTTTTATTATAATAGTTTAAATTCCATCTCTTTAAAATATGGCAAAATGTTTATGTATTATTGAACCAGTGCAATGAATCGAAGAGGAATGTGAACTCTTGGTCAGTGTGCAGAATGTACAAAAAACATAGAACAATAACAATATAATAACTACATTAACAGAAGTTCCTGAGTACTAAGTGAAATATCTTTTAGAATCAAACAGTAGCTAGAATCCTTTGAACACTAGTGACTGCTTTTCCTGCCATAAACACAAGCAGAAGTTGCATGTTAATGTCATATTAATGTCACTTTTATAACTTAGGTGTTCGGGATATATGGCATTAAACATCTAACACTTAGTGTTCAAAGGGTCAAGGTAAACATGTTACAAAATAAGAAAAGGACATCACTTTGAATTGTGTGCAGGCAAAAGTTGGTCATATTTAGTGAACTTTAAGGTTTGTTGAATAGTAAAAGTTATCAAGAATTCAGTTGTACAATAATTCAGCAGTGTTCAAAATGAAAATTAAAAGTTTGGTTAGCATTAATAAAGATTAAAATCACAGGCCATTTTCTTCAGATTGACATTTGAAAAAAAACAAAGCTGAAATCATGATACAATGTTTAGATAACTTCACAACCAATCAATATATTTTGATTATTTTTTTACAAAGACTATTGGCAATACATTAACATTTCAAGGCACAGTTTTGATTAAAACAGAAAATACAGCACAGTGTTTAATGCTCATATTTTAACACTGAACTTTGGTGGGATGTGGAAAATGGAAATGACTAAAAGTAAAGGAATAATAATACAATATACACCATACAACAGACACCATATAAAAATATTGGGGAAAGGCTTTGTGAATATGTCATAATATTATTTATAAGGGAATAAATTGTCTTTATATTCAATATCTAAATGTGAAAATATTAATAACCTCCTGAAAGCAATGAAAGCCTAAACCTTTATTGGTATGATTTTATTGAATTGAATCCCTTTAAATACATAGAATCTACAACAAGGGTCTTCAAATATATTTCTATATTGGAATAGAGTATAATTCACCATATTGATTTAATCATATTAATATAATTAACCACAATATATTTTGTTATATGAAAATAAAGCTTTAAATGAAATGTAATGTAACCCATCGCTAGACACACCTGTTTGTAGCAATAGTATAGTTTGATTTGCAGCTCCCAATTCCATCTCTACCAGTAAGAAAAAAAATTGGAAAGCTTATTCTTAGAACAAAATACTTGATCAATTCATTAATGATTATTTTTAAATGTGAATCAGAATATCATCCTCAAAATTGTTAAGAGTAAGTTTGCTTTGGTAATAATTCCAACTATTTACATGTGAAATTTTTGTCAGGATATATTGAGTTGAGATATTTCATCAAAATAAAGTTAATTCAAAATTATACTATTTAAAAGTTAATATTTCAATTCACATAAAATCTTAAATAAAATTTGAATGACCAACTAAGGTAGATAATAATTTAATGAAATTGTCCTTAATACCGCTAATGTTCTTCAAACAGAAGTTACCATGCTAAACCTCGCCCTGTGTCTCTAATAAGCAATGATATAATTACTCTACAAATCTTTTAACAAATAATCAACTATAAATATAGATTTATTTGAAATAAACTTTGGCAGGGAGTAATAATAACTAATACTATATACATGATGAAATCAGCTAAAATAAGAGGAATAGATTTCCAATTACCTTCTTAGGGCAAAACTCTGCACTCTATACTTGCAATTATATTGAATATCTATACTGAAATCATCCCTGTACTTTTGCAGAATATCAAATCAGATTCAAAATCATTATATAAATTGAATGCCTTTTTGCGATCAATAAACATTTAACAGGTTTCAAAAACTATATTGTTTTTCACCTTGAATCAGTTTTTTGATATTGATATTAACAATATTTTTTTTCATTTTGAAATTTGATGAATACATTATCAATTCATAACAGATATATACAAAATATTAAAATTGGAGATAAAATACTAAAGTGACTATTTTGATTTATCAGCAAACATACTTTAAGTGAAAGGACTATACATTTTTATACAAGAAACAAATAGAAAAAGTTTAAGAAATAGAGATATGAAACTTAAAGATGAAGAGCTCTTGAGATTCCAGAAATGTAACTAAGATATTATTGCATATGCAAGGCCATCTAACCATCAATATAAGCAGTTTACTTAATTTTCAGTCTAATTTAGACAACAAGAAACACGTAAGAAACTAGCCCTTTATAGTTTCAATTACCTTTTATTCAACCTCAGCAAGTAAATTACTATGTTTTGATTATGTTACAGAAATAACTTAAACATAACTTTTTCACCTTAAGTAATATAAGATCCAATTTTCCTGCTTAGTAACATTTTTGTTTATTGGTTTTCTAAGGTATCTAACTTTACTAAAAGTTTTACTTCATTAATGTGAAAGAATTTATAAAACAAATTTAAGTATCAAAACTTCTTAAGTACCATGCTGCATTTTGATAAAGGCAACTGTATTGATTGGAAATTTTTGCTACGATTTCTGTTTCTTTGATTCGCCTTTTTTTCCTTTTGTTGATTTTTCTTTTGCGGCTTTAATTTTTGCCAGTTGTTTTTGATGTTCTCTCTCCATTTCTCTTTCTGTAATACTCAACTTTGTTAACTGAAATATACACAAACCACTTCAACATCCAGATATTCGTAGCTATTTAAATTTTTATGGGCAATAACTGTTCTATTGATTCAAATTTCAAACATGACCTCCAAGTTTGGACAATAACATCTATTTTTAATTTGTAAGAAAAGTGGACAAAAACTGATGGAATTATAATATTTTTGGTAAAAAAATTTATACTTCTATAATTGCCATTTAGGGATTAAAGAAATCATTATTTCTTATTGTTCAGAGTTGTAACATGAGCATAAAAATGAATCACATTTTCCTTTGTTTGTCATATGTACAACTTTGATTCTTGAGGTTTATAAAGATAAAAATTCTACTGAAGTAATAGTATTGTATTGTTTGTGTATGTTATGCCAGATGGTGGTATTATATGGTTATACTAAAAAAAGTTATCATTTACCTCTCTCATAATAACATCTTCTTCAAGTTCTGATGCTGGAATGTTTCGTAATTTTTCCATTGTTTCATAAAAACTTGGACATTCAGCTATTTTCTCTGATGAACCAAGTGCAACTTTAAATAAAACTAATGCCACACGAAATAAAATTTTTACTCCTGTAAAACAATAACAATTCATAAATAGATATTACAATATATTAATTGTAAAGAATACATTGTTTCTTAAAGCAACATTAACTCATTAAGTTACATATTAAATGTCTACATTATTAGGGAAAATAGCATTGGCAATGCAATAACAAATTTCTTAGCAGCATTTTCTCTCACATATTTCAATTTAAAACTGACTCTGTAATATTGAAGCATATTTTAATCTAAAATTTATTATTTAGATGCATTTGAAACAGCAAATCAATTTTTTTGCGCTTTCTAAAAATTGATAAAATTACCTTCACAGAAAAATACATCCCATATTCTTAACACAGAGCTCCATGGTAAGGATCTGGTATAAACACACATAAACCATTCAGTCATATACATAATAGGTTCAACACGCTGCTTTTTCTACAAACAAAAATATATAGATATCATTCTTCAACTATAAGAAAAATAAATGGAAACATTGAAATATTAATTGTGAATTATCATATTTAAATCTATTTAGATATTTATTTTTCTTATAATAATTACCAAACCAAGAATTTAGGGAATTAAGCAAACATAAAGCATAATCTGTCAAATTTGCATTTTAAAGTCTAATAAATGAGTAACTTCAAAGACAAGTAACTAAACTTCACCTTAGGATCAGAATTTTATGCAAAAGAAATCAATTTACCAGTAATTTGTAAATAGGTGGGTAGGTTCGTTTGATTAAACCATATAAAACTTCACCATCTAACTGAACAGCCTCCTACAAATTATACATACCATACATTAATAAAGTTTATTCAAAAATAAAATCTCTTGAATGTTTAGGTAGATTAAACTTAAAATTCCAAAATTGTTCATATACAACTCCCTATTTCTATTGTTTCAATGTTACTTGATGTGATCTCTATCCCAAGTGTCGGCTTTCAACCCCTAATACTTAAGGAATCTTATTCTGACAAGTTTCTATATCAACGAATCATAGATGTATGAGATAGCCACCTGTTATAGATTAACATAAAGCATTGGTCATTTTACATTTGAGTATCACTCAAAACAAATTTGTTCTCTAATGCTGACAACATATTTCATCTCATTTGGTAAAAGTTTTTTTTTTTTTTAGAATGGGTGCCCCTGGAAAATTTTGCACCTACCAATCCTGGACTATAGTAGCCAGGGAGATATTTATCACATAATGATACAAGACACCAGAATGCCTGTTCAGCAGGCATGTGCATTAATAATAAAGCTGCCAATGGAGCCTGAGCTTGACAATATCCTTCTTCTGGTCTATGTATACTGTAGGCTTTTAATACAAAAAATAAATCTTCTTGTCTGGAATAAAACAAAGCATGATAAAATTGGGAGTTATAATTGTATAGTAGTGGACTCCTCGAACGAGAAGTACCATCACATGTTTCGAAAAGAGAGACACAAGCCACTACAGTGTAGGTTAAAATCATGAGATACCACCATAGCTTTAGTCTTAGCATTAGAAATAATTGGCTGGATTCAAAACTTTGGCCCCATAATCTCTTGGCCAAAAAAATTTATCCATCTAAGACTACCAGTTCTATTTTGAGACTGCTATTCCAATTCTCATAAAAATAATTTTAAAAAAATTCAAAAAACTTTTTACTTTGCTCAGACAAAAGTCAATTCACCTCGGACTGTTTAAGGTGCAGTTGCGTCACTTTTTTGACCAATCGCACCTTTGTCTCAGAAATGGGATTTTCTTTAGCTAAGCATCACCGTCAAAATTTGAGCCTTCAAATCCATGTGTGTCCAGAAATATCTACGTTTGAATATCATTTAAAGATACTCTGTGATATACAGATAAGACATAGAAATACTGAGTTTTAATTGTTTTTAAGGAATTATGTGATTTTCTTTTATTTTTAGTACTTCTGAAGATTATTTACATATTCAACATTCAAATCAACCCCCCAAAATGGCGCAACTGTACATGATGAAAAAAAAATATATCATTACTGATTACTGGTATGTATTTCAAGTAGAGAACATGAGAAGTCTTACCCATAGCCATCTTTATTTTTAAACATTTCATGTTGAGGAAATTGTCGATCTAAATCTTTCTGAATATCATCAAGACATTTAGGGTCACCTGGTAAACTTAAATAATGCTGAAAAAACCATTGAAAATGTAATTCAAATTACACTTCTGTTCGGTGAAAAATGATTGATTGAATCAAAAATACAACTCAAATTTAAGGAAAAGGTGAAATACATACATTTCAAGGTCACAATCAATTAAAAAGTAAATGAAAAAAAAAATGTGCCAAAATTGAATTTCTCTGAAAAAAAAAAAAACATTTTCTCTTGTATATCATTATTTTTTTTTAAGAAAATGTATATAATTATATTACATCTTGTATGTAGGTTATGATTTTCTATTTTGGGGCCTGGATTTCTTTTTTTCTCAACAATTTGCAATGGAAATCTGTTGGGTCTAATACAGATAGAAAGTAAATGTTAAGAGATAAAGAGTAAGATATAGACATAGATAGTTGAATGAGCCATTATAATATAAATAATGATATAACATATAATCTACTTACATCATAACGACCTCTATTGTGATCTAGCATAAATTTACTACCACATAAATATTGCCAAGCTCTAGGTCTTATAGATGATGGTATGCCCTTTCTACATCTATCTTTAACCTATATACATACAATAATACAACTATAGTTTCAGAATATAACTCAGTGGGAGGGAACAGTTTTTAAATACAAAATAATTCTTACTGTAGATCGGTTTAAGCTAGTCATTTGACATAGATCTTATGTCAGTGTTAATAAAATGTGTGATTCAATTTAGGGGGGAATAAAAATAAACAAAGGTTGTTCTGGTTTTAAAGGTGCATTCAAACCTGTTTTATTCCATAACACTGCAGGAGTTACTCATTTTTTTTTTATTTGGGATGTCCTCTAAATGTAAGTGGGAACAAATAAATTCAAAGATAGCTTGCCAGTAAGGTAAAATACACCCTCTTCCAGCTGTCAGAAATGATAACCAAGTCTGTATTGGCTTAATAATAATTTCTCAAAAACAGTTGTTCAAATTATCATCAAAATCAAACATGAAAAAGGTTATACACGCAAGGGCCATAACTCTGAAACTGTTCATCCGATGATGACCGAGATCTCATCAATATATAAGCTTGCACTCATGCATACCAAGTTTCAAGTTTCATCAAGGTCAGATAAAAACTGCAGTCTATATCATACCTACAACCCAAATTTGACCATTTTAACCAAGTTAAGGGCAATAACCCAGAAACCGTTCTTCCGATTGTTACAAATTTCAAACTTGACTGAAATCTCATCAATATATACATGATCATCAAGATCAGATAAAAACTGCACCCTCTATCGTGTCTACAAGTCAAATTTCACGTTTTCATTAAGTCAAGGGCAATAACTCTGCAATCGTTATTCCAATATGACCAAATTCAAACATGACCGAGATCTCATCAATATATACAAGCAAACTAAGTTTCAAGATCGGATAAAAATTGTTGCCTTTATCATGCAAACAAGCCCAATTCAACACGTTTACTTAGTCAAGGGCAATAACTCTGAAACCGTTCATCCTATTATAACCAATTTCGAACTTGACTGAGATCTCGTCAATATATACATGCACACCAAGTTTCATCAAGAACGGATAAAAAATTAAGCCTTTATCGTGCATACAAACCAAATCTAAAGTGTTTTTACTTAGTCAAGGGAAATTAACTCTGAAACCGTTCACCAAATATAACCAATTTCGAACTTGACCAAGATCTCATCAATATATACATGCATACCAAGTTTCATCAAGATCAGATAGAAGCTGTAGCCTCTATCGTACATACAAGAAATGTGGATGAATGGACAAAAGGACTGACAGGGCTGACAACAATATACGTCTACATTTCCATGTGGGCGTATAAAAACTAGTCCAATTATATATATAAATAAATATTTTAGAGACAAATTTCATTTGTGAAATATTCAGAAAGGGTTCCGATCAAATCTCTTTCCAAACTACTCCTTGTGCTTGGAAATCAAACCCACTTTCAATCCATCTATTCTAATAATAGATTTTTCACATAGAACATATGTCACCAATGACACCAAACGAGCTTTTTCCAATCATTGTGTAAGTTATTTGAATTTAAAATTAACAATGAAAATAATATCAAACAATCAACCCTTTATACTTTTATAACTATATATATATATTTGTTATCACAAATAAGGATGGGTGGGACTGTTTAATTAACAATTATTTTATCAGTTTAAAAAACTCTGACACACCTTTTTAAATCTTTTACTCATCCATTTCTCCCAATTTTCCATCATGTCTAGCCATTTTAATTCTCTTTTTCTTAAAATTTCAGGTGGTAATCTGTGTTCACTGTAAGAATATAAATCATGCAGTGACAGGTCATGGCAGGTTATTTTATATAATGAATTAGGATACCAGTTCTATATTAGGTCTATATTTATGCAAATAGCCTGTGCAGTACATAATAAACGTTTCATGCTATAAAGATCAATAATAATGCTAGTCTAGGATATTGCCATGACACTCAACTGAACCTTATTATCTATCTCAAATGATGAATAATAAATTCAAATTCTTAAAGGGATTCTTGCCTTTTCATGTGTATAGGGACATTTATAGATTTTATTTGTACTCTTCTGAATTTCTATATGGTCTCTGTACCACCAGGAAACTTTATCAAAGTTAGCTTGCAAGGCAAGGTAATATACACCCACTGCTAGCTTTGGTTTTGAATAAAATATTTTGTCAAAATCAGGCAAGAATCACACCGTTATTAGGGTGAGGTCTGTGGGGGCTGAGCCCCTGCAAGTGAGAATTAAGCCCCAGCAAAATTATGTTCAGTTCAGCAGAGATTTTTCATTTAAAGGGTCTTTGTACAAAATCAAAAAGATTAGATTTTTAATACGTACTTTTTGGCACCTCAAAATTGTAAAAAAATGAGTTTTTTCTGGGACTTTTATTCTTTAAATTTTCTGAGCCCTAAATATTTTTCAATTCTTCTGGTTTATCCTTGGGTGATAACAAACACTCACAGCCAGATTTGTCAAAATCGGTCAAGAATTGTTCCTTCTAGAGTGCTTGAAAGCATTTGTGAACCGATTCATGTGGGCGTATAAAAATGATCTGAATATATAAATGTTTTGAACGGTATTAGATGAGAATAGATGTAATTTAATTTAATTATGTTCCTCTACAATAATTTAAGCTTAACCTGTTGAACCCCGAGTGAAAATGAAATAAAATGTTATACCTCAATTCCAAGTAATATAAGTCAAAGCGAAAGAACTTAAAGTTGTGTGATTTCACTTAGCAATGGCTGGTTTACCTGCTGCTTGGGTATATATCATTATATATTTAAATATAAGCTAAAGCATCAGTGAATCTGAATTGGGAAAATTAATGTCCTTGGTGTACATACAAAATTTAGGAAAATTCTCTTTATGATCCCAAAAATTCAAAAAAAAAAATCTTGCAAATGATTCAGAACATTTGAAGTTTCAAATGAAATCTTTATTAATCTGATAAAGTTGTATTGATTGACCTAATTACATCTGTTTACCTACAAATTGAAGAGGTGCTAAAATAGTACTGGGGCATGTAACTGATCCAGATTATAGTGTTATATAATAACAGAACCTCTTATTTGCCATTAAATAATGTTATCAATAAGGATTTGATTTTCATAATAATGAAGACTTCCATTTACTTGTGTCTCGTGATGTAAAATTGAAACCAGTTTACGCCCAACCATTAATCATTTATAACGTAACTGGAATCAAATATTATTTTTTTTCAAGAGGAGTCGGTTTTTTAAACTTCAGTGCAGGTAATTTTAAATGTTTAAGCCTATTTTAAAACCATATCATTGAAAATAAATTTGCATAGTAATTTTGTGACATAGTGATCATCATCATTAGTATCACCATGACTTTGTCCTACGCCTACAGGAAATAATTAAACACATCACACATGAATAGTAAACACACTAACACAAGTCAAACTTACTCTTCAGGACTTGTAAATTGTTTACCACCAGTAAAACCATATCTATCAACAACTTGTGACACTGTTCCATTTACTTTCAAATTACTACTAGAACTTCTTGGGGGAGGGGCATGATTTCTACGAGAGTATCCCTCATCTTCTTCACTATCATAATCATCATCATAATTAACATGATGATCATCAATGTCAGGCCTATAATTAGCCATTAGAATATCATTTAACACTTTACTTTAGTAATCATTGAGTGTCACAGTAACATATTAATTGGGTGGTCACTTCCTTCACAGAAATGACAAACATTGGATGAATGTCAAAAATAAAAGCTGAATTATTACTGAATAAATTTTGACCAGTTTCAGTAGAGATGTAAGAGATAACCCACAAATAATGATCTCACTGATTATTCCACATGACCAGACAACTATTTACAGTCTTTAAGCGGATTTACCGCAACAACTTATCTAAAGAACACTGTCTTAAGTCATTTTGATTAAAAATATCCAAATCCTCAATTTGACAGCTGAATGTAAAACGGAAATAGCGCCTCAAAGGTGTCTAACGCATGCGCAATGTAAACATAACGTCTTCCCCTTTCCTCTACCAAGTACAAGACAAAATACATAAATTTGAAGGATTTCTTTGCTCTTTGAAATTTGTCATTTCTTTTATGATTACAATATTAACGGTTCTGTAAGAAATTCCCGTTACATTTCATTAGAAATTATAGATAAATTTGGGAGGGCACTGCAGCAACGTGAACTACAGATGGAGCTAATTTACATCACAATTAGATCATTCCGACGTTGAAGTAGTACCAACAGGAAGTAGTTAAAACTTTACGTTAAAATTTTTATGAGAAGAGAAAGACTCTTGTAACTTCATGTTCAGTGAATATTTACTGCGAATATTTTGAAAGCGTACTTTTGTTGCACTGTTGAAAAAAACTATTTCTTTTGATAAGAATAAAAAATAGTTCTCAAGACCATCGGGTAAACTTTCCTACGCGTGTCGTACTCGGTCTCTGGCTCGATCCAGCTGACCAATAATTTCTTATTCAACTGTATTATCGTTCTGAAATATAAGGCTTTTAACCAACTATTTCATGCGTTGACCCGAGGTTCGGTTTATATATTAGACAACGGTAAATTGGGCATGTTTTCTTAATTGGTGGTAAAATTGGGACTCAAAACGACCGATATGTCCACCATTGTGAATAATAGGAGAACTGCATCATCCACCAAAGGAAGGCAACCTGCACCATCCAGGTTTGTAATTTATAAACTCATTTAGCCTACGTCTCTACTCTGGTTCTCTTTTGTGATATTGACATGTATGAAAAAGAAAAGTGGATTTCTAGTCTTTTAATTTTAGTTTCACAATTGAATTTGATGATCTTCAGATTTCAACACATCCACACAGGAAGTTCAGACTTCAGTCGTTCAGGAGTTAAAGAATAGAATCTGACATAGAATCCTGCAGTTTAGAAGAACTCCTGGAAGTCTATAATTTCAACAGAACCATTATAAGCTAAAAGTGCATTTATTTTGCTAAAATCGACTTGTTTCAATCCACAGCCCATTTCCCTATCCTAGTTATACACAGACAAACATTTATCAACAATAGCCTATCATACATAGGATAGGTCTATCTTCTACATTGGGCCTATTATGGGACATTACCAAAGCTAACTACTAGTCTATATGAAGCTGAAAAACTTCAGTGTCATATTGAAATTATTTTGCAGTTAAATTATATTCAACAGTAATTTATTTCAATGATATATTACCAGGAAACCGAACATATCTTGTATAGAATATTTCTCTAAATATTTGTCTTACCACCTAAAAGTGCCCAATTTTTGTCATCCTTGATGGTTTTCAGAATTCAGATTGGATGTCCAATTCCCCTGCAACTGAACAAAAATTTACTGTTTTTAATGGCTTAAATAGACTTTCAGTGTACCTAGGTCTGGTAGTACTATTAACTTTCTCAAGTGAAATTAATATGGTTTTCATTGGTAATGATTGCAAATAAGAATACAAATAATAATACCCAAGAAGTGACTGACAATATTTCAACAATTTTGCCCCTGTGCAAAATGAATTTTTGAAGTAGCTGGTTCTTTGTATGTCATCTTGTGTGTCCCAAGCATGCAAGTTCGATGATGCAACATTTGAACTGTCAGTAAATCATGCAATAATTTTGTGACAATGAGTTAACTTACATAACATAGAACTTTTTATATGTTGGTGAATAATTACAGAATGATTTTAAATCTTTTGGAAGCATTTTTACGTATTGGTAATCGAAATATTGAATCAAAAGTGACTATTCATGAACTTGATTCCTTCATCTATGAAAATTATGATGAAATTTACTTTTGACCTCTTGACAAAAAATTAACAAAATTACAAGTATGGTTAATTAGTACGGTAACAGAAATATGACTTGTCTTTGTCTTTTGGTAAGAGTTGACCTGTTTATTTTCAGGAATTTCCCTCCAAAGAAAAATTCAATAGATAAACCTGTGCCAGTGAGTATATTATCTATCTCGCCTGAAGTTTCGTGCATAAAATTTATGCATATAACATGCGACATTTGCATTTCTCTACAGACATGAATGAATTATTGAACACTTCAGTGTAACAATTTTGTATTCTATTTTATTCATTGAAAGACATGCTATGTCATTTCGACCTAATAGTACGTGTGCTACTAAGTATTAGTCAGGATCATTGATCTAATGTATGATAGATTTTCAAACAACATTAGTTTGAAAAAAAAGGTTGATGCACTACAAAAAACGATTATTCCAAAGACTGTTTGGACTTTTGGAAGAACAAAAATATTCGAAAAATTGCCTGATGTCCATTATCTTTTTAAAATGTCAGGAATGTTTTTCATCTTACAGAAAATGTAATGTGAACTGAATGATTCTATATAGGCATAATCATTAAGATATTTCTGGGCTCAAATCTTTGATGTTCATGATTGCTGGAAGTCAGACCGTTTTTTTCAGATATAATCTTAGACATAGTTAGGATTTCCATTTTATTTAAGCTTTTAATCCATACATCATGTCAGATGAAGAGTTATGTTTGTTACATAATATTATTGAAATGAGTTAGTAATGAATGTAGTAGATAAAAGTATTTTAAGTACCAAGTCATGCAACAGATTGACTATGTAGTGTCTATGTTTTATTACCTTAATATGTTATTGATTTTTATAACCAACCAATTTATAGTTTAAACACGTGCTGGTTTAATTTTAGACTGAAGGTGTTTATGGAGATGCTAGGTTTACTCATGTTGTTTATACCTTAGTGGTAAGTAAAAGCTTTAGAAAATAATTCTGAAAAGATAAACGGAAATCTCCATCAACAAATTTTTCATATCAAACGAAATAAAATGAACTGAATGCCATAAACATTTATACTCTGTATGTAAGTGATTGATGTATGTTTTTATACGCCCACATGGAATGGGGGGCGTATATTGTCGTCACCCATGTCCTTCTGTCCGTCCACAATTGCTTGTAAACACTCTACAAGGCGCAATTCTTGACACATTTTGATGAAACTTTGTGTGAGTGTTTGCTATCACCCAAGGATGAACCTATATAAAATCAGAAAGATCAAAAAATAATTAGTATGAGTTATTGCCCTTGTTCTTGAAAACGCATTCAATTTTAGCTTGTAAACACTCTAGAAGTCACAATTCTTGACCGATTTTGGCGAAACTTGATGTGAGTGTTTTTAATCTCCCGAGGATAAACCCTATCGAAAATCAGAAAAAATGAAAAATATTTATTATGAGTTATTGCCCTTGTTCTTGAAAACGCGTTCAATTTTTAGCTCGTAAACACTGAAGAAGGCATATAACTTGACAGAGTTATATGAAACTTGGTATGTGTGTCAGTAATCAAACAAGGATGAACCGTATTGAAAATCAGAAGATTCGAAAAAGAATTAGCATAAGACACGTTCAATTTTTAGCTTGAAAACACTTTAGAAGGTTCAAATATTGACAAAACTTGGGAATATTATTCATTATCAAAACATTCAAAAGAAGGTTGAATATTTCATACTGGTAATTGTTACTGCTCTGCCAAATATTTTCATTTAAAATCAAAGCTGCCAGTGGGCGTATATTACCTTGCCTGGCAAGTGGATGTATACTATCATCAGTTGACACCTTCCTTCATTATTTGATCAGATTTTGATGAAACTTGGTCTATGTTTATTTATATTAATGAAATCTTGGATGATTTTCAGTTTTGATTGAATTCGTCGTGAATATTTGTGCTGTATAGGCGTCATGGCTTTTCATGACAGATTGTTAGCATTATTTCTCTCGCAATTCTCTTAGTTTATGTCAAGGAGTCTTTCACTACCTACATTTTATTTTTTTTGCTATTTTGCATAAAATTATTACAGAAATGAGATCAAAAATATTTTGGTAACTATTTTAGGGAACAAATGTACAAGTTCAAGTGAAAAATGGCAAGGTTTATGAAGGAATATTTAAAACTATATCATCGCAGGTCAGTAGATATTAATTGTTATTTTATTCAAATGAGATGACCATTAGATAGGCCAGTGATTCTATTAAAGTTTGTTTTTTGTTACACCTAAAGGGGCTACTCATTTTTGGGCAAGCAAAATTGTGCTTAACAATTATTATGTTACGAATAAGCTACAATGTATCGTGCATTAGCTTTTGCTGTAGTTTGTCATCTATTGTTTTGAACTACGTATTCATGCAAAATAATACAATATTAACAGTCAAATTTTGCTTCCAGATGGATGTGGTATTAGAGGTGGCCCATTTAAAAATGGAAGGTAATGGTAGTAGTTGTGGTCCTACACGTGATACAATCCTAGATAAAGTTATATTTAAGAAAGATGATGTTGTATCTGTAACTTGTTTGAGTGTGGACTTAGATTATGCAGTGAAAGGTAGGCTTGTGTATATTCTCCCTATTCTTAAACACATCTCCCGGAAGCCTGGGTTTGCCTCTTGCTCGGTGGCCTAGGGATCCAGTGTTCGATTTCGTCCAGTCTGGTGCCATCAGATTTTCAGCCTAGTTTCCCCCTGTAATGTATGTCAGAGGGGCTGCCTCGCAGATATACATAATTCTTCAGTACAGAATTTGCAATCTTATGATAAATACTTTTTTGTTTGAAGATACATTTACTGATGCTGCTATAAGTCGTGGTAATAATGGTAGTTCATATGATGTTGAACTGCAACCATGGGATGGTGAAGCTGGTGAAGAAATAGGTGGAGGTCTAGAGGAAGGAGAATCTGCTGTAAGTTCATTATATCACTCTGTACATGTAGGTTAGAAATTACATTTCATTGACTCAGTGCTGGAAACTAGGCAAAGTGCCTTTACATTTTTGAGTTACAAGTGCTTTTTTGTGAGGCAGGGTACCAGACTGACATGGGAAAATCTCTTCATTTCAAATGTTGTCACATTCTTTTGGAAATCTTGATCGAGAAAGTTTTATAAACTTATTGCCTTTATTCTCTCAGTAAGGAAGAAAAATAGTCATAAATTTTTGAATGTTTTCAGAATGGTTGGGATGTAAATGAAATGTTTAAAACCAACCAAGAACAATTTAGTGTAAAATCTTCATATGATGAAAATCTATCTCAATACACGTAAGTATGAACTTCTACTGTTCTCTCTGAGATATAGGTTATGTGGATGTAGGTCCATCTGTTTTATCATTAGTACAAGAACGGCTGCATATAATTTGACATGTAACAAAGAAACACCCCTAATCTCTCTTTATAATGAGCTCTTTGATCATACATACAGTTTCTTGTTGAGTGAAAGTATGTGTGAAAGAGTTGAAATAACAGGAGTGTCAAGTACATGGTATGTACACATGTAACTGGTCTTGACTACAAGGGTGCACACTGAGGTGAACTCTGACCTTACTGCTGGTATAAGTTGCGACTTTTAGTTTGATATTTTCTTGTTTGTGATACTTTTGGAGAAGATTGATAAATAGAGCTTAACTGAAGCTAATTTTGTTATAAAATAACAGAAGGCTAAAATGGTTAATCATAAACTTGGACATTGCTTTAAAATATCAAACTAATGAGATTTTCAAAATGGCTATTTTACAGTACTGTATTAAATAAAGCTGATACCAAAGAATATCGTAAACGTGAAGAAGATGCTAGAAGAATTGCAAGAGAGATAGAACGTAGTGAAGATTATAGAAAACATATTGATTTAGAAAATGGTGATGATGAAGAAGCATTATTTAGTTCTGTTCATCGACCATCTTCTACTACTAATCAATCTGGAGAGAAGAAGTAAGTTTACACTCTTGGCTTATATACATTTGAATTGACCTTATTCACGCCTCGTTTTGAGACACTGAAATCAAGGTTCGTAACACAAAAGTAGTCATCCATTGATAAGAAGATGGCAACATCATATGAATGAATAGCCCATTTGACATCATTAAACACTCACTCAACAGCAAGAAAATGCGCTAAAAACTGCCTTTTCTCGGAAATGTGTGAAGATAAAATTCATGTAAATGTATTTATCACTGAATAGTGTAATTAATTGTAAAAGGAGGCTTTACAGATGTCAAGGTGGCAATTTTATGCAGTGACATAACGTTACCTTTTCAAGGTTTTGCTTTATGAGCCTCGTTCTGGATTCAATGTGGCCGACAGGTGAATAAGGTCTATACATATCCAAATACAGAAGATATTGAAAGTATGAGTTTAAAATCTAAGAAATTTATCAAATGTTAATCTTTCTCAATCTTAGTCTCTTTGTTTTTGATAGGTAATGGCTTATATTTTACATTGCAAAGTTGAAGATATTATTAATGAATTGTAGGTATATTCCCCCACAGAGAAGAAATAATAATAATATGACTAAAGGTCAAGGTAATAATGGTGTTGATAATGGAAGTTTTCAACAAGTACAAAGATCTAATCATAATAATAAACACAGACAATCTGGTGTACAGCATCATCAACACCAGCTTTCTCCTTCCCCACAACATCATCACTCTCCCCAGCACTCCCATCAAACTAACTATCCCCCTAGACACCAACAACAACATCATCAACAACAGCAACAACCACTGGCACATCAACAGCAACACCAACAAGTGAAGGCAACTGTTGTTCATGTGACTTCTCCACCAGGACAGCAGACGTCACAAGCTACAAGTAATAAAGAAGAACAGAATAATAAGTTAAACGGGCGTAAGTCATTTATTTATTTTTGAAAAGTGTGTTGAAGTAATTATGATTGCTTTCTGAAACAGTAATAATGGTCTAGATTCAAAAGAGTTGCTGCCCTTTTATTGTATATGGAGTAAAACAATCAGGAGATGAAAACTTTTAACATAGCCCAGTGCTGTAGGTCTTATACAAATATTTAGATTTTGATCCTTAATGTCTAAATGCATTAATTACAGAAGAGAACAGTGGTACAGCTCAAGATATATCTATAGCAAAACCAACTAGTCAGAGTGGGGTGTCATCTCCTGTTTCAGTCCCCCTTCAACAACAACAACAACAGCAACAACAGCAAGAATCAAATGATAATAAACGATTACCCCGTCAACCTGTTAATAAAAATACCAAATGTAAGTTTTCACATCTCTAATGTTTAAAAAAGCATTGAAGAAATTAGTTGATGGGATGGAATTGAGTTTTTATCTTCCCTAAGATCAAGTCTGTTGTGTTCCATTTACATTGAAATTTGGTAAAATCTGCCCAAAGTTGCAACACTATTACTCTTAAAGTTTTATATTTAGCAGTTATAGTTTTTACATTTATGATTATATTCTTTTCTAGCTGCTAAGATTGACGAATTAAAAGAATTTCAAGATCAATTTAAGGTAATGAGCTGTATGTTGATATTGACTGTTGTTAACTTTGTTATCTATGTTTGGATGTGATTAACAGTTTTAACTTGATTTTAACACAAATGCAGAGAAAATGTATGGTTTTTAACAATATCTTTTGACTCTGGCAACTTTTTCATAATTGGCTTGCTAATATATTCTCAATTCCAATCTATTTTTAATGAGGCATTTTTAGTGCTCAAATATGTCTTTTATATGAGTTAATACCCATTGATGTAGTTAAGACATAGTTCATTTCAATTAATGATCTAATGATTACAGTTAGAGAACCAGAAAGAAAGTGATAGAAAGACAGCTACTGTAGAAATAGATAATAAACCTGAAACAGACAATAAAACTGTAGATAATAGTAATAATGATAATAAAACAAATGAAAGGTTAGATGTACAACCAACAGAAGAGGAGAGTGGTGAACAGTCAGGAAAAGTGTATGTACACATTTCTTTATACAAAAGTTCAACAATAATAAATCCAAAAACTTATTCTCAAAATCTTGGTATGATTTAAAGGTTTGAAATTATGTCAATTGTTCTGTTTTAAGTTACTATAAACATGGAAATATATTTTATCACATTGTTGTTTTAGTTTATCCTCATTATTTTTGTAGGACTCCTGCAAAATTTGCTTTAAATCCATATGCAAAGGTATTCACACCAAACCCATGTTCATCACCGGTATGTATATTGCTATTCATAGAATCAAAATGTTGCTTGGAAAATTGCCCCTCAAATGATAGTACATGGAGACAAAACAAATTAAGAGAAGTCTATAAAAGAAAAAGAAATATTATTGCTAAAATTAAATGAATATATAGACATCATTTCTGTTAGTTTAATAGTCTTTAAGAGTGAGAAGATTCAAGAACAGTTTAAATGAAATTTTCACTTAATAGCAATAATTTGAATGGACTTTTGTTTAAGGCAAGGGTTCATCCAACCCAATCACCAACACCTCCACGGCCTCAAGCACAGAGTCCAGTTGTCATGCCATCATATATGTATGTACACCAACCGCCTGTTACTAGGCCTTATCAACAAAGTAAAAAGGGTAAGTATTGCCTCATTAAGAAATCAATTATGCTACCCAACTCCAATATAAATAGATCATTTCTGCATTTTGTAACAAATGATTATTATGTGCTATTTGGTATAAATTCATATGTTGACTATTTTTAGAACTCAACAGACATTTCAGTTCAATTTTTCCCTTTTCAGCGGTGGTTTCAGCTTATCCAAATCAAGATCCTAGACAAGCTGCTCAACATGCTACTGGTCAGCCATTATTGGCTAGTACATTACAACCACAACAATATTTACCCTATATTATGCCATCTCAGATGATACCACAACAGGGCTACACTGTAAGTATTATTTATATATATCTGGCACATAAAGCACAAGTTAAAGAGATTTAATACAAGTTCTTTGAGCTCTTTATTTAACTTTGGTCCACTTAGCTCTTTTCTGATGTTTGCTAAAGAAATTCAAGAAAAATGTGTGTGATAGATAACATATGTATTTATAAACAGTCACCATTGTATCGTTGATACTGGCTTAAAGTGTACTTGATACACATTCTTGTAGAACCTTGGGTGATTGTTGGAAGGGTAGACAAGTCCCATTTGAATGCAAATTTTCTCATATTGCACATGACTTGCTGTTGCCCAGACACTTGACTGAATTTTTCAAATGGTCTGATCATTGATGTTGAAATACATGGGTATTTAATTGTTGTAGATGATGAATCAACATGCAAGGATGATGAACCCAGCAGCTATGGGTCCCGCATCTACCACTGGTATAGATCCTAATCAGGCCAATTCTCAACAAATATATAGTAAGTCTTTTACTTTCTTCTCAAAATTTTCCAGTTAGTACTATATCTTAGAGCCTTGTCATACTAAACTCTTATGAAAAGCTGCTAGTTGGTACCCGTAGTTGAAAAATATAATGTAATATTTAAATCTTCTAAAAAGAGTCAGGTGATTGGCTAGCTTCTATCTGCACTATTCTGCAGTCCTGTTAAACACCAATGGCTTGGGAAAGGCAATCATTTAATAACTTTGCTTGAATCATTTTAGATCTTAAAATAATTTTGGTTTTTCTCTTTACAGTGTCACAGCCAGGGCCGCATGCTATCCAAGCTCACATGACCCAGCAGGCTATTCAACAATCACAGCAACAACATGTAGCTCATCCAGCTGGTGCTCCACAAACACCAGGAGTTCAAATGACTCAAGTAACTGGTCATCACCCAGCTGCTAGCCCTGTCCAACATGTTCAAGGAGGTCAAGCAAATCATCCGGGGCAGGTTCCCCCACCAGCGGGCACACCACAGCCTTTAAATTACTCTCAGATTAATTTACCAGGGCATATGCAGGGGTCTCACAACCCTACCTCTCCTCAAACCATACATGCCTCACACCCCTATAATTCCCATCCCCAATTCACCTTTTCACAAGGTCAGCCGACATCGGTGTCACATGCAATGTCAATGCCGAGTCTGATGCCATCTCAACCTTTACCTGTTTATATGATGCAACCACCACCATCAAACCAAGTACAACAGCACCAATTCCAGACACATATGACAGGTAAGATTATTTTTGGTCACTGATGTGTCTTTTAATAAACTAATATGGATCATCATAATTTAAGGTTTCCATTAAACCATACTAAACTAAGAATGTAATTTTTGTTACTGTGAAATTCTCTTTTTGCCTTAAGACGAATTGGCCATTGGCTGGTATAAGCCTTTTCTGTAACAAATACTTCTACTTCTAATGATATATTATAGTATTTTATGAATTTACTCTGCAGGTGCTCCTATACCAGGACAAGGGGGTCATATAATGCATCATGGTGTACCAGGTCAAGTACAGTATGTTCCACATGGTGAGAATTGAAATTTTACTTATTTTCCTCAAGATACCTTGGTTCAACTGGCAATTTTAGATAGAGCTCATTTTGAAAAAAAAACACAAGAGTTCATAAAATGCTTCTTCACTCTAACTAGATATAGACGACCATAAGCTCAGAAATTTTATAACATAAAATCCAGATTTTGAGCTTGATCACATATAATGTTAATGATATAACATAGACATAGAACTAGTCAGATGATTAAATACTAATTGTTAAATATTTTTATTGCAGTGCCATCCCAAGGACCGCAAGTTATACAGTACCCTCCAGGTCAATGAAGGTAATGTGTGACACAAAATGGTAGGTCATTTACCACTATTTATGATTTAGTATCATGTTCCATGTACATGCATATATTATGTCTAGAGTAGGCTATCTTAGGTATCATGTCAGGAGTCAGATTAGAAAGTGGCTGAAATTTTAAGTTTGAAATATACCAGTCATGCTTTGTATGTAATTGGCATTGGGAAATAAAGAAGAGTTGGTTGTCATGAGAAAATAATATTAACTGTGTTCATCTAGTATGAGTTTAGTTTTCAGTCAACTTTCCCCCAGATAGGCAGTCATTTGAAAAAGTATAAATTTTCTTTCTTTCAGTGTGGTTGATTTGTGCCCTGCCATGTAGTTTGTGTATTGAAAATAAAAAAAAATTGGAATTCAGATGTGAAAAAAAGATATAATGTATTCTAGAAGACTACAATACCTGTGTTAAAGAAGATGATGACGTAATATTTCAAGTTGAGAATGTGATAGTAAAATGAACAATTAAATTAAATGACAATTTACTATCAAATCTGACATGTTTTTAAAATAAAATGTGAACGGCAACGGTAACACTTGCAGTAATTTATACCAGCACAGGTTGTCTATTCAAATAATACTGCAGTGTGATTTTGTAGAAAAAAAATTAAAAAACCAAAAAAAAAGAAAAAATACCAAAAAAAAAACCTTTAAAAAAAACTCAAAATGTGTTGTTGATTTTGTGGTTGTGCAAAATATGTTGAGTATTCTGTGAGGATAACTACATATATTCTGGCAATCCTTTTATTTAGCTCATGCTAAGCCATACCTTCTGGTAATGCCATTTTGCGAAAATACTTTAGGTACCTAAACATTTACAGATATTTCCATTGACTACTAACATGAGTGACTATTGTCCTCACCTGCAAACACATACTCAAATAGTCGGAAACTCTGCCTCAATTCCAGTCTCTGATAGCTATCATGACAGTTTCTAGCCGACAACTATTACTGTTAAATTAACTCTGAGGCTGGAATAGAGGCAGATTATAGGACTAATACATAATAGTAGGAAGCAGAAGTTTGTTAACTATGAGATGATGTGAATTGAAAGTTGTGACTCCCTATACGATGACCAATTACTCAAATATACATTATACATAAATAAATCAAGCCGCCCCAAAGCAAGTTTTTCGCAAAAATCTTATAACTAGGTAAGAAATTCGGCCAATCTCAGATATTTCTGTTCCAAATTTTATTTAAATCGGATGAAAACTAGTGCTCACAACAAATTTTGACACGTTTTTCATAAGTCAAGGGCAATAACTCAAAAACCGTTCATCGAAAGGTGGCCAATTTTGAATTTGTCCAAGAAATTTAATTGAGTTTAAATGAAAACTAGTCCATATTGGGTTCACAACCAAATGTTGACGCGTTTTTCATAATTCAAGGGCAATAACTCAAAAACCTTTCATCGAAAGATCGTTAAATTCGAACTTCTTATTAATATAAATGATCACACCAAATTTCATTCAAATCAGACAAAAACTGTTTTCTCTATTGCGTTCACAAACCAATCGTGGACGGACAGGGGCGACGACAATATACGACCAAATTATAATGTGGGCGTATAAAATGAGATTCAGATATTGACTATATACATGCGCAGATCCAATTTCATCCCAATCGTTTGATAATGCCTTGAAAAGGGTAGGTCTGTACGAAATGGACCGACTAATTATCAGACAACATACGCCTATTTTTGCATGTTTGTAAGTGATGTCCTTATATTTTTTAATTTGTGATTTACCGATATAAACGATTAGGTGAAGCCTTAAGGAATCTTCGTGCCCTTTAATGAATTTAAAATTCAGCCATCGAACTGATTGAACTTGCCGATTCATATCATGGGCTATTTAAACAATTTATCTTATTGAAATATGCATTTAAAATACCCATCCCATTACTTTCATATTAAATTTGACATTTCTGCACCCTGTATTATCTGAAAACAACAATAAAGAAGGGCGGACCTAGTCTGTCTACGTGTTGCTAGTGTTCTAGATGCTTGAAACGTGGAGCGCTTGGTGGAATAACCGACAGAAATCTAGTACCACCTTCGTTGAAAATAGTTGTGAAAATTACTTTAACTTTGATACTTTGTCTTATTTTATCAGATGATCGATTAAAGGTCATGGTTAGCCATTTTCAGGGATTGATTTAGGTCCTGAATATAAGTTAATATAGTTTTCATAAGAACTGCACGAAAAGCGCATAATAACTTCTATTATACCTCAAACTATAGAAAGAGAAAATAGGCTGACCCGGATTTGCCCCCCACCCCTCCCTCCTCCACTTTATCATTTTTTTCTTATCTTTTTACACCTGGCCCCTGATCAACCCCCTCAACTGTTGTTTCCTGGAAACGCCACCGTCTGGATACACCAACGTTGTACGAGTTAGACGTTCTAATAAAACCTTTGATCAAAAAATTTTGTCTGTCACGCTGCATAATGAGTTAGTCATTAAAGGAATTGAAACTAAAAAAGTTATTTTTATTCATGTATTAGTTACTTCATATAAAGAAATACCATTTAAGATAAGATCATACACGTCAAAAGCCTCTGGACATATTTAGTGTTTTTTTAATATTTGGATTATTGGTTGAGTAAGGCTTGAAGACAATGTCGCAGTTTTGTATAAAATGGTGTCAATAAGCTTCATTTTCGCCAAATGAAAAAAAGGTAAATATATATTTTTGATGTTTTACATTTTAGGATGCAAATTTCGAAGTGCAGAAAATTATTTTAACGCATTATACGGACGTTTCTGAAATGCTTATTTCTATATAGGCTACAATTTAAATTAAATTAGATTTATACTTGATGAGATGGTCGAACTCACAATTCAAATCGGACATCTGGTTCTTCTGCGATTTAATAAAATCAGTGTGTCTACATTTTTCGTCGTACGATTGTTTTCGAAAAGTTATTTCTTTGAAATTTTCATAATCGTTTATATCGGTTTTGGTCAGAATTTCGTTATTAAAAGAGAAATTCCTGTGAATAACTGCTTAAAACCTGTGGACAAACTCCGGGATCTCATAAAAAAAACTGTTCATATAAGCAAGTATGTAAAGGAAAAATTGTATACTTGATG